AGGGAATTTGAACTAACCCCGGAAACTTTTTTCACACATACAGCAAAGTTGAACTACAATGCGATCCTGCTCACAAAAAATTGCCCGCAGGGCCCGAAGGATGGTAACACCCATCAGTTGAATTCCAAAAACGCTTTTTACAACGGGGATTTGCCAAGAGAAATTGGTCTACATGACTGCCCTCGCACAGGGGACTACTTTCGCCGGACAGGGGAGGAACTTTTGGTATGTCGCTGTCATAAGTCCCTTTATGGACCTCAAACAGGATTTCTCGCACTGTGGTTTTCCACCTTCTCCATTTCGCCATAACAACAATAAGCTGGGGATCACCACAGTCCAAGGCACGACTACAGGTTTATTCAACAAAAAGTTCAAGGAATTTCTTTTACACTGCGGTAACCATTTTACGTTGATGACATATCTATGACTAGGCAACAAGTCCTACAAGAAATGAGCGCAACTTAAACAAAAACATTACTTAGAACCAGCAGTTTTCACATGCAAAGATTTTTGGGTCCTTTAAAATACTTTTTTGGGCAATAGAATTTTCACTTCCCAGATCCAAACCAAGGCATATATTATGTCTCAAAACGAAAGTAAATACCAACTCGATATACTCTACAGGAAATGCAAGGTTTTAATTGGAGCCAAAGCCAGAGAAATTTCCTATGGAGCAGCAAAAAATGAAGCTATATGCACGAACTGATGGCGAGTTACTAACATGAACCAGCCAAGGTATAGAAGGGCTTGTTGGGTCCGCCTGTCATTTACTTGATCTGAGTACCGGCCTGATAAGTTTTACAGACACGTGCGGATGCGCTTAGTCTCCATTTATGCGGCGAAACGCAACGGACAACACATTGGAGACAACACATGGGTATGCAGGAGTGGCAGATCATAGAGACACTGCACTCCGTTGTTGATGTATATAAAGGATCACCTGGAACAGGGATTCTTCTATTTGCCAATCCCACGAAATTCCTTGGAATTGAAAGGCTTATTGTGATTCAGACCTGGGCCAGGATGCCGGTATGACACGACGATCTATGTTTCCAGGATAACTGTATATTTCTTGGGTTCTTCCCTAATATGCAGTGGAAATCAAAAAAAGCAGGCAAAATGTTTCGCGGTTCATCTGCTGAAGCAGAAATATAGGGCAATGGCAATGCTTGTTTAGAGGATTACAAATGGCTTCAACTATATTCCTAAATAAGACAAGGATTTTGTGGGTGTGAGAAGAGTAAAACCGACAAAACTGTTTTGTGATAAACCCAAGCCAAGCACATACATATAGCGGCAAAATTCCGGTCTTGTTTTCCACGAGCGTACAAAACATAATAGAGATTGACTGTCATATTGGTACGTGAGAAGTTGCAGTCAGGAACTTATTAGACCAAGGCTATGTTTTCCGACTAAATGCAGATTGGAAATATCTTCACAGGTGTAGTATTGCTGAGAAGGCTTTTAAGGAATCCGGGATCAGTTTATTGAAAATCTGAAAGGCAAGTTGGGAGTTCAGAAATATTATTCACTCTCCAACTTTGAGGGGGAAAGTATAAGGAAAATATATTGTAATTTAATCTTTTCGCCATATTTTAAGATATGTGAAAATTATTTTGGTAAAAAGACAATCAATTACCCTGTAAAATAGCTTAATGATTAGGCAATGATGTTTTAGGAGATGATATGGTATAGTATTAATCTCTGTATAAATTAATTAGTGGTGATTAAATTTAGTGTGTGCTGGAATCATAAAGAAATACAACAATTCTCCATAAAAAAATTAAATTTCTTCTCGCTTTGAAAAATATTTTTAGATATTACTACGATGGGCAAGACAACGTGCAACTGTTAATCGCAAAATGAGTGGCTCAAGTAATGAAACGAGTAGTGATTGAAATGCTCAATGGATGGACATCACACAAGGATGACGAACAGTATATCAACTGCATTTATTTAGATATGTGATTATTTTGTAAAGACAATCAATTACCTGTAAATAGCTTAATGATAGGCTGATGTTTAGGAGATGATATGGTATATATCTCTGTATAAATTAGTGTTGATGATCAATAAGAAATACACAATTCTCCATAAAATTAATTTCTTCGCTTGATATTTTAGATACTACGAGGCTAAGACTAACGTGCAATGTTATAGCAAATGAGTGCTCAAGTAAATGAAACGAGTAGTGATTGAAATGCTCAATGGATGGACTATCACACTAATGAACGACATATCAACTCATTAGTGTAGCTAAAGAGGAATATAATTGTGTCAAATTTTATTTTTATTATTGCATTCAAGACAGATTGAGCAATGAGTACAAGCAAGTTATGTGGGAATTGCAAATTGAATAATAAGAAGAAAAGGATTATGTTAATCTTAATGATATTTCCATCATGGGTAAGAACTCGATAGGCTTGAGGTTTCATCTATCAAGTAAATCTTATATATAGAGAGAGTAAGGACCCATGATAAGAAAATTTAGTTTTATAAAATTGAGTTTTATAATAAATGTAAACTGATACAACGTGAAGGCACTAAAATATGAATTGGAATAGGGGTATTACAAGCCTTGTGTCATAAGAATGGAGTAAAGTGCTAAAACATGTGACTTAAGTAATATGGAATAGTTGGGAATTAAAGGAATCCTATAAAAAAAGAGAAAGTTGTTACCGAATGCAAATCAAACAGTTCTATTAACTTCATGCATGGAAATTAGCAAATTGAGATTGATAATGTACTTGTAAGATCGCAAGACATAAGGACAGACAATACCAATAATTTTGTGAGTTATATTACTGTTATTTTTTATATTGTTTTATTTATGTCTTCATAAGTATAATATAATTATTTTATTTACGTTTTCATAAGATATGAATTTCTCGATCAATTTTTTTATAATGTCAACGTTGACTATTTTTATTTGTTGTGTTTTGTGATATATGTCAAATAATGCTAAAAGGTAGTATGGGGCAAATGAAGCTTTAGAGTTGTTAAATGCATATAAGCAATAGGTGGATGTGATTTAATGCTTTAAAGCTACAAAAATTATCCCATGAGTGCATACATAGGAATCTCAATGGTAACGAAGCAGACAATTATAATCGACAAGGACATAGATTGTTTAAACAGAAAAATGTATACATGGAGATTCTCCCTAATTTTTTGAGAAGGAAATAATGATGACATTATACACAAGAATAATGATATAATATATTATCCTTATGAAGGGTTGGGTGATTGAAAGATACTTGAAAGATGGCAATCTTAAAAGCACAACAATATAAAAATTTTTTTGTTCATAAAAGCTTGAAGATGATTTATTTAAAGTGAAGTCGTAAGGAGATTAGTAGAACTTTTTTCCTTTGTTGAAAACTTGAAGAACATGACTTTAAAAGTGATGCAAAGAGTAAATGGAGCCAATAAAGTAGCATACGTATAGCATGCCATGGTGGCTAAAAAATGGACCAAAAATAAAGAATATGCAAAAGCTCAAATGAAGAGCCTGAAAGTGATGCTTATATGGTAGATAGATTGCATGCAAAGTTTCATGAGTTAATTTGATTGTATGGAGAAGTTATGGGTAGGATGTCTCAAATATAAACTCATCTCTTTAGGTAATCCTAGGATTGCACCTTAAACTAATTTGTGCAGGGAGACATGCACCGCATCCATTGAGCCTAACTATGGTAAGACTAAATATACATAAGATAAACCATGTGATGTGTATGGTGAGTTGCATGAGCATGCAATCAGTTTAATCATTTTAGGTCAATTTTTTAATCAAACATAATTAATTAAATTAAATATAGAGTTAACCGAATCAAACCAAACAACAGATTTAACTAAATTTAACCGAACTAATTCGGTTGAATCAATTTTCATAAATCATAATTACTAAGCAAAACAAAATGAAATGATAACCAAATTTAATCTATCTACTTTAATTGAAATTTGAAAAATCGAATTTAACTGATGATACATACAAAATAACTCTATTAATCTTAAATTTTTTACTAGTCAAACAATAATTTAATTGAAATTTCACAATAATCGAATTTAACCTAAGAGTAGATACAAAATAACCCACTAATTCTATATTTTAAATGTCATCGTTTTTGGTTTCTCTTAATTTGAATAATGTAATTAAATACCTTTTTTTTTTTTGAGCTGAAAGTCGAAAGTAAATTAGCCGAATCAAATTGGTTGATATAACCAGATTGATCGAACTATATGCCCACCTCTAGAAATGTCAAAATTAGTATAGTTGATAAATGGACAACGAAAACACCATTGCCCTTATAGGCCATTTTGTTGTAAAGTTGATAAGATAATCAACATATATAAAGATATTTATGAGCGAAGTCAAACTCGACCTTGCCAAACTCAAAGCTTGATAAATTTAAAATTTTAAAGTTCGAGCTCAGATTCAGGATTAAGTTCATTTCAACTCACACATGTGTACTTCCAGTTGATAAGAATCAAATAAGGATTGATACATATATATACACACACAAGTTAAAATCCTTTTAATGAATTATTCAGAATTAATGTATCACGTGTAAGATTCATATTGTTGCGTCGAGAAACATTAGAGGTACATAATAAAGGTAGCCTTTTCTTTGCTTACTAACATCCCTTTATTCACCAAATCAGTAAACTATTGTGGTCGAGTGGTCTTAAACCTAAGAGGTCATAGTCTCAATATAAGTGAGAAAATCAATCAAATCACATCTGTTAAAATAAATTTAGATCACAATTATATCATGATTATAATTATTATGAACAATCCTTTCAAAAAATAATTGTAATGAAAATAAAACAATACCAATGAATAAAATAAAAAAATTGCTCAAAATTATAAAAAAATGTTAAAATTGAAGGTTAGCATTTTTTTTTTTTTTGCCCTTTAAAATTTGCCTATTAAAAAAACAGGTGGATTTTTGTACAAAATGAAGCAATAAGAACCAAATCCAAAATTTGGTCCCACCGGAAAAATGAGAGGCCAATCGAAGCCAAATAGGTGAAGCTAACGGCATCGGCAAGCCACACGATTATCGTCTCACATATTTTTATATATGAATTCTTCTCAGTGGACACATGGCCATACAACAACTAACATACCCTTTCAATTCGATTTCTCTTGTAAGAACAAGCTTCGTCTTCTTTTTTCTTTTTTTCAGTAGATGTTGTCTGCATATATTTCTGATTTCACTTGCGCTAGTAATTGAATCTCAACAAGCTCAAATGGGGAATAGATTTTTCTTTCACGAAATTGAATACCGTCTTTTTTAGCATAGCTTTTATATGCTGTAATTGTCTGAGTACTGCTTGGCTTTCTAATGAGAAACCCATTGGGATATGTGATCTCATTGTATTGAATTCAGATGGGTCTGGTTTAATTTAGCTTGCTTTGATTGTATGCATTGCTTTCTTAACTGCTCCATTTTTGCTTTGTTGTTCTTATTATAAAGAATTTAAATGAGTTCGGCTTTGTTGTGCTTATTATGATGACATTTTTTCCCCTTGCTTTTCCTTGTCTATTTAGGGGCTATAGAATTGAATTTCAAGAGATCATCACTTGAAAATTCATCTTATTATTGCAAATTCGGGTGATTGCTTTAAGGTTTCAGCATAGCTTAGTTTGATCCAAATTATGTCACTGGTTTCCTTTTCATGTTTGGGGTTTTGAAGAGGTTACACTTTATTGAACTTTGTTTACTTGATCTGGTTGTAAGCAGAAAATGAGACTTTGGTGAAGTATTCTTTTGGATTTCATATTGATTTGTTAAAAAGATGATGCCTGTTTGCTCTGCCACCCCATGTTGTTCCTCTCATCCTCAGGTGAGATTTCACTTTTCATGTGGCTGCCTTAGTATTACTTAATTTATGGTTTTCTTCTTTTATTATGTTCTTCTGCATTGCTGGCTTTTGCATGATTTCCTGCAATCTAAATCAGGAAAAGGGTTGTGCTAGTCGACCTAAAGCTGAGAAAATCTTCGAATTGTGAGAGTAATACTTTCAAAAGTGGTGTCTAGGGTGTCTCCTTTTGGGAAATTTAAACAAAGTAAACAGGGTTTACAATTCATTGCGGCTCTTTAAATTTAGGTTAACAACTGGTGAGATTTTTCTTAAACGTAACCTGCAATAACGGATCAATTTGTCTTCTATTGACATGAAAATGATTGGTGTCTTTCTTTGGTGTTGATACTCTTCTTATGTTTCTTCATATGTCATTTATTAAGAGCCATTTATGAAATTTTATCTCAATTAATAGTAAATTATGATTTCTTGTCTCTCTGAACCGTACTCCACTTCCATGCATATGATGAACATTTTATTCATAATTTTGAAATTTTAAATACAGCAGATATTTTTCCATGGAGGTCTGCGACCTTTTTGTCCATTCCGTAATGATTCTCAATCCAGATGTATTGTAGAAGACAGAGTTGTTTTGGGCTTTCAGGATGGAATTCATCTGCAAAGAATTTCCTTTAAAACTCAAGCTGCAAAATCATTGTACTACAATTTCATTGAAAGAGATGAACAATCAGTGCCTATGAATTTCACTGGAAATCCTTCCTGTGGAGATGGATCTGGTGACATTAAGTGCAATTTATATGATGATTGGGGTTCTTCGGTCGGAACAATAAATGAACTTGACCAGGGAGGGGAGAAAGTAGAATATGTAGAAAGTTATAGCATATCTGATGTAGAAGAAGGACTAATGGACTTAACTAGCCAGCCAACTGAAAGTACAGATAGTTTGACAAGGCCTATGGAATCTGATATTATATCGAATATCATTATAACACCAGAGAATCCAATCCCAGGAACCGACTCCATGGGTGTGGATAATGATTCATTACCTAGTGTGAAGATTAATTTTGATGATTTTATTGGTGGGATTGGGGACTCCTTCAGTACTTCTGTCAATAAGGGGCAAAATGCAGTGAATAACTCACTAGACACAGTTACTTCATCAATAACATCCATTGTGAAAAGTGCTTCTGAAGCAGTGGATAATGCCTTGAGTGGGATATTTTCAGCTGCAGATCAAACAAGAGGATTGGCTGGGAATAGATTGACTAGCTTTTCAAGTGACTTGAAGGAAGTCATGAAGAAAGCAACAGTTATTTCTGTTGATGTGTTGAGAGATATAATTATTGCAGCGGAAGACTCTATAATGAAAGGGGCTTCTTTTGTTGTTTATTCTTATGGGTCTACCAAAGAACTGCTTCCTCCAGAGATCAGGGTTGCTCTAAATTTATCTGAAGATAAAGCAGGACAAATATTGAGGCCAATCGTTACATCTTTTCAACAGGTATTCTTATAGTTATATTGGGCATGCATTTTACTTTAATGACCAAATATTTTGGATAATTCAGTGGCAGCTGTCAGTAAAGATTTTCTTATCCATCTGGTACATTGAATAAAATTAAAAAACAAACCGAACTCACTTCGTATTCTTCTTTTCTTCTCTCTCTTTCTTATTTTCCTTAGTTTTGGTGAGATTTGGACTTAGGGTAGCTCGCTCACAGCGTATATTATTGATGCATGAACTCCTTTTATCAGAGTCACCAGTTAATGTTTTAGCTATGGAGCAATTCTAGTTGAACTCATGGTAGAAATTAGCAGAGTCCTTGCATATAAACCATAATCTCTCAGTCGTGAGCATGCTGAACTTATCTTCCTCTAATGATACTGAATTTCATATGCCACAAGCAGGTTTATATTGCTATTGAGGGACTGGAGAAAAATCTTGGTTTGGATCCTAATGATCCAATTGTTCCATTCTTTCTTTTCATTGGAACCTCGACCGCTCTTTGGTATGGATGTCCTTTTCTGCATAAATTAATTTTGCTATATAATCTGTATTAAAATTGAAACTTTAAGTTTTAATCAGATTTCTGCAGGGTTCTCTATCGGGTGTGGACATATGGTGGGTACTCTGGAGATTTATCTCCTCAATTAACTCTAGAGCTCTTGGCTGGGAGGGAGAAGGCTGTACTTATTGATGTTCGGCCCGAGGCAAGAGACTGTAAATTTTTCTGGCCATTTATTTTATTCAAACAATGTAAAAAAATTCCAATTCTTCCATGAGAGAGCCAAAAGACAAACAAATTCTTCTCTTGTTTTGATTTCTGTTTACTCAATGGTTTCTCCTTTTTCAATCTTTGTCCTTTAATACCTTTTACTTTTAACATTACAGCTGATTCCATCATCAATATTTTTAATGAGTTTTTGTAAAATTGCATTGAGATTTGGTGTTATGTTTTGCCTTTGTCAAGGTTCTGAGAGAAAGAGATGGCATTCCTGATCTACGGCGAGCAGCTCGGTTTCGCTATGCAAGTGTAACTCTACCAGAGGTTGGTTTATATTTATAGAACTGTACTACATGAGGAAGGATCGAATTAACAATCACTTACTTTGAAGTAAATAAGATTGCAGCTTAGCTGCAGCTCCTTTTGGAAGTATATCTTATGTATATCTACTTCATCCAGGTTGATGAGCAACTACGAAAATTGTTAAAGGGTGGCAGAGACGTTGACAACTCCTTAATTGCAGCAGTTATTCGGAACTTGAAAGTTGTTCAGGTATATAGCTTTGAGTCTTATTGTTTTGAAGCTTCTGAAAAGTGTGAAAGTTTTTTCCCTTCCCTTTCTTTGGTTTGGCAGGGAGGGGAAAAACTTAGGCTTGATTTCACTGAACTGTGGGTTGTGACCAAGGGCTTGAGTAAATATTTTTATGAATCCTTCTTTTATTAAAGACTTCTCTCCATCTCATGGTTTTGTCTCAAGGGAAGGAATAACTAGCCACATACTGCAACATTTGAAATGAAATGCAATTTAGTTGAAGATTTATTCAACTAAATTTTAGAGCACCATATCAGTGAAAAATTTGTCTCATACTTGTCCTTCAAATTTTGAGTGGTAGTTCGTATATAATTAGTAGTCTAATGTGCTGGAAGACTTTGCTTGGTAAAATATTTTTTGACAAATGAGCAGTTTTGTGACATGAATATAGTAGGGTTCCTCCTTTTTTGTTAGAATCTGACTGGGAATTTTGTCTCACAATTTTCTTTTACTAATACTTGTAGGACAGGTCCAAGGTCATAGTTATGGATGCTGATGGTACCTCTTCCAAAGGCATCGCAAGAGCCTTAAGGAAACTTGGAGTTAAGGCAAGTATTTTGAAGGTCTAGCTTTCCTTTAAAAGTGAATAAGCCTTTGGGTGAGTCTGAAACAAGAGAAGGAGAGTGTTACAAGAACTTCATATGCAGCTGAAGTGATTCTAGCTTGACATTATTTGGAATTAAAACTTGAATTGCTGAATACCTCTAAAGTTCCTTTTGTTTTTAACCGGATATAATTTTTTTTAAAAGCCAAATCTGATGCACAGGGTGCGTATATGGGTTATTTAAGAATGTAACACAAGAAATACAAAGAAAAGAAAAAAAAAAAACAAATAAATACGGAGAAAGGAAAATGTAACAGAGAAACGGGTGCAGAACTAAAAGACACAATTTGTGCTCTGACGTTCAGTAGTTTAAAAAATCAGTGAAAGGGAGTAACAGATGAATTTTCTCTCTCACTATAACTGCGATATCAACACCTATTAAACTTTTCAATTGCAACTCCCACATTCTCAAAAAATTGTGATTCTTTTTTGCCATCCAAAGACAACATGACATACAAAAGAACATCTCCCACACATGATCTCCTTCCAAGTCACTGTTCTTTATTTGCATAATATTGGAGCTGATTCAGGCATCAGCCAATCAATCCTAACTAATTGATTCCTCTACCCTAGTATACGAAGCAATATTTGAGTAACATTTCCTCATATGGCTTGTCCAGCCAACACCAAAGTCATCTAAAAAGTAAAATCTGTTCAAGAGATTTCTTTTCATTGTAAATCTTTTGTAGAGGTCCCGAAAAGTCACTTTAGTTGATGCACTAGTATGCCATATGCTTTTTCTAGGGAAAAATTGCCCCAAGAAACATCTAACATCTCATAAAAATACTTTTAGCACCAATTATTATTATTATTATTTTCTGCAAAAATATTTTCGATTATGTTGTAAAATGCTTGATAAAACCTCATTTTTCATTCAAGTAATTCTTGATATAGGTTTAGCACAAGAGATTTGACTTCAGGATCTATAGAGGAATACTTCACAAAGTATATTGTTAGTTCATCTTAGTGTACATTCCCGCTTTAGTTCAGATCAGTGACCTCAGTTCTGTCATTGAATGAACATAGGGTGCCAATAGCAGAGCTGGATGGTTGTGTATATGGTTTATGAGATGAAACTTTATGTACTTTACTACCACATATAACAGGTACTATGCTTCCTAAAATATATACTATTCTGGCTGGAGAAGAGAACAGTATTCTTTCTAGGGCAAGAAAAAATGTCCATTTTGATGTTTTAAAGCTGGATCTGCAGGAAAGCGGGGCCTACTGCTAATTAATTGGTTATATTGTCCATGACAGAGACCATACTTGGTCCAAGGTGGCTTCCAGTCTTGGGTAAAACAAGGTCTCCGATTCAAGGAACTTAAACCAGAGACAGCACTAACTTTACTGAATGAGGTATTACTGCATTCCTGCTGCATATCTTCTTAACCTGTAACAAGTGTCTAGAGATTTAGAATTCCCCTTAATAATCATATATCAATAATCAATGTCAAAAGGTTAATGTTAAGTTTCTTAGATTATATTTCATAACACATGCTATATATGATGTCTCATGCGTACTCCCTCATTCTCAATACCTGATCTCAGTCAACATGGATAATATGTAAACTTCAACAGTACGTGATTCTTGTGATCGTTCAGCAAGCTCAATAATTTTAAAGTCATTCAAGTGTATGAAAATGTGCTGACTTGGCAGATCAGGCCCCCATGTGGTAGAAAAAGGTCCTTGTAAATAAAAAGCAATGACTGATGCACAGGATTAAATTTTGTTTAACCAATTGTTAACAGCACCATTTTTTTTTTCATTATGTTTTGCTAACATGTGTTATTCTTTTCATGATTTGGACGTAAGGTGATTAATATAAGTTCTTCAAAATACACTTGACAAGAATTTATTACCTTTTTCAGGAAGCTGAGGCAATACTAGAAGATCTTAGTCCTTCTCCATTGCAAGTCCTTGGTTTTGGTGTGGTAAGACTTACAATAGTTTTGCATTATCGTTAGTTTAAATGTAGTCTTGTACTGTTTCTGCGTTTTTGTTTGTCTAATTAGGGTCATCTTTGAAATGATCGAGTCTAAAAGATGGGTTGAAGGGGGACTATATATCTTTTTATGATGTATGCACTAAAGGAATTGTAACATGTTCTGGAAGTTCATTCATATAATGGAGAAAAAGAGGGCACGGGTAGTTCCTTTTATTTCAAATTTCTTCTTCTTTATGTTATAGATATGTGCTTGTATCGATTTTTGAATTTCTCCTGGGAGATGTCTGAACTCTGCATGTAATTTTTTTTTATATCATTAAGCAATAATTTGGAATCTCACCATGCAATCTCTTGTAAATTCTTCACTTATAATTGTTTTCATTTCATGGGCAGGGTTCTGTTGCAGTGTTCTATGCATTATTAGGTGTGTATTTTTTTTTCTTCCTTCACAGATTTTAAATTTATGATAAGAATAAATGGAACTGAAATAAGTGACCAAACTGAACTTTGATCTCTAACTTATTGCCAATATGTATCATGATGTGTTTTTAAAGTGCAGATGGTGTCTACAGTTATTTCCATTTACTTATAGACTGTTTCTATTAGTTATTAAGACTTGCCTTTTTATTTATACAAGAGTATGTTACAGAGATATTCTAGCTATTAGGTTACCAACATCCATATTTTGACTACTCGGAATTTCTTGTGATATTCTTTGTTGTTTCTCAAAGCTGAGATGATCATACATTTGACTACTCGACATAGCTTAGCTTAAAAAAAATTATTAGATAACATCCATTACTTGGTTGAGAAAGTCTACACCATGTTAACTACCAGCCATTCTGGGTTGGATATTCTTTTTTCCTTTTTTCTTTTCTATCATTTCTTTCCTCTCTACATTTATTTTTCTAAATGTCAATACTTTTCTAGTATTTCTCTGTATTTCTTTGGCGTAGCCTTCTTGCCAACTAAGCATGTATTTTATTACAGAGTGGGAGAAGACATTACAACTTATTGCTGTTGTTGGCCTAGCTCAGGTATCCATTTCTCCTTTCACAGCGCTCTACAATTTTTTTTTTTTTATATTGCAATCTATGTGTAAGTTTTTTCGTGTGAACTTCATATCTCTTAATAGTTAAATATTAAAGTTCAAGAGTCATCATGCAATGAACCATTTGGCTAGACCATGACCAATGGCTTTAGCTGCAATATGTTTCATATCATAGGAGAGGGAAGCAGGGCATTAATAGTAGAAATATCTATTGGTTTGTCCAATTCACGTATTATGATAAGTATAACATATTGGTATGATAATTTTTCATGTGCCGAATTATTTTTAGCAATCCCTGTGTTTGCTAATTCTTGGGTCTTTACACTCTACTAGAGTATTTATCGACGGGTTGCTTCATACGATGGCCCTGAAGATTTTAGGGAAGATGTGAGGTAAAAACTACTCTTTTCAAGTTACTTTTGTATTTGCGCTATCACTCATTGCATTTCATACATTTGATCATTAATAAGTTCGAAATCAAAATGGACACAGTCATCCATTCTTTTCTTTTCTTATTATTATTTTTTTTTCATTTGAATATCTCTCTGAATGAATTAGAAGTTCTCAGTGAGATGGGTAAAAAAACTTATTAGACAACATTGACTATTGATAACTAATAAGTTCTACCTATTGGTGGCTTGAAAATTTTTTTACATTGATATAATAGTCTACAGTGTTATTCTGTAAATTCCTGGACTGACAGGATGGCCAAAATATGAGTCATCCCTTCTTCACAACTAATAATAAGTTTTTAATAATTAAGACTATTTTACTTTTAATGCCAGAAATCCACTCCTAAGATTGGTCTAATGTTTCAACTGGAAGGAGCAAGAAAATTGTGGGGGAAACCAGAGACATGAATTAAAATATATCTGTTGCATATATGCGTCATCTGAACACTTTTGGATGCTCAATTAGCACTAAGATCTCCCGATGTTGATGTTTAATCCAGCTATTAGGTTACCAACATCGATATTTTGATACCTACATTGGCCATTTTTATCTAGTCATTTACTGGTTTTGAGGTTTGATATGCCTTTTTCCAGACCAGTTTTTTCGAGTTGCCTAGATATAAAATATTGGTATTTTCTAAATTATTATTTGTTTATTCATTTATCACTTGAAGACGGTTGCTTGCTCCTGTGAGGCTTGGAGCTCAGGCATTTTCATGGGCTGCTGGAAAACTTGAAACCAATGGCCTTAGACTCCCCACATCGCCTTCATCAGTAGATGTTCAAAGCCGGGTGCTGCAAGCTGCTGCAAAACATGAATCTCAACCATCCGATACCGAAGGAGTTCAAAATCCATCCACCTCTGAATCAGTGGCTCAATAAATGAGAACGTAGATTTTTCCCAAGCATAGACTGGATTTTTGCTTGATGGATATCGCTCGAAGATTGTTGAACTTGGCAAATCTTTACAATGTATAAAGAGTACTAAATGCCCCCCCGGTGTCCGACCTCTTTGAAAACGAGTTTTGTACATCATATCAAATCAAGCAAGCAAGTTTGTATATTTCATCAATAATATATTCCTCGTGATAAGTGTATAGACTTCCAGTCACAATGATACTTGTGTTCCTGCAAATCAGCTGTTAATTGATATGCACAAGCTATTGGTATTATTTAAAACTTTTTAAATAGAAAGAGAATGTTCTTTTTAGTTTTCTTTTAACTACGTATTTAAGCAGTATCCACTATCCAGGGTACTTGATCTTTTTGAAATTGATATATATGGTTCTTAAGGCATGTTTTGTTTCCCTTAGAAATTGAATGAGAATGAAAATGTATATCTAAATTTGTAAAGAATCTATTCACCAAAAAAAAAAAAAATTGTAAAGAATCTTATCCTAAGTTTATATAAACAACTAAATAAAATGTGTTGTTATATTAATAATTATATTTAAAAGTATACATCCTTCAACATAAAGTTTTTCTAGTCAAATGTAAAACTATTTGAGAGTTAAACATATTTTGACCCAACTTGAACTCATATAATTTTCACTATAGCTATTTAAAATGTCTCAATATCCTCGTGTATGTTACGGTAAAATCAACTGCATTAAACCTGTTGATGGCATTATATCAAATTGTGCCGATCACAAATTGTGCCATTAGCAGCACTCAATTTCGAACAATACACCTTACACCTCAAATTCAAATCTAAATCTATAATCATTTCAATTACCTATCCGAATGGACTTTTAACAAAGTTTATGTCCTTGTGGATCAAAAACAGAAAAATCTTAGTCTAAATGATTCATTTCAATTCTAATTCCAGAGTGAACCAAACATAACCTTAATTTAATATAAGAAATATGATGCATCTTGACACTAATTAGTTAAAGATAACTCTTCATTCATTCAAAAAACATACAAGAAATTCTACCAACTTAATGATGGCTGCACAAGAGTTAATCTCAATATTGTTTCTTCTCTTAACAAGCCAACACAAAGCAAGAATTGCAGAAATACATTACAAGGCAATGGGCATATTGGGATTCTAATTGTCACCTATCATCGGATCTCAATTGGGCATGTTTGCACTTGGTCCTTTTTTGTTTCCCATAACCACCATAGGTGGTGGAGATAGTAACCCTGCCCTGAATAGAATGCTTCGCACAGGATCAGTAGGCTGAGCTCCAACTGATAACCAATACCTGCATCAGAGATGAAAGGAAAGAATAACTAGAGAGTCATAGAACAAGTATGTATTTTGCGTGCACGTGTCCCCATTTGACCGATTAGATATATCAAAAATTCTAAAAAAGTTCTCAGTTTTCTGTTCCTTTAATATAAACTTCTCAACTGAAATACTCAAAATTCCACCAAAAATGTTAAATGGTTCGAATTCCATTTGGTCTGCTACATAGTACAAATCAGCAGAAGTTAAATCAGAAGTATATATAAAGTTACGGCAAAATATGACATCCCTTGTGTTAGAAAATGGTGCTACAAATCCAATTAATGAAACTCGGATCAAAAGTAAGACAATGAAGTCTGCACACGAGGCTTGAAGAATTAAATACTAATGGAAGAGCATGTATTTAAATTTGCAAAATTTGTTTCAGAAACTACCGTAAATTCTTGACCAGCACCATTAATTTTCTGTCTCATGTCAAATATTTCAGTTTAGGTCACAAGGTGAAAAACTACAGTGAAACTAACAGAGTCAGACTGATGAGCTTACCATAAGCAAGCATCTGAGTAAGTTGCACAAGTATTAAAAGAACCCATTTGCAAGGATTGACCTATGCATTATTCTACCGAGTTGGATAAGAGTATGCAAAAAAGATTACTACAACGACAACAACTAAGCCTTAGTCCCAAACTAGTATGCATATACAAAAAAGATTAAGAACAGAAAAAAAGTAATGTAACCCATTGCATAATTTGCATTTGCTCGTAAGTCTAAAGTTGGAGAGAGTATGTCCAAGAAATTCAACAGAAGTTAAAATGTAAAATTGGATAACGCAAGTATTGCCACTAAGCCATCATCCCTCAACAACAGACAGCATAAAAAAAAATTCCCTTCATAAATTAAGTTCAGCAGCGGAATAAGTATCTCCAAATGATGAATTAAAAACCAAATTGAATTTGAGAAGAAAACTGAAGTAAATAATGGCTTACTCCACTAGATCCAATTTGAGGCCCACTCTCTTATCATCCTCATCACCTGTTAAAAATGAGGAAGAGAAAAAATTAATGATCAATTCTTGACAAGAAGTTCAAGCCTTGGAATACAAAAAATATAGCGTTATATTTATGTATATATATATACAAAAAAATCATTAAAGACCGTCAAAGATTTCGAACAATAAGTCAAATCAGATTAATATTTGCATCACCCAATTTATGAAAATGGCCCCAAATCGTTTTCAAGGATTTTCCAAATGTTTCTATGCAGGAAACGTCTCCGAGACGTGGAAACAGCAGCCAAAGAGAATTTCTGTGCAACATAGTTTTCCATTCTCACCCTACTACTTCTGAGATGTGAGCTCCATTTGTTTTCAAAAAATAATTTAGTTGAAAAATATTTTCTGAATTTTTCTACTATTTTCCTGAATTAAATCATTTTAAAAAAATGATTTCCTTTTTTCAAAAGATGAAAACGTTTCTCAAACTTTGACAAACTTATTGCAACGTTGTAAACTTCACATTTATTGATCACTACCAGTAAACACTAGTTATCCAATATGTTGTATGGAAACAAAAGAGTGGAAGTGCAGAAATGTGAAAACGAAGGTATTTTTAAAAATATAGGAAATAGAAACGATAGAGAAACACAAAAATATAAATAAAAAAAGGTTTATATATTTATAGATATAAAAAATAAATTACTATAAAGCATTAAATATATTCAACAATAAATCAAGTCTAATCAATATTTAATCATATTCAAAAGAAAAAAAAATTTATAAATTCCATACTCATAAAAAGTACATGTTTTATGAATTATTTATGTATTTATTTTAACGAGAGAAATGAATTTTTGAGAGAAAACATTGTATTTTCCAAATTACGCAATTCATGGAAACGGACTCCAATAGTTTCCGAGGAGCTTCCAAATGTTTCTTGCACGGAAACTTTTCCGAAATGCGTTGGAAAACAGCGGCCAGGGAGAGTCTCCGTACAACCACCCATCACTGGCAACCACTGACGGAAGGAAGGAGCCAGGGGTGGCCCCGCCCCTCAGCAAAATTTTCTTTTTAAAAAAATGCGCCTCTAAGTTTTTAAAGACTTTCAATTTATCGTTTAAATAGTGTATTTTTTTAATTTAGCCCTTCCTAACTCTTAAAAAAAAATTTTCGTCCCTTTTTCTTCAATCCTGGCTCCGCCATGGCCGGCAAAAAACACATTATTTTTATGCATGTTTTCTCATATTTTCACAATAAGTTCTTAAAATATGAAATTTCTATATTTTTAGATATTTATGCCTTATAAATTAAAATTTTTAATATTCTTTAGCTAATTTTCAATATTATAACAAAAAACAGAATATAAATTGTATGGAAAATGTTTTCCAAAATTCCAAAAGCTAGTTGTTTTCCAGAAACAAAACAATTGGAGCCGTGGATTAAGTTTTATTTTTTTATTTTTTATACAGAACTGAAACACCCATATTAATCTTATTGGAATGAAACTCTTCTCTTCTATCACAGAGAAAAAGTCAATGTAGATTCAAATGAAATTGAAAAGGAAGTGTAAAAGAAAGTATAATAATTGTCTTAGGAAATAACAAAATGAAATCAATTTTACAAAATCCCTATTCAGAATAAACAAAACCCACTAATTTAAAGCTCATAATTTCTCTTTTCATTTGCCTTTTCTCATATTTTTTCAAAACCAAACGGAAATACCTGCCAAGGGATTATAGAAACCAAGAACTTGAAGATGCCTTCCATCTCTAGGGGATTTGCTATCAGCAGCTATGATCCTGTAAAAGGGTCTGTTTCTGCATCCGCATCTCTCCAATCGGATCTTCACGGCCATTTGGTCTCTCGTAGAAACTCACCTCGCAGATTAGATAAGATTGCTATTACTAATTTACTACAGGAATGTGGCTCTAGCTCGTTCAGGGCTTTTACGATGAGGGCTTTTGGCGTTTTGTATGGGGTTTTTAGATAACGGGTTTTTTCGCGATTTGTATGGTTCCAGCTCGTTCAGGGTTTTAGGATAAGGGGTTTTGGCGTTTTGTCCCTTGTGTTTGCTTGATCAAAATGACATAACGTTTACCGGGGCAGAGGCAGACGAACAAAGCTAAAAATCAGTTTTGGACAAAAAAGCCCAGCCCAGCCCAGCACAGGTCCATCGACCACAGATAAAATGCGAAGCCATTAAACAAAACGGCAAAGGAAATGACACACGACGATTGGACCACTGAATCAAAATCAAATTTTCTCCAGAACTAACAGAGGAAGAACTCTCTAGGGTTTACCGGGTTCAAATCTCCCAAGCAGGTGCTCTCTCTCCCCCCTCTCTCCTTCTCTATACTATTTTTAGAATTCTGTTTAGCTTCTTTTTAGTTGGAGCCATTGTTAAGACGTTTCTGTGCTTCAAGATATAACCATGGACATCGAATTTTTTATACTTAGTACCTAATTTCATATTTTAACTATGGTTTTCATTGCTGTTATTGTTGCTTAGCTCAAAATTGCCTCATTCAGTCTTATTGAAAGATGAAATATCTCTTTTATTATTATGAGTTCGATCTTAGGATTCATTGCTCAACTGAAAGACGTGCTTTTATTTTCCCTCGACACTGATGTAGAAACTATATTCGATTTCCCTATGAGATTTTCTGGTTTGAATTTGGTGTAATTAGGTGTTTTTGTTGGCTCTTTTACCTTTTATGGCCATTTTGAGGTGAAGCAAGAAAAGGGGGTGGGGTGAGGATTTGACTCGGGGGTTTTGAACTTGTCAAGCTCGCTATGGCTATATATCTTAGGTGGCAAAGCTAGATATCCTCGTTTTTTTCGAGCCTGGCTGCTTTGTAACTCAATAAAATGCCTCAACTATTTCATCTTCTTTGTGTTGTTGTATTCATTTGCCAAGCTAGTTCAGGTTTGTTTAATTCAGATTATTAACCACCCACCCACCCCCCACCCCCCCACAACCCACACACATGAAAGAAGACGAAGAAGAAGAAGCAGCAGCTCATTTAAATAGCGGAACCATAGATGCAAGTGTTATTAGGTGTTTTAGTGCTAGCTCTTCACCTTTAATAGATTTGATAATCAAGTAAGGAGGTTGAGGATTAAAATATCAAGTTTCGGAATATTTGAATTGAATACCTTAGTTGACAATGCCTCAAATTCTAGTTTATAAATCTATAGGATATTTCTCCAATTCCATCTTGTTTATTTTTATTTCAAATGCTGACTGCTTTGAGGTTTGTTTTTAATTCAGGATAGTAACAGAAAAAAAAGGATAGGAACTTGTTGAAATAGCCGAGACCAAGATGCAAGTTGTTCCTCGAGAGAGTGACAATCCTTTGCCTGTCTCTCACCCAAGGCCGATGGACTGGTCTGCCGTCCCTTATACTGGTCCACCGGGTCCTGGGCCAAATGGAAAGCAACGGACATCAAGCTTGGAATCACCTATCATGTTACTCACTGGTCATCAGAGTGCTGTATATACAATGAAATTTAATCCAGCAGGAAATCTCATTGCATCTGGATCGCATGACAAAGAAATTTTTCTTTGGTATGTCCATGGGGAGTGCAAAAATTTCATGGTGTTGAAGGGGCATAAAAATGCTGTTCTGGATCTTCACTGGACTACTGATGGCTACCAGATAATATCAGCCAGTCCAGACAAAACCGTCAGGGCATGGGATATTGAGACTGGTAAACAGATAAAGAAAATGGCAGAACACTCATCTTTCGTGAATTCGTGCTGTCCATCTCGGAGAGGGCCTCCACTTGTTGTTAGTGGATCTGATGATGGAACCGCAAAACTTTGGGACATGAGGCAGAGGGGTGCCATCCAAACATTTCCAGATAAATACCAAATCACAGCTGTCGGCTTCTCTGATGCATCAGATAAGATCTTCACAGGTGGTATAGACAATAATGTTAAGGTATGGGATCTGCGCAAAAATGAAGTAACAATGAAACTTGAAGGCCATCAAGATATGATTACTGGTATGCAGTTGAGTCCTGATGGCTCATATCTTCTTACTAATGGTATGGACTGCAAGCTCTGCATTTGGGATATGCGCCCATATGCACCACAGAATCGCTGTGTTAAGGTACTAGAAGGGCACCAACACAACTTTGAAAAGAACTTGTTGAAATGTAGCTGGTCACCAGATGGAAGCAAAGTTACTGCTGGTAGCTCAGATCGGATGGTGTATATATGGGACACAACTTCTCGACGCATATTATATAAGCTTCCTGGCCATACTGGATCTGTCAATGAGTGCGTATTCCACCCTACTGAGCCTATCGTTGGATCTTGCAGTAGTGATAAACAGATTTATCTTGGAGAGATCTGATTATGATGTTTTAAGTGGACCAAAAAGAAATTACACTTAGCATTGAGAATATTTCGGAGAGCTAAAAATGTCAGTATCCTACAAATTTGGTGAATAGATTGTATTCCTCCTGTAGTTTCTTGGCTGAATTTGACTTTACTATTTAATGCTAAAACATTCTTACTTTTTTACTGAAATATCAAGTTTGAACCTTGACCATGTATGCTAGATGGAATGTGCTGCTAGAATCTTTGTCTGAATCAACTGATTAGTAATGGTTAGACCAGTTCTTTTTGCGTTCTTGTTATATTATTAATAAGCAATATTTTGGTTCGAACCAGTTTGGTATCACGTTGGATAAGGAATGATGTGAAAATTTGTTTCCAATTTTAGGTTTGTGGTCTTTTCTTTCTACCAAGAGAAATGTTGCAGGTTATGTTGCTGATGTTTCAAGCAGTCTGGGTTCTAATTACGCTAGCTCTGAAGTTGCTGAAGAAATCCAATTTTTTGATGGATAGAATTGTTTGAGCGGAGGCATATCGACTTGTAATATGCTAAATCATTATTCAGTTCTTTATTTGGCTGAAATGTTACTGGTAATATTGTTACTGGTTGCTTATTTATTTAATTTGTTCTTCAAGAAAAAGAGAGAAAGAAAAAGAAGTATAAATCTTGAAAAAAAAAATTTAGGCATTGAAATTTTAAAATTAGTTTTTTAGTACAAGTAATGGAATATACTAATTAATGCTAATTAATCTTCTTTTTTGTATCTAACATGACTTTTTAAAAAAAAAAAAAAATTAAAACATGACTTAAATGTAAACTAAAACTTGTAAGAAAAATGTTTTAGACATTAATAGCAAACATCACGTTAGTTTTAAGACTTCCAATACTTTAAAGTAGTGTCAAAAAAGAAAAAAATTCAGTATAACCCGCCAATTCCAAAATCCGTCCCACATAATGCAAATTTCCTTTTTTTTTTTTTAATTATTTTTGACAAAAAAGTTACCTATATCTATTTCTTAAGCTTAAAAAAAAAAAAGAAAAAGCAAAAAAGAAAATTATCCGTTGGAACTCCCAGATCGCAAATCTGAATATATGAAAAGGAACTAGCCGTTAGTAAAGCAAACGGTCATTCCCTACTCCTTATATAACAATTACAATAACTCAATAAGCAACTCCATTCTCATCATCATCTTCTTCTTTCTTCTTTCTTCTTTCTTCTTTTAGTATCTTAAATTTAACTCCGTCCAATATATATCTCAGAAATGGGTGTCTTTATCAACCATAACCAATCTTGTGCTTCAGTAGCTCAATCTCACCATCGCATGCACAAGATCTTCTTGATCTGCAACTACATTCTATTGAGCGCAGCCTCTAGTTGCATCTTCCTCACTCTCTCTCTCCGCCTATTCCCATCTCTCTGCGGCTTCTTCTTCATCCTCCTCCACATCTTCACCATCATTGGCGCCGTCTCCGGTTGCTCCGTCGCTACAACTGGATCAAGCAAATGGTATGCGGCTCACATGGTGGCTACTTCACTAACTGCAATATTTCAAGGCTCCGTTTCAGTGCTTATTTTCACGCAGACCGGAGACTTTTTAGGGTTTTTGAAATCTTATGTTAGAGAAGAAGACGGTGCTGTTATTTTGAAATTGGCTGGTGGACTCTGTGTTTTGATTTTTTTCTTGCTATGGATTGTTTTGACTTTGGCGTTTCTGTTGAGGTATTATGCTTTTGTGGAAGGAAGTAATGGCGACGTCCGTGGCCGTAGTGGCGGCAGATTTCAAGAAGAGGAGATGAAGAATCCTTGGTCTTTGAATGTTTAGAGTTAATTAATTCATTCATTTAATTGATATATTAATTATATATTGCAAGTAATATTTTTTTAATTATTTCTTAGATTTCTTATTATTATTTGGTTCTTTTTCCACTTTTTGTTAATTACATTACTAATTAATTAGGCTTTTCAAAGAAATCAGTAGTGGTCTTTTTTTTTTTTTTTTTTGATTTTCTTATTTATTATTTAGTTCTTTTCCATCTTTTGTTTAGATTAAACAATTACTACTAATTAGGCTTTTACGCAAAAGGAAATCAGTAGTGGTCTTTTTTTTTTTATTTTTGTGTAATTTTGTCCTTCATTTATGATAGAGTGTTTATCAGTTTTTAATATAAAAATTTATTTATTTATTTACCCATAAAAAATTTTTTTTTTTTTTTTTGTGTAATTTTGTCTTCATTTATGAAGAGATGTTTATGCACTTTTAAATATAAAATTTATTTATTTATTTACCATAAAAAATATTAAACAATTAATGAGGTCAAATTTCAGAAATTAAATAATTCTCTTTTTTTTTTTGTCAAATTATAAATGCAAAATTAGGCAAAAGCTTTAGTTTTTTTTTTTTCATTATAATAACTTAAAAATTTATAATAAACCCTAAGTATATATTTTCCAATTCTGAATAACTTAATTAATTGCATGTCCTAAAAAAAACTTGATATCATATAAAATTATATTTATAATTTTTCATACAAAATAAACTTGAATCTTCTTCTAATAATATTTATTACTCTTATTATTAAAACCACTATTACTGTAATTTTCCTCTCATTAGCATTGACATGATTTTGCCATATAAAATATTTGTCGAAGAACTAATTAATTATGTTAATTACGATTTTTTTTCATATAAAAATTTGTGCAAAATACACCCAAATGATTAAAATTGTAAATTGTATATTGACTAATTTTCATATATCATTTTATTTTTCCGCACTTTGATTTATAAAATTAAAATCGCATTTATTTTATAAAATATTATTATTTTCAATACGTGTATTTTGTACTGACAAATAGTGACAAATGAAAATTGACAAATCAATAAAGAATTGATTATTACACTACACAAAATCAATTCCCTTTCAACCAAGTTTTAGAAGTTAAAAAAAAAAACAAAAATTTATTGTTTGCTATAGGGAAATTCCATGAAATGGATATCTTTATCAGATTAATGGATTATTACAGTACACAAAATCAATTCCCTTTCAACCAGTTTTAGAAGTTAAAAAAAAAAAACAAAAATTTATTGTTTGCTATAGGGAAATTCTATGAAATGGATATCTTTATCAGATTCATTGAATTTGGACACAGTCAACTTAATATAAGAACGAAATAAAATAAAATAAAATAAAATAAAATAAAATAAAATTAGACACTAAAAAAATTATAGAGTCTATCTTATACTTTCTTTATTTACTCATTTAGGCTTTCTGAAAGATTTTTAAATTTATTTTATAATTATAATTATAAGCCGGTCATTCTGTATTTTGTCTCGCTATTAAGTAAACATGTCCACACCATTTCAATCTGTAAATGAAGATTCTATCTCTTTCCCGCCAAAGAAAGGTCCCTTCTTCTAACGATATCAACTTCTCTCGCCTCACCTTAAAAATGCCATTGATTACTCAAAGTTCAACTCAACATTTGAGATTTCGAATCTATCTTTAAAGGTTTTTTTTAATAAAATTAATTATTTTAGTAATTTTTTATTAAAAATTAAAAATTTAACGTCATAAAAGTTGATCTTTTATAAAAAATTATTTTAATATTTAAAAATTAATTTAAAATCTATGCTACTGAATATTATAAAAAAAAAATTATAATCAACCTAACGGTTGGAAACTCACGTGGAAAAAAATTATTCACGTCGAACACAATTTCCTCTCTCCTCAGAAGAAAAAAAAAAAAAAAAAAAAAGAAAAAAAGAAAAAATACAATTACCTTCTTCTCATTCAGAAAAAATATAAAAAAAAAAAAAAAAAGAGAACAGATGTTATTAATCGTGTAGATCTATCTTTATTCCCTCTCAATGATCGATCCAATCTTTTCTTTTATGTAAAAAAAAAAAAAAAAAAAAAAGAGAAAGATGTTATTAATCGGTAGATCTTTTTTTTTATCCCCAAAATCGATCCATTCTTTCTTTATTTTGAAAATTTAATAGTTTTTTCCCTTTTTTACCCTCTATTTCTTAACTGTATTACATGTTATGGCCCAATACACCGCACAATAGGATATTCGCATACGCTGGCATATTGGGCCCACCCAAAAATTAAACGACAGCTCGTGCGTAGGAGAGAGTCGAATGCTGTAACATTTCTGGAAAAAAAAAAATTACTGGGCATTAAAACTCTTTACTATTTATATATGCCAATAGGAAAGGGCAAAATGACGCAGTTTTCTGTTATCGGCAGTTTCTTCACAGAAAAAACTCCAGTCCGTAGAAATGACAATATCTTCTTCTCTGTTGATGAATCAGTTGACTTCTCCACTCTTCAAATCGCAAAAGCCAGACCTGCTATTGCTTTCTTCCTCTTCCTCCTCAACAGAGCTCCTCCGCAAACACTGCCTTGTTGCGGGTACCGCCGCCAAGTACAATAAGAAGTGTGCTTCCGTTCCTTCAATTGTATGCAAAGCAGTGTCCGTTAAGCCTCAGACTGAAATTGAAGGTCTCAACATTGCCGAAGATGTCACTCAGGTTTGGTTCTTTTGCACTATTGTGTCGCAATTTCGAATCGGGTTTGTTTCAATTTTGAGAATTTTGAAGGATTTTTTTTCCTTTTTGTGTGTTGTGACCAATGAGTGTTTTAATAGATAACTGAACCATTTCTGGATGGCTTCAATGGATGTATGATTTATATTTGGTTTAATTTATTGACAATTTGATGCTACTTGATTTTCTTTTTTATAATATTATACACGGTTTTTGAAGGTTCAGAGCTGTTTATGTGCCTTAACAATAGGTTCTTTCTCTCTATTTCTATTTTTTTTTTCTTTTCACAATGAATTATCTCTGTCGTGCTTTGTAAATCAACTAAAGGCACTCAAGCTGCTGGTTTTTCTCCTTATTTTCATTCTCTTACAACGGAGTTGTTAATGGCTTGTTCTGTGAACCAACTATAAACTAGGGTCTAGAAATTTGCATTAGCGGAGAGAAAAATACATACATATTTAAATAAACGCTCTGCACATGCGTAGGCAGACACATATGTATACATTTTTGTCTTTTCAATTGTTCTCTAAGTTGTTAATAATCATATTTGTTAATATTTTGGATGAAAAAACAAAACAAAACAAAACAGGATATATAATATATTTTTCAACAATTTTTCGCATTTATATTATTATTTTCTTTTAGTTCAATTACTAGGAAGGAGATTTATTATGAAATAAAATTTACTTTAATGTAACTCCTAGATAATCTTATCATGTATATTGTTACTTTTATTCTTTATATATACATTGGTTAGTTTTCAATTGAGAGTTTGAATTTGCAATCTCACAAGTCCAAAGACGATTCTTTCTAATATCAATTGGTCAATTAGACAAAGCTTACTAATAGAAGTATGACTTTTAATATATATTACTGAGAAAAATTTTGTTCGCAGGACTAGAAAAAGATGATACTAAAAATATAAAACTTAAACTCAGAACATACATAAGTGGGTTAAGATCAAATCAAAGTAAACTAAACTAAATAGTAGATAAATTCATTTTAAGTTCAAAAAGTTGAATAATAAGTTTAGTTCAACTCAAATTACACTAATTAATTTTTGAAGCTCCTCAAAAAAAATATAAAATTATCAAACTCTAATTATTAAGTGGAAAAATATTGTGTAAGAGCAATATAATAATGTGGGGGCAAATTTAAATGATTAAGTTATACAAAAATGTTTACACATATATATATTAAAAGGACTAGTATGGGGTAAGTGCCCCATTGGCCCCATGCTAGATCCATCCCCAAACAAAAGAATTTGGTTTCTTGGTTATTTATTTATATTCTTGGTGTTTTGTAATACAGCTTATCGGGAAAACACCTATGGTCTACCTAAATAACATTGCAAAGGGGTCTGTTGCAAACATTGCTGCGAAGCTTGAGATCATGGAACCATGTTGCAGTGTCAAAGACAGGTGAGAATCGTTAAATGAGAATCTTAGTCCTCAACTTTTTTTTGGGTATCTTGTAGTTTAACTCAAAAGGTCCCCAATGTTATTTTTCATGAAAAATGGCTAATGTATTGACCTGGATACACTGTTTAAACTTCCAATATAATTAAAATGAAATTAGGTTCCCTGGAAAGGAATGTAGCAGTTGCTTTTGTAATGATACTTTTGCCTACAGCAAATTAATTCTTTGAGCAAGTGTTACTATGTTTTTGTGTAACTGTAACAATCTGGTAAATAACTGGTAATTTCTCATCAGAATTTTTAATATTTGATTTCAGAATAGGCTATAGCATGATAATTGATGCTGAGAAGAGAGGAGTTATAACACCTGAAAAGGTAATAATTTCTTGTCCGTGGTTTGGAATTTGTAAATAAGGTGTTACAGGCTTGAAAAGCATCAGTTTGTGTCCTTTCATTCTGGAAATATTTTAACTGAAAACTGAACATTTTGTTAATGATTTTCTTCCATAGATTAACACATGGATGAAATTCAGTTCAAGGCTGATCCAAATTATTGTTGCATACAAATTTTATAGGCAGAGATGCTTTGTAGAACAGTTTGACCGGAGAGAATGAAGCCTAGATCTATGCTTGATATCTAATTTTGCGTGCCTGGCTATTGTACATGTTGTGCATGTCAATTAAAGTAGGTCTATCAAATTTTTGAAGTGTGGGATCATATGCATGGCTGCTTTGACAAATGGCATGTTGCCATTGCTTTGCACTTAAATTTAGGCCAATCACTAAGGATTTTTATATTGGGTGGTTGTGTCACTGCTTAATGTAATACTTTCTTGTAGATGCAATGGGATACAGGGGTGGGTTCTGCATTTCCTGATCCCACATTCTGCCTCTTATGTGTCACACCTGTACTTGCCCCATTGCCCAGCATGTATAAAATCTTTTTCCCAGTTGCTTTTTGGGGGAATGGTTTTCCATTCCTTCTTGTTAAGACAAACTAAATGAATAAATAAAATTCTAGATAAAGAGCAACAACATATAAAGAGGTAAAGGAAAAGAAAATTAACCTAACATATCAATTCTACATAAATAAATATGTTTGGCAATAATATAATTGCATGAAAATAATAATAATCTCTTAGCTGATGTGGGATAATAAAACCTGTCTGTGCCCAACCATAGCCCTAGTTTAGATGGCATTGCCCTGAAAACAGCCTTAGGCCCTTTTGAAACTAAAAGACCATCTAATTGGAGCAAGGTGGAGTAGATCCCTGCTGGTGGGAGAGGGATGTGTTGTAATTTTCATATCTATTATTTTGCTAGATAGGCATTTCAAATTATGGTCAGCTCTGAATAGTTTCTGTTGACAAATAGACTTTATTGTAAAGCAACTGGCGAATTGGCTATGGCCCCCATGGTACTGATGTCATACAAAGTATAGGGCCCCTGCTTTTGTGGAAACTGAAAGCTGCTCTCCTCTGCGCTCTATGTTTAATTGATTCACTGCACCATCTAGTTGTCAATTTGACACTTTTAACAAAATTCATGAATTCAATGGATGTGATTTATTATTTGTCTTTATTTGGAATGTAATATGTGTAGCTTACCCCAGCTTATTTGAAACTTATGTTTTAGCTGACTTGACTCTATGCCCATTGTATTTACCCATATACTTTTTTCATGTTTTTATTTCTATATTTAAAAGTGCATAGGATCACGTATGAGATGGTTCACAAATTACCATTTGAATGTTTCCTAGCATCATCATTGTAGACCAGTCATGGGTAGTGCAACACTATTTTACGGCTCTTATATAACTTCATCGATCATTTTGATTGAGACTTTTCTCTATCTTTAGAGTATTCTTGTGGAACCTACAAGTGGAAACACAGGCATTGGCCTTGCATTCATAGCTGCTTCAAGAGGATATAGACTTATCTTAACTATGCCAGCATCAATGAGTTTGGAAAGAAGAGTTCTCTTAAAAGCATTTGGAGCTGAGCTTGTTTTAACTGATCCAGCAAAGGGCATGAAGGGAGCAGTTCAGAAAGCTGAAGAAATTTTGAAAAGCACACCTAATGCCTATATGCTTCAACAATTTGATAATCCTGCAAATCCTAAGGTTAGTTGTTGCTATCCTCTTGTCCCTTGTAGTGATTATTCTTGAAGTCATTTTAGTCCTTGTTGGGTCAAGTGCTGTTTACTTTTAGTGCTATGTGTGCTAATTTAATATGCTATGCATCTACCCTAAGAATAAGTGATCCTGTAAAGAAAGATGCTATATATCTTGTGTCCTGCATTTTTCATCTTCGATATCGTTGGGTTTGTGCAGTTCTTTTCCAAACTCACAATTCTCTCTGCAAGTTTAATCTCAGAACTCATTGCTTAATTATCCATTTATCTTAGGATTCAATTTCATCATGTTCCTAATTCTGTCAGGCAATTTTCCCTTTTCTTTGTCTGACCAGTTTTTCAATTTTATGGTTGTTATTTTTACCCCGGAGAACTTATTAGTTTCTAGGATGGTGAACCTAGATTGGTTAACCTATGATTCAGATTTAAATGCATATTCTATTGCAGATACACTATGAGACAACTGGACCAGAAATATGGGAAGATACGAGAGGGAAGGTTGATATCTTCATTGCAGGTATTGGAACTGGTGGAACCATTTCTGGAGTTGGTCGGTTCCTCAAGGAGAAGAATCAGAACATTAAGGTAATTATCTCCTGTTAAAATTTGCCAACTGCTGATACATGTTCTATTTATGTCTCGATTTCATGTGCTGATCAACCAAAATTTCAAAGGACTTCCTACAAAAAATGTAACATGAAGGGAAAGCAAATAAAAAAGCGCGTGCAATTTAATTCTCCTGTCTAATAGAAAATGCGCTTGAAGGAAGAGTTTCTTTCCTTTTGCAGTTTTAACTTGAGTATCCCCATTTTTCATGTCAGGTTATTGGTATAGAACCTTCAGAAAGCAACATACTTTCAGGTGGAAAGCCTGGTAAGAATAAATACTATGGTGACTTATCAGTTTCAACATGATGCACTAAATGTCTTTTATTTTGTATGGGAATTTCTATGATATATTTATTTTCAAATTGAAAATGCAGGTCCTCACAAGATTCAAGGGATTGGGGCTGGTTTTGTGCCCAGGAATTTGGATCAAGATTTAGTTGATGAAGTCATAGAGGTTTATATCTTGTCATTTTTGTGTTTATTATTTTCACTCTCTGCAAAAGTAATGCAGATTACCCTGCTTATGAAAATTCTGAAGTAAATAAAAGGAGGAAAATTTAGAATTTATAATAATGCAGCTGGTTGCACGAGTAACTGCATCTTGAGTGCATATTTTGACATTTGCATTTATAGCACATGGTGGTGCATCTTTGGACTTTATCTTTTTCCTAAATATGCTTCATACATGATGACCTTTCCTTGAAATTAAATATTCTTTTGTGTTTCTAATAATGCAACTGGTTACACGAGTAACTGTATCTTGAGTGCATATTTTGACATTTGCATTTATAGCACATGGTGGTGCATCTTTGGACTTTATCTTTTTCCTAAATATGCTTCATACATGATGACCTTTCCTTGAAATTAAATATTCTTTTGTGTTTCTAATAATGCAACTGTGCATATTTTGACATTTGCATTTATAGCACATGGTGGTGCATCTTTGGACTTTATCTTTTTCCTAAATATGCTTCATACATGATGACCTTTCCTTGAAATTAAATATTCTTTTGTGTTTCTAATAATGCAACTGGTTACACGAGTAACTGTATCTTGAGTGCATATTTTGACATTTGCATTTATAGCACTTGGTGGTACATCTTTGGACTTTATCCTTTTCCTGAATGTGCTTCGTACATGATGATGACCTTTCCTTGAAATTGAACATTCTTTTGTGTTTCTATTGAAAAACATCCATGTTGAAGCTGTTTTCTACTTACAGTTTTGCATGAATTTCATCAGTTCAGAATGGATGGAAAATAAAAACATAACTGGATTTGATATAGATTCTTTGTTATTACTGAGATTTTTGTACTATTTTCTTGGTAGTTGTTAACTTCAGCTTTTAGTATAAAATTGTTTAGATAAATGATTTGGATACCATTTTATCTTTATTTTTGGTTATATGAAGTTGCATTTGTATTTAGTAGGAGCAAGCACATAGTTATCTTGTCAAGCTGTTGGCACCTGCAGATTATGTTGTGCACATGTCTTTGTGCTTCAAATATGTAATTTAAACCACAAAGTTTCAATGTCAGGTTAGAACATTTATTGTGTCTCATTTCTCACATTTGTGTATTTATCAGATATCCAGTGATGAAGCTGTTGAAACTGCAAAGCAAGTAGCACTCCAGGAAGGTTTACTGGTCAGTGCTTTAGAACTTTTTATATTTTGAAGTATGAAATGAAAGAAAAACTGAATTGCATTGACATATGCAAGTATGGAATTATTAAATGAGTCAAATCTTCAATCAGACTGTTATAAATTCTCTTCGTCTATTTGTTTGATGGAATGACGCTCATTAAAAATTTATACTTGCCATATTTAGTTCCTAGTTAATTAACCAAACCTTGTGAATCTATGAAATGTCAATCACTATCATCCCTTTCTTTCAATTTTTATACAACAATCAACTGAGTCCTAGAATGCTGTCTTCCTTGCTGGCTGGGGTTTAGGCTTAGGCTTTATCACCTTCTCTATCTCCTGGGGACTCCACCAACTAAACCTGGAATAATATCTTGTGCCCACTCCAATAATGACAAATGTTGACTATGGAGTTTTTTTTTCTCTCTTTCACATCTAAATGAAAATACGATATAATTTTTTTATACTTAGATAGGTGTACCTAATTTTAGTTGCCTAAATCCCTTCTCACACCACCCTTTACCACCACACATGAATGCTATCTCATATTATATTTGTTACTGTATTACTCTTCGTGCTTGTAATATTCCTTACATTATTAAATACCAGGTTGGCATATCTTCTGGAGCAGCTGCTGCTGCTGCATTGAAGGTTGGAAAGAGACCAGAAAATGCTGGGAAGCTGATTGCTGTAAGTGCTTCAATTACATTGAAATCAACTTACTCAGTTTTAGTTTGCTAATCTTCAGCGTTGAAAATAAAAGGTTCCATTCTAGAAATGCAGGATCAGGCCAGATCCAAAATTATTGGTATGAGGGTTTTGTTTGGTGTTGTTATTGAGAAAAGTTTCAACTTGGAAATGCTAACTGATTAATTAAAAACTATTTTAGTTAGATTAAATATTCTTACGAAGATTTTTAACTTCAATGCCAAATATATACAAATTCTTCTAGGATAAAAATTTCTATGGGCTGGCACACCTAAATATTGATATGAATCATTTCCTTTTCCTTCCTTCAATGGTTTCTTTTTCCTGTTGTCTTCCTTGTTGGGGTTGTCATCTACAGGCTTAGATGTGCATTCGTGGCTGTTTATTAGGGTTGAGCGTTGGTTGGGCATGCAATAGTCAAAGTGAATTAACTGAATTTTTTTAATGAAGAAATCAAGTTAGTTCGCTTCAGTTTTTTTTGTTTTTGTGTTTGGTTCAAAAAAAAAAAAATTTTTTTTTTTTTCTGAGGAACCTAAATAACCAAAGTAACAAAAAATAACTGTTTTTTACTTGAACCAAAAACTGTAAAATAACAAAATCTTTCAATTTTTGTTCAGTTCAATTCATTTAAGTAATTTTTTTTTTGTGAAATAACTGAAAATTCAGAATTTACAAACTGAACCGAACCAAACCAAATTTCTGAAAAAAAAAAATGAACTAAATTTTCGATTTAAGTCAATTTGGTTCAGTTTTTTGGTCAAAATCGGATTGTGGTGACACCTAGTTATGATTCTAGCATTTGTTTCATTTAAATTTGCAAGGTCCTACTAAAGTGAACCTATCCTTTTTTTTTTTTTTCTATCAATTAGGGACCCCGTAGGATTTGTTTTCTGAGTGCTCTTTGCCACCTTTTTCTTTTTCTTTTTTCTTTTGGATGCCTGCTTACTTAGAAGAATAATCTCTATTAATTGGTTGAACATGACGTGACCCTGACGGTTAGCTTGAATGACAAGTGTGTCCTTCACGTCATTAATCAATTGTTCAGCTTCAGGGCCAGGCCTCGAGGAGATATTCCTTGCAAAGTTCCCCTGGTCATAGCTAGATGGTATGACAATGTCTTTTCGATGGTCAAAGATGGAAATAACTTTCTGGCGGCTCATGCCTATGGCCAATATAATTATTTGACCAATTTTCTCTAGTGCAGCCATTGGTTTATGGGTTTCATAAAAATTGTTTCTTTTCTATTGAGATAGAAAGTGTTTCATGCTTTTGGAACAGGTAATTTAAACATTCCACTGGATTACCAAAGCTGTAGATTCCACTTTCTTCAACTTTTTGGCTTAAAAAAAATTGAGAAAGTTAATTTCTTAGATCAGCTTTAACAAAATATGAGTTGTAAACCTATAATCTGAGAAAACATTGCTACAATTTTATGCTCATTTTCTAGTCATTGATAAAAGTATTATGAACCATAATGCACTTCTGATGTCTGATCCTTTTCTATTATATTTTAAAAGACACCATTTGAAATAATTGGAGGTAAAATAAAAGAATAAGATTTGCTTTGTAGAGAAGGTTATCTTGTTTCTGAAGAGAGATTGTGAAAGATGTTCTATTGGATATATTTGAATTGCTTGTGCACATTCCCACACAGTAGATTCTGTTCTAATAACTTGGACTCTGATCCGTTTATTGTGGTCTTTTATGTGAATTGTTCATCAATTTTATCTTTTATATCCCAAATGATAATAATCATGGTAAACTTACCTGAAATTTGGATGGTGTCAGGTTGTGTTCCCAAGTTTTGGGGAGAGATACCTGTCCACAGTTCTGTTCCAGTCGATTCGAGAAGAATGTGAGAAAATGCAGGCTGAGGCATGATACTTTTTCCACATTCAAGTTTGTTTACGGAAAATAAATATTTTGTTCTAAAAATTGCATTAATGCACAATTATAACATTAATTATGTCTCTGCGATAATCTTCCATGTGTATCATTGGTTGGATCTGTATTCTACTTGTTGAACTCCAATCAATGGTTTTTAACATGTCAGCAATATTCTTTTTTGCAAGGTCAATAATACTGTTGTTCTATATATAGTGTCTTGCATTGCTCTCAACACCTTATTGGATTAGTTTGATCGGTATTCTGGAATTCTTTGCTGTTTGAACACAAACTACTTTATATACAAAATTGAAATTTAGCATTTGTAATGGGTTCTGCAAGTGTTTTTCACTTAACTGTTATTTCTAAAATATTTTATCATTTAGGACTCTATTTTCCTTTTTTTTCTCAATGAATAGTCTATAATACTTTCATTTGTCCTATGTATTTTTATTAGATTGACTTGGTACACAGGTGTTTAGAATTTATTCATGTAATATGCAACATAATAGCCAAGAAAGATGCAAGGTGTTCAATAGCAATCATTTTTCTTTTTTTTGGAAAAAAAAAAATACTGTGAGAAAAATGTTCTTTATACCTTGATTATTTAATTGGACATAGCATCATCTCACTGACACTCATGTGGCTGTGAATAACAAATCCCTTCTTTCAATACTTATTATAAATGTCTCTGTCTTTGTCCAAATAACTAGTGTGAACTTCTTTTTTCCCTGACAAAAAGGACAAACACATGCACGCCTCACAAATAAAATACAGAATGAGGGGTAAAAGTTCCTGACAGTACATTAAAAAATTTTTTTTTCGGAACTATATTAAAAAAATTAGTTGAATTTTGCACGTGTGGAAATGCATATTTTTACCCACGTGCTTTTGGTAAAAAATTTAGAGTGCTTTGCATATTTTTGGCCTGATAATGATAATAAAAGCCCTAGTCTTGAGTGAGGTAGAGGTCCCCCTATGCTAGACTGAAGGAGGCATATGAAGCTTAAAAAGAGTGGACAAGGACAAGGTTTTAAAAAGTGTTTTAGGTTTAATATAGGTAATTATAATTAATTATTGGCAGAAATTTGTTGGTTTATGTCTTGTTTTCACGTGTCAAAACTCAAAACTGTCTCCCTCATCTTTTTAAGCATGACACAACCCACTTCACTATTGTGGATTCCAAGCTTGAAAAGCATAAACACTGACTTTTATTCCATGCAAATACCATCTTATCTTGCCTAACAAATCACTTTCTTTTCCCTTTTCAACTGAAGTTGCTTAATTACTTGGCTATTAGGTATCTTTTGACAAAGAACACTAAATTACTTTTGCATTTGACAAAGACTTTTGAATATGGCATCTCATAAATTGACCTAATGACTCTCCAAATATGAATAAAGTAAAATTACTCTTGTATTTGGTTCTTTGTCCATTGTTACCGTGGTAATTTTGTCTAATGGAATAAAAGGTTTAAGGAAAATACTATTGTCATTGAACTCGCAATTTCATAATTCTAAATATAATTCAAACATTATTGAAATAAATTCATTAGTAAATGATGTTATCCATTTATTAAAATAAAAGGTAAATTAAGAAAATTATAGGCTTGTTTACTTGAAGAAAACTGAAGTAGTTTTTTAAAAAAGTTTTCCAAAAAACTGGAAAAATGAAATTTTATGTTCAAATCTATCTGTTTTCATTTGGAAAACTAGAAAATAGTTTTTTAAAATTTAATTAAGATTTAAAAAATAATTTTGAATTTTTTTCACAGTTTTCCTTCATAAAAAAAGTCATGTTTTCCAACTATTTTTCATTTTTTTAAAAATAATTTTTTCATAATTAAAATACAATATCATTATTTTTTTTTGAAAAATAATAAACTATTTAAATAACTTAATATGTTTCTATTTAAAAAAAATTACTAAATGATTATTATAAATAAATAACTAAATATTTAAAAAATTTTAAAATAAAAAATTTATAATATTTATGTTTAATTTTGCAAGGTATGAATAATGTTTTTAAAATTTTTAAATTGAAATGTGAGTTTTTATTATTAACAATTGAATACATTTTCTATTTTCTATTTTTATTTTCTAAAAAGACTATTTTCTTAGAAAAATGAAAAATTATTTTCCATAAGTAAATATATCCTATTTTTATGAGTATCTTTTATGTTTTCTAAGAAATTTTTTAAAAAATAAAAAAATAAAACCCAAAACAGAAAATGAAAACCAAGTTTACTTGAAAACTACTAAAAAAATCATATTTAATTCAAAAACATTATGAATAATTAAAAGAAATAAAATATTATAAAAGAAATTTATAAATTTTATTTAATTATAATTTATTTTATCTTTTTATATTTTGTAAAAATTTAAAAAAATAAATGATATAATTATTAAAATTATATTTTGTATAATTAATATGAATTATAATTAAAGTTATAATAATATATAATTAAAAAATAAAATATTTTTTCAAAAAAAACTATAGATATTATAACTTTAATTATAAAATTTATTTTTTAAAATTAAAATCAGCCAAAAAATATACCTTATATTGTAAGAAAAAACTGTGGAAAATAACTTAAAGCTGTTCTACAAATCTTAATTAAAATTTTGAAAAATTGGAAAACTGTTTTCTACTTCTTCAAATAGAAAACTGATGATCTAAAAATAAAACTCTATTTTTTAATTTTCTTAAAAATATTTTTAGAAAAAACTACTTCAATTTTCTATAAGTATATAAGTCTCAAAAGGAAATTTTATAAAATAAAAATTTAATTAAAAAAATAGCAATCAACCGTTATTGAGATGAGTGATTTAATACTATTCTCCTCTAAGTAAGGCCAAAAGTTCAATCACCATGAATAAAGCAAATATCCATTAAGAATTTAGCCTCTTAGTGAATTAACTCGATGTGAAAGTACAAGGTTATCATGGATTCCCTCTAAAGTTCAAGGAGTCACGAGAATAATCGCCAAAAAAAAAAAAAAAAAAAGAAAAAAAAACAAAGATAAATTTATGCACCACACCATAAAAAATATTTTTTAATCAAGATTCCATCCTATTATTTTGTTAAGAAGATGAGAATTGCATTTTGTATTGGCCTAGCATGTGCTTTTACCTTTTATCATCAACTTTGCTCACATCATTTTACTTAATTTTAGGTGGAAACCCCAAAATTCTTTCTAATTATGGCCATGGATTTCTTAATTTTTTTTTTTCATAATTAGGAGATTTAATCCCTTCAGGTCGTAGAACGTAAAAGTTTTTTGATATCCTAGCAAAGTACATTTCCCAAAGATCGAATCTATATTCTCTCCCTTACAAAGATTGAAGTCACTTACCACCTCAACCAACATCTTATTAATGTGAAATTCTTAATTTTTAGTCTCAACATTTTCTCCACCACTTTCTTTTCATCTCTATTTTTACACTAAGAATTGAAATGTCGGATGTGCTTATTGCATTTAAGGAGACAAAATATAATTTTTTATAAAGATTTTTTTACTTATATTTTTTTTTATATATGCAACTACTTCAATATTTAATTTTGAACTTATATATATTGAAAGAATTATAATTGATTTGTAGATTATTGGGCTTAATGTAATATATATGACCCGGTCTTATTGATCTCTAAATATTGCAAAAAGTTCAAATAATAAATTTTTCTAGAGCTCCAAATTGTTGGTTGGCGCTGAATGATATTATGTGAACATGGTGATTGCTCAGACACTTCCTCTGTATGCCCTAAAAGAATTTTCCATCTTCGGCTTGCAAACAAAAATTAAAGGAAAAAAAAAAAAAAAATAGCTATGTGCTAAATCTGACCATGTCATGTGCCTGTTCCTCTCATTTGCCTTCTACATTTGTTATTTTTTATATTATTATTTTAAAATTTTAATTTTGTTTTGTAATAAATTAAAAGAAGACAAATAAATTATTTCATAATCAAATGGACTCAATCTTTTCACATTATATATGATAATATATAAAATAACGGTAACTCTCTCCTTTCCTCAGACAAGTTTCAAATATGATTTCAGTAACATTTTATTGATAAGATTCTTTTAGGGATTAAAATTATGTGTATTTAGGGCATCTGTACAGAGTGTTTATACTCCAATAATTTGATAATAGGGTCATAATGTGTCGGGTATCCGTTAAAATTTTCTATTCATTGTCTAAATTTATCTAAATATAATTTTAAAAAATATTAATAATTATTTTTTATGATAATTTTGTTTACAATTATTTAAAATTTTTCTTAAATATTATTTTAATAATTTAATTAACATTTTTATTTATGTAATATATTAAAAAATATATGTAATATATTAAAATAAAAAATAATATTTTCACCTTAAATTAAAAAAGATATATACATTACATATCATAATATATAAAAATAATTATGCTTATAATAGTCATTTATATTTTAACAGCAACCGCTACTAATATTTTATTAAATACGAATAATAATCAACTAGTTGTTATCATCCACACCAGTTATCAGCAACTGCTATCACCTAGTATAAACCGCTGAACCAAACAGACTCTAAGTATCATAGTACTAGCTGGAATAATAACAGTAATCAGTATTAAGCATAATTAGAAATGTTATAATTATAATACTATTAGAATTATTTGTTATAGTATTAGATATTTTATATATTGAGTATAATAATACTAGTATATATGTACATAAAAATTTTCGTTCTGCATAAATCACCATATAATTAATAATTAATTATTTATATATAAAGAATTATAACTCTATAAAATTCAACTAAAACATTATACATAATGCATTACATTAATAAAAATTTAGGAACTAGCTAATATCATTTTTATTACAATCAAAAAGTGTTTATATTTTACCCAATTATTACTAAAAAAATTAATATATATTTTCATGCGCTTTTTAATATTAAAATTTTTTTTAAAAAACTCAATCCACCATTATCCTTATGTGATAACAATATGCAAAACAAAAATAAATATAAATGTATTTTAATTAAAAGAATAAATGCATATCCTTGAAATATTACAATAACTTGTACGATGATAATGCAATCAATAGGTTAGACTTAATTATTTATACCTACTGTAATAAAATCAATCAATTTCAAAATAAATAGTAATCAAATAATAATAAATAAGAAAATGATAATGCGTGATAGTTAATTACTAGGTTTTTTTTTTTTTTTAATATCGGGGTGGTGTCAAGTCTTTAAGACTAACTAGTAGATAAGCACAGTTCCTACTTTTCACTTTGGGTCAATATAAATGCTTCTCCACATGGACCAGGTAAATTTCCAATTCATATTAATTACTAATTTAATGTATAGATAGTATTAGTTCCATACAATGAGAGTATCTAAGCACAAACTTCTATATTTCTTTAATGAAAAAAAAAATTCCATCCATTTCAAAATTATAGTTCCAATTTTTTTTCACACAATTTAAAAATAACTAGTAAAATTAGTATTTCTTTTCATATTTTTTCATATATATCCTTGAAAATGATACATGTTGAATATTAATGATTTCTTGAGACTTTTAAAATAGGATGAATAGCTAGTATATCAAAATTTTAGAAATAATTATTTTAAAACTTCTTATTTACTATTTACTCAATATTAATTAGGAAAAAAGTTGATCCTTGAATTGTAGTCAAACCAACGTGTAAAGACTTTCGTTTTCAAAACCTAACCATGAGATTCCTAAATTATGATGTTTTTAATACTTTTATTTTCATTGATTGCTTCCGTTAGAATGCATTTAGATGAATAATCAAACTAAACTGAATTTAAAAAAAAAAAAAATTGAATAAAAAATTTCTGTTTAATTGGATTTGCTTTGATTTTTTTTTTTTAATTAAAATTCAGTTCAGTTTACAAATTTAGCAAAATTTAGTTATTCGATTTTATTAAATATAGTTTAATTCAAAATGAAATCGAGGGATTCCACGTGAATGAGTCAAAATCCAATTGAAACGCAAATAAAAAAGAAGCTTCATGGTTTGAACATGAGTGGGGCAGGGGGAATAGGGCCTTTTGCCATCCTTTCTGTTTCACACAGCCCACTCTGGTGGCCTAAAATTAGTTAAGAAATGTTGATTCCCATGTTCCTTCTGTTTTTATTTATTCTAGTAAAATATTTCTATTATCAACTTCATTTCTTTTCTATATATATCCACACCAATTGCATTGCTTCCCATTTCACTTCCCCATCTCCATCCCCAAAACAACAAACCCTCCTCTCTCATTGACATCACCTCTTTCTGCAACAACAATGGAAGTTAAAGAACTAGACCCTTGTCTCTCTTCTCCTCCTTTCTCCTCTTCTAGCCGGTAAGAATCATAACATTCATATATATAGAACTAGACCCTTGTCTTCTTCTCGTTCCTTTCTCCTCTTCTAGCCGTAAGAATCATAACATTCATATATGATATATAATATATAGTATATATATATATTAGTTGCAATCAGTCTTGAACATTATGTGCAGCTGGCATTAGGAGATTTACGAAACAAAATCCGGCGTGCGAGTGGATTAGAGTCGGCTCATTTTTCTTGTTAGGGCGGTTTCCCCTTCTTTCTTTCATCCCCTTCTCCCTCTTTTCTTTTTGCCAAAAAAAAAAAAAAAAAAAAAAAAAAAGAACTCTCATATTGCTTTTATTTTTCCTTTTAATTTGAACATGTATCTCCACGCTCAGATGAGATGTTATTCAGATAAAGACGTCTCAGAAATAGAGACTTCAAATTTCGAACATCTGACCTTACAGTATCTCTCATTTTTTTACAAATGAGTTTTGGTTCATTGGCAGTGAGACCGTGTTCATAGCTCCAAGTTATGTTTTTGAATATTAACCAGAGCCAAATTAACTAAGAAAAAAAAAATTTCTCATTTTCCTTTTTGGGTGTAACGATTTGTCGAGCAGGTGGTGGTCAAAAGATACTATAGCCATAGTAACCGGAGCAAACAAAGGGATTGGGTTTGCGCTAGTGAAGCAATTTTCAGGGTTAGGACTTACAGTGATTTTAACAGCTAGAGATGTGGAGAAAGGATATAAGGCTATTGAGAAGCTAAGAAGAAGCCATGGCGGTGATGATCTAAATGTGCACTTGTATCGCCTTGATGTATCGGATTCTGCTTCCATTAAAGCCTTCGTTTTGCAGTTTAAGAAAGATTTTGGAGTCGTGGATATTCTTGTAAGTTTCCTGACGCTTGCCATTTATTATAAGGCTTTTAAGGTACATGAACTAATTGAAAAGTCATTACTTTGACCATTATTCCTTTTATGTGCACGCACCAAAGATTTACTTGCACCAAGCATTACGCCCATAAATAAAGTAATGGTAATTGACATAAAAAGAATACTAATGTCATTTTACTGAAAACAAACAGAAGAAGGGAATTTTTCTTTTTCTTTTTTTTTTTAAATAGAATCAAAAGGTGTAATTCTTTGAGCTATAAAATATAAAAAATTTTTTCCTTTCAGCAAATATGCTTTTCGAGAATCGACTTATATTCTTACTTTCATAAGAATTAAATTTATATTTTTCACTGTTGTAAAAATTGAATTTTATGTGGCACTATATATATATATATATATGCAAAAATTAACTAATTGTACTTTTATTTTAATATAATGATTGTGATAATTTACTAAATAATGGTTAAATCGTTCACGGCTGTATATATAAGGACAAGAATTAATTTATGTACTATATTATATCTTTGTTGCATGTTTGGTGCTAGAAGAGACGGTCTCACATGCAACTCAGTGATGTTTTAGTGTGTGTAGATATATATATTTATATATTTCTGCATATTTTAATTGATAAAAGAAACATATCCGTAATTATAAAAAAAATTGAAAAATATTAAATACGGAAGAACGAAGTATAAGAAAATAATTGTTTTGTTATTTGGTGAGAAATTCTAAGCATGTGAATTTTTAATTTGTTTATTTTATGATAACATGCAAAACGAGGCACTTTTAATAATTTGAAGATATTTCCCAATTTGAAACATATATAGAAGATATTTCCCATTTGAACATATATATATATATACTATATATATAGTAAATTATATTATAAAATTGAAGTTTTTGTTTTTTTTTGTTAATTATTGATTTGATACTTGAAACATATTAATTGAAGCAAATCTATTTTGTCTCGTACATCTAATTAATAGTTTATTAGTAATATATGATTTATCTTTAACATAATATTTAAGAAATAATTTATGAATATATAAATGGATAAAAAAATATTAGTAATATAAAATTGGTATTTTGCACTAATAATTCACTTGTTAAATTAAAAATGTTTTTAAATAAGCTAAAACATACAAAAGAGAATATTATTACATGTCCAAATCAATCTAATGAGCCAGATGAAAAGAGAGTACACGAAATGAAAGATAGAAATTTTAAAATTTCTGTACATCTAATATGGAGATTCTCTCCGGTAATTGAACACATTTAATATATGTATTTTATTTATTCCTTAATATATTTATATTTATTAAAATTAAGTCTTCCTATTAAAAATATATTCATATATTTTAGAGTATTGATAATTAATTAGAAAATTAGCTTAATTAATCTAGTGTTTAATTCATATTATGACAATCTTCAGGTGAATAATGCTGCTGTATCATTCAATGGCATCCATGACAACACAGTAGATCATGCAGAGACTGTGATAAAAACCAATTACTATGGAGCTAAATTGCTGATTGAGTCACTTTTGCCAATTTTTCGTCGATCAAATTCTATTAGTCGAATCCTTAATATGAGCTCCAGACTCGGTTCTATCAATGTGAGTCAAAAATAATTTTTCTTTGATCTTTATCTAAATTAAATTCCATTACCACAATCACAAGACAACGCTTTCTGGTTCAAAATCCTGATCTTCTGTCTCCAGGGCCGGACCCAGGACCTGAAATTTCTGGGTTCGTCCTGCCGGTCTCTTATACCACAAGACAAAACACTTGATTATTAGACTATTAATATGATATTAGAAGATTACCCTTTGAATAATATGTAAAAGGTTATAGTATAATTAAACATTTATTGATCATAATCTCATTTTCCAATTAATTTATCCATGCAGAAGATGAGAAACCCTAACATGAAAAAGATGCTACTGAGTGAAAATTTATCAGAGCAGCAAATTGAAGGAATGGTAAGTTTATTTCTTGAAAATGTAAAGAACGGGACATGGGAAAGTCAGGGTTGGCCACGAACATGGACGGACTATGCAGTATCAAAGCTAGCACTAAATGCATATTCTAGGGTTTTGGCAAGACAATACAAAGATTGTGATTTAAGTATCAATTGTTTCTGCCCGGGCTTTACTCAGACGTCTATGACCAGAGGTAAAGGCACTCACACAGCCGATGCAGCCGCCGAAGTTGGTGCCCGGTTGGCTTTGCTTCCTCCTCAAGAAGTACCCACCGGCAGGTTTTATGTAGGGTTTGTCCCTCCCAGTATTGTTTCTAGATTGTAACAAAATTAATTAATTTTTTATGAGAATTACATGATTCCTTGTTTAGAGAAAATGGCTTATAAGTATTATGTTAATTAAATACTTAGAAGCATTGATTTTATTCCCATCTAAAGCCTACTCCATCTATTTTGTTTTTATTTCGTTGGAGACGAAGTCAGCTCAACACAATATAAAGTAGTTCTTTTCTAAATTCACTAAATTATAATAAAAAACTTTATAGGAGAATTTAAACATTAGACCTTTCTTTCCTTATAGTATTATAAAAAATAAAATACAAACCAGACTATTACCTAGGCCATATTTAACAACAGTTTCTTAAATAATTTTTAGTGTTTTGATTAGTTAAAATATTAAATTCTATTTTTTTATAGTATTTCGTAACATAACATTTGAATTAACTTTTTATTTAAAAAATTATTATTATTTTAGACAAATAATATTAAAGGTCAAGAAAAAAAGCATGCAAGACGGTGGTGTGGGACTGGGACTGATATGATAGCCACGTGATAAGAAAAAAATAGTAATAAAATATGGACAAAAGTGCTATATTTCAAGTTTCAGAAGTTTAGGCTAAGCATTGTTTTTCAAGATGTTGGAAAGTCTCGAAGAAGAAAAAGCATTATACTATTCTATTGTTGAACCATGTGACTAGAAAAGTAGAAAATACTTTGAAAACTGAATAACTATTTTGAACTGGTCAGTTCAATTGGTTTGACTTCTTCAAATATATAACATTATAATAATTTTTAGCAATAAATAAAATATTAAAAGAGGATAAAGTGTCACTGTTGATCACTGTCCCACCCTCTCTTTGTTGTAATTGTTTCTATATGTTTTTATATTAATCACTTGCAGAATTAAGCCTTGGCTATGGTTGAGGAATTCAATTTGTTTTAATTTTACTAGTCTAATGGATGTAAATATCTGATCCAATTTTTTTAAATATAACGACCTGTATAAAATTATTTGGTATTTATTTATAACGACTGTAATAAAATTATTTGGTATTTATTTTGAATATATATATAATATATAATATATATATATATTATAATATCGAAAATTTTTTAACGCTCAAATTTAACGTAATGGTATATATATATATATATATAATATCGAAAATTTTTAACTCAAATTAACGTAATGGAACAAGTTCAATTCAATTATTTTTAACTATTATTTTACAGGTTTAAACTTATTTTTTGAGTTTTACGAAAATCAATCCAAACTAAAGAAATTTTTAATTTTATCTATGAAAACTAAACTACATCTGATTTTATTCGATTTAATTTAATCGGTTCGAGTGTGTACACCTTTACTTGTAATCACTAATCATAATTATAAACAAACTATCAAATATAAGACTAATTACTAGTTGGTCCAGTGAAATGAGACACTGAATCCTATAAGTAACGTCTCCAAATCTGGATTAGCCGGTTGTATCGAATACCGAGCGGATTAAAAAATATATATATTCAAACACAAGTGCGAGTCTTACTCATCTATGAAATTTCATAAGGTACTTGTTTGATATAAATCATGTAATAGGAAGGAAGTTTCACTATCCTTCGATGAATATTATTCTTATTTGTCTTTGTCAACCCTGCAAAACTTTTTCTTCCACGTATACTCTCAAAGACTTTAAATTAGTTGACGTGCCATTACGTGTATCCTTTATATTATCCTCCAAATAATTGTTTATGCCATTTATAAACTATATATAGTATACTACGATCAAATTAAATTAATATACAACTTTTAATTAGTTTTTTTTTTTTATTCATTAGATGCTAATTAAATGGATCAAAATAATATTACAAGCTATACAAAAAAGGTACCTTTTAAATATTTAGTACTCGCAAAATTGATAAATATCTTTAAAAAAATTCAAATTTCACATCCTCAACCAAATCGCGCGGATTGGATTTAGTTTTTTTTTTTAATACAAGCCAAATTTTTACTGCAATTGGAAGGCCAAACCAACCAAATGCAGTGAATCTGTAAATATAGCTAACCCACAAACGGTTCTGCAGAATTAGAAAGTCACAGCACCGCTTTTGATTCTACTTAAAAGCAAAATTATTGCACCAAGAATGGGAAAAAAGGTCAGGTAATTTTGTTGGCTAGTGACATAATAGAATAAAACCATTTTTAATTTATTTATTTGAATCCATAAAATTAGGACAGCCAATATATAATTGCAACTTCTTGGATCAGATAAACCATTTGAGCAATATTAAAATAGAAAGGAATATAATTATATTATGAGAAAAAAAATTATAATTTTTTTTTTTTTCAAACTTCTCTCTTCATCCCCTTTGTCTATTCTTTTTTCTCCTTGGTCACATTCACAGTCAATAAGGTAATTATCTATTGTAGTAAATCCAATACTTAAAAATGCCAAGCTCAAGATTGATAGCTTTGATGATTGTTTCTGTGATTATGTATTCTGCTGTTTATTTCTTTGTCCGAGTGAAACTCTAAGCATTTCCATTTATATGGACCTTGATGTGAATCAAACCATTTTCGAGAGTTGCTTTGGGTTTGGGCTATTTACTTTTATTAGTTGGGCTGGGCTCAACTGTTCTAAATAGTAACCACAGTTTCCAATTTAATTCCCTAAATAAACTTACAGTTACCATCTGATTCAGTTTTCTTCCTTCTCCGCCTCCATTTCCTCTCTGTCAACTATGTCAACAGAAGGGGACCAAATCTCTTCGTCGGAGCAGATGCAGTCTCTTTCCGTCAACTCCTCCGATTCGAATACCGTCTCTGCGTCCTCTTCCTCCCAGTAAGCTCCTTTTATCTCTCTATGTATATATACAGTTCAAATTAGTTGTTTATTGTGCATTGAAGATAATGGTCATCTTGGTTCTTGAAAGTTAGGATGAGTGCAGAAGAGAGGTTTCGGATCGTGAGAAGCGTTGGAGAAGAGTGTATACAAGAAGATGAGCTCCTCAATCTTCTCTCCAAGAAGCCCCAACCTACTTGCTATGATGGCTTCGAGCCTTCTGGAAGAATGCACATCGCGCAGGTAAGCTCCTTTCTCTCTTGATTTCATCAGAACTTAGTTTTTGGCTTAAATTGTTTTGTCACCTTCTTATTTTTAAATGTTTCTTTCCTCTAATTTTATTATTTTCATAAAATTCAATTTTGGGTTTTTTATGTTGCTAAACAGGGAGTTATGAAGACAATCAGTGTGAACAAACTGACTTCTGCTGGCTGCAAGGTGAAGATTTGGATTGCTGATTGGTTTGCTCAGCTAAACAACAAAATGGGAGGCGACTTGAAGAAAATTCAAACAGTTGGACGTTATTTAATTGAGATATGGAAGGCAGTTGGTATGGATCTTGAAGGAGATAAAGTAGAATTTTTATGGTCTTCAGAGGAAATTAACTCTAGAGCATCTGAGTATTGGCCTCTTGTAATGGATATAGCTCGTAGGAACAAGCTTCCCAGGATAATGAGGTAAAGTCTGGAATAGAGATTGACATTTTGCTTCATATGAAATCACCTTAATCATTAGTGAATGAAAAATAATGAATTTTTATCCTTTTTAGGTGTGTTCAAATAATGGGTCGCAGTGAGCAGGATGAGCTGACGGCAGCCCAGATTCTTTATCCATGCATGCAGTGTGCTGACATATTTTTTCTCAAGGTATTTGTGCTTATTATGTTGTAATGTAAAGATCTCGGCTGTAAGGCCCAGTAAACATTCTGATGAATCTCTTAAATAGGCGTTGGTCTTTTTTGATAGTATATATCCTGTAAGTAGGAGTTAAGTTGGATTTTGAAAGGTCTTAATGTTTCTGATTTTTTGATTAGTCGTATGAGTCCTCATCCTTTTGGGTGGCTAGTTCTAAGGTGATTGATAAATTTATTAGTATCTGTAGAAAATAATACCCTTCATCTTTAGCAAGATGAAAGCACAAGCAACACACTACTAGGCATTGGGCTGTACCAAGTTGAACTGAGTTAAACATAAGTCCATAATCTTTGCATGAAGATTGCTGCCTGTTGATCGTGATATAATTTGCAATATTCCATCTCCTCAAAAGTCAGCTTAGACATTTTGAGTGGACTTTGGGCTGCATTTGTGTTATTAACTGCTAATCCCTTTAGGATATCAATTTTGCACAAATTGGGCTGAAAACAATTGTTCAATTTTGTGCATCAACTGCGAAACCAGCTTGGTTTTAAGTCAACAACAGTTTTTTTGTTTATTACAATTTTGAAATAAGGCGAACCAAGCTGAGCCTGATGGCCATTTTTTTGTTTATTACATCATTAAATGCCGTCCATTAAATCCTAACTTGCATTTGTTCCAATTTTTTTCACCCAACAGGCTGACATTTGTCAATTGGGCATGGATCAACGAAAAGTTAATGTACTTGCAAGAGAATACTGTGATGACATCAAGAGGAAAAACAAGCCAATCATTTTATCTCATCGTATTTTCCTAAACTTTTTTGTAAAACTGATTTGATGAGCTTACTTTGTTTCTTTTTCCTCTGACTACTCTTTTGACTCTGGTTTCTGTAAATGCAGACATGCTTCCAGGTTTACAGCAAGGGCAAGAAAAGATGTCAAAAAGTGATCCATCTTCTGCCATTTACATGGAAGATGAAGAGGTATGTTTCTGTTCATACAAGGAAGAATAAATAACATGAAAATGGATGGGAACGGAATTGTCTTATGTATAAAGATTGCATTTTACTGCAGTAGTCTTTTATTATTATTTACTTTATTAGTCTTCTTTGTTGCTGTTATAGGCGGAAGTAAATGTGAAAATAAAGAAAGCATACTGTCCTCCAAAGATTGTTGAAGGCAATCCTTGTCTAGAATATGTTGCTGTTATAGGCGGAAGTAAATGTGAAAATAAAGAAAGCATACTGTCCTCCAAAGATTGTTGAAGGCAATCCTTGTCTAGAATATATCAAATTCATTATTATCCCATGGTTTAATGCATTTAAGGTGGAGCGAAGTGTAGAAAATGGTGGAGAAAAGTAAGTTGTATTACCTTCCAGTTCCGTTTTGCCTGTTTTTCTTTTAGCAAAGTCAAGATTTAATTCTTAGGAGAAGGGGAGAAAAAGAATGTCCTTTTGCCTTCCAGTTACTTCAGCTCTTCCCTTTCTCTGTCTTAATCATTGCATATGCTTTAGGTTCTACGGCTCATCACAGTCATCTCACTGTTATATGTTAATATTTACTCATCATGAACTATTGCATTTGGATTGACAATTGTAATAGATATTGTGTTGCTAAACTTTCAATGAGCTTCATTTTGATGCATTTACATCCTTTTGTTAATTTAGGACCTATAAAAGCTTTGAAGAACTTGTTGCTGATTATGAAAGTGGTGAATTGCATCCTGGTGACCTGAAACCTGCTTTGTCTAAAGCAATAAATGAGATACTGCAGGTAAGCCTTTTCTGCCTCTATTATGTAAATAATTATGTTAGACCTATATTTGCGACCTTCAATATCTTAAGAATAAGAATGTGTGTCACTTGGCTCAGTGCAATCTTGTTGTCATAATTGAAATGGAAAATATATGTGAAATTGAAAGAAAAGATATGAAGGATGTTCTATGGTTTATCTAATTGTGGCAGTTGAAAAAACTAGGAACATTTAATTAAACTTGTTTCTCTTTTTTCGAAAAAAAGTATTTGAATAGTGGTTCTTTTCTTTGCAATTATGTACTTCTGAAACCTTCCAAGATCTTTATTTAATTATGTACTTCTGAAACCTTCCAAGATCTTTATTTATGTGAAAACCCTTAACATGTTCAAAAGTGGTTTGCTCCGTGTATGTGATTTTAACATATGACTTTTCTCAACTTATTGAAGGGGATCCATCTTCTTTCAGTTTTATTCTTGCGACGTCCATTTGTTTTTTTGGTTTATCTTTTGTGTATTCATGGCCTTCACCTTATTGTTTCTATGCACTATTACTACCTGTTTAGATGGGTTGAGGCCTGAGTGGAAGGCAAGGGAAGGTTTCATTAAAGGAAAGAGTGGGAAAGGAAAGTCATTAAAGGAAAGAGTGGGAAAGGAAAGTGCAGTTAAAAATTTAAGTCTCTTTTTTGGGATTAAGTGGACAGGTTCATCAAAGTGTTTGAATTGCAGAAGTGCCATTCTCAAAAAATTGTCAAATTTGCAGTGGTGTCGTTTGCATGTTTACCTTTATACATTATGCGAAAGCAAGTTGAGAAGTGTTAAAGGGTGGGATGTAAATGGACACCTCCTAACCTCATTTGTCGGTGATTTTAGGATGCAAAAGGAAGTTATTACAGATTGAATGTTAACCATTCATTGACATCCATACCCATTTTTCTTAACATCCAAATGGAGGTTAAAGGATGGAATGCAAAGATGTTAATGGTATTACACCCATTTCTTTGAAAACTCCCAGAGAAATGTTAATTAACCTCTCTTTACATTTCATTCCATGCCTTTCATTTACCTTAATTAGCTTTTAATTCAATCCCATCAAAACTCCATGCAATACCTTTTCTATTTTTTTATTTTTATTTAGTGAGATTTGCTGTGTGGTGTATCTTATTTTATGTTGGAAGCTGATGGTATGCTTGATATTTGCCACAGCCTGTGCGTGATCATTTCAAGAATGACGCTAATGCAAAGGATCTGTTGAAACGGGTTAAGGTTTGTGTTCTTACTTTTGCTTTTATTGTCTGATTGTTAACTGAATTGTGTTAAGCCTGTAACTCATTTTATTTACCTTGAAAATTCCGGGTGGATATTTATGTGAATTCAGACTAGATTAAGTTTGATGGAAGAAAAGAGACCCAGTTACAATTTGGCTAATCTTTGGGTAAATTGGGTTAGGTCAAGACAAGCGGGCCTTGTTAAAATTTGAAATAAACTTAGGAAAAGGAGAACTTAGCTGTTCAGCCTGCTTGGCCAAAATGTAGAAATTTTAAACTTGAAAAGGTTGTTACTCTGCATATATTATACAAATCTATTTTGTAAGATGCTAATAGAGTTATATGTTTTAATGTTTGCATTGTGGTCCAATATTTTCTTAGGTTAAACTTTTTTAAATTATAGTGTAGTTCAACTAAACCAGTTGACAATCCTAACTTGTGGTAACATAGGCATATTGTCTTGTTTCAGCTTAAGATGCTTTTAAATTAAGCGAGAGAGAAATGCATGTGGACAATATTTTTACCATGTTTTTTTGTTCCCATTTCTCTTCCTGTCAACCCTTAATCTAATTGATTTATGTTTTCATCATGTAGGGATACAGAGTGACGAGATAATCAAGAACATGAACATCATCTGTGTTAGCTACAATGAGCCATCATGCGATGGGTCTATCTCCGGTTTTGCTGCTGTTATTTATACGAGTATTATTTATACAGCTATTAAACTTGAATTGTGTCTTGCATTCATCTAGACAACTAATTTATTTGTTAGTCTATGGTACTAGAACCAGGTTTAAGTGATTGGTTTAGAATTTGAAATCAGCAAATGACTCTTCTGCTGTCCCAGTTTGTTTGCAGATTAGCACCTGTTGGAGAAACAGAAGAAAACCAAGGAAATTGATAGAAAATAATTAAGAAACTGAGATCATCTTTTCATCAGTCAAAGCTTTTTTTTTTTTTTTTTTTTTTTTTTTTTTTTTTCATCTAGTTTTTTTTTTTTTTTTTTTTTTTTTTTTTTTTTTTTTCCTTCCAAGTTTGAAGTATTGTGATAATGAAAAATTTCTTGTTGAGGTTACAACTGGGGAGCTGGTTTTAAGAGAAGGATAAACTAAGGTATGATTTCGATGATTGACTAAGGTGTGATTTTGTGATTTGTGGAGGGAGATTGTCACGACCCATCTCCGCAGTTGGACGGACACTAGGACCTGGGTGGGCTTAAGATTCCCGAAGCCCTTGGTAAGCTTACATTAGTTAAATTCATATTCTATTCATACAGGTGGCTTCAGGCTCAATAATTTATTTCACCAATATATATCTAAAATACAATCCATATTAATATATGTGCTCTTATTATCCAATTACAATTCATTTTGGAATACAATTGCGGAACTCTACTTTTACATTTATATCATTATTTCAATCATTAACAGTCTTCTATAATAAATGTTTCAACTCCATATGTCTTTTCTTTCTTTCTATTATCTGAAAAAAAATAGTAGGCAGGGGTGAGCGAATTAATGATATTATTAATATTTTAAAATTTTCACTTTCTTTTTTAAAATAATTATTATTTAATTTCTTTATTTTCCTTTTTCACTGTTATAGCATTTTTATAGATATTTATTTTAATATAAATAAAACCTTAAAGAAAATCAAATCATACTTTTAACGAAAATAAATGAATTATTGGCAAACATTATAAACTATTTTTATGGCATTTTATTAATATGCGCTTGATTAATGTGGTGATGATGATAAGAAAATTACAGAGTGTATTCAGTTTTCGATGATTAACTAAGTTATAATTTTATGAGTTATGGACAGAGACGATAGTACTTCTCAACTTATTCGGGCAAATTTTTATGAAATTTTATTAAAAAAATTTTAATTTTTATTATATTTATGCTTGAATTTTAGATTATTTATTCAAAATGAATTGAATAATTGATATTTAAAAAGATTTTTGTAAAATCTATTAAAATATTTATAAAAATTTCAAATTCTAAGCTTAATTATAAACTTGATTGATTTATGCTTGTATATGTGAATATATTGATTCTTTCTCAATAATATGAGAAAAAATTATTTTATTTCTTTTTCTGGACATTAGTTAGTAATAAATTGAATATTTAAATTTTAAAAATAATTATTAATTATAATAAAAATAAAATTTTTATTTTTTTTTATTTTTAAATATTATATAACATCCGCATACGAAACCCGAGGAAAAGACTAATTTATATTAGTAACCAATTTAATATACCAAATTGGAGTAAGGAGGATTCTAAAGTGCATCAAAAGTTTAAGAATTCATATAATTTTGTTTGTTGTTTTTAATAAGTTTAGATTACTTTGCAACTTCAACACAATTAATTCAGTTGGATTTGTAACTCAAAACAATTCAAAAAAATTCATAAACCAAAACTTGGTATAAAAATTCCTTCAAACCGCCTTGAACCAGACCATTGTACGCCTACTAAGCTCACTGAACAAAATGTTATATAAAATATTTATTTGAAATATCTATATCTATTCTCTTTTTTATTAATATTTTAAAATTTACATGATTTATATTTACAAAATTATAAATATTATTATTATTATTATTATTATTATTATTATTATTATTATTAAACTTAAGCTAGCCCAAGAAAGAAAAATCAATAATAGGCTGAAATTGACCCGGCCCAACCTGTACATCAACTCCAGTTGAGGTTATGAAGCTCCAAATACTAATAGCACGAAGAACGAAAGGAAAGGGTTAATAAAGCAGCGGAGGGGTTCTAGCTTAAGCTTAACAGTCTCACAATTTCTGGTTCGTCTCTGTTCGCTTTATTTTCAATATTTAGTTTTTTAATTTCTTCATGTATGATTTCATTTTCTGTACCATTTAGCTACGTATTGATTTCATTTTCTTGTTGCCTTTTGCCGTATTTGTGTTTAAATTGTTCTGTTTGACAGATTTGGTTTAAGTTAATTATATAGGTTCTGGTTAAGCATCTATAAAATTCTTGTTAAAACAAATGTAGCATTAAAAGAAAAATAAATTATCATTATAAATTCTTGTTAAAACAAATGTAGCATTAAAAGAAAAATAAATTATCATAGCATTAAAAGAAAAATAAATTATCATTATTTTAACTGAGAATGGATTATCTTTATTTGTATTTTACTTGAATCTTTAAGAGTTGTTTGTCTGGGTATGTGAAATTTAGATTTTAGTAACTGTGAATTTTGAATTTTAGTCTGAGATTTGTTAAACATGCTTTGATTTATTGGTTATGTGATTAGAGGTAATAAAATCTCAATCCTTTATTCAAGCTAATTTATGTTTTGGTTTCCAATTGAGGTCATTGGCTGTTTAGGATTTGTTCTTGTTTACTATATTATACTTTTATATTTGCTAGAGTTTGTACACTGTAATCTTTTTATTCTAATTTTTTTCTGTATTATGGTTTTTGTATATCTAATTTTGTATGTTGGTTTAACAATTTGCTTAGCTCAATCAGTATGCTTGCAAGTAATTGCAGGTTGGATTATGGGTTTTGTACTTAATGCTTGTTATGTATAGTACTCTTGTTTTTCTATAAAATCTTGTGATTTTGTGATCTAATATTAGGTTCCAAAATTAGGGAACCTTTCAATTCTAGTTAAGTAAGTGACTTTGATAACCTTGTTTAGGGCAAAAATGAACTTCATCTTTGGATTAGATTTAAGATTGATGAAGGTAATATGAATTGTTTATCAAAGAGTATAAGAGATGAGAGGAGAGATAGAGGATTATGTTTTTGATGGTCAACTAACTTGTTTAGAAAAGAAGGCTACACCCTTGCACTTCACAAAAAATTATTATTTCCAAATTGGGTTGGGTTTACTGCAAAATTTGAATCTCCAAATCAATCCAGACTTACTTGCTTCTTTCTTTAAAAATCTCAAGTTTTGCCAGGCTATTGAATTTCAAGAACTTTTAGTTTTTTGTTTTGTATTTCATGGGTTGTTAAATTCATGGTTTTCTGTATTCATCCATTTTCTTGAGATTGGATTGCATATTCTTTTTCTAAAAATTTAGTAGATTTATCTGCTAGGAATTGTGAATCTGGCATTTTAAACTCTCGTGGATAAACAAGTCTAATTCCCTAAATTGTTTCTTGGTTAACTTTTCAGTGATATTGGCTGCAAAGATGACTGGAGTTTCTGGATATAGGAGCCTTGCACCTAGGACCAAGAATCTGATAGTTGCAGGCGGATTGTCAGCATTTGTTTTAGGGGTTTATTTTTACACTATGAGAGCTGTTGGAGGTACAGATGAGCTTCAGGTTGCTATAGATAAGTTTGAAGAGCAGAAAAGTAAGCCGGAATCTTGAGGCTAGGATGATATTAAGGGCTGATCTTATAATGTAAGTGTAATAATGTATTCTGAGACGAATATTATCTTTTGAGCAATCTGTGTTTATCTTGGGAATATTACATTTTAGTCCATTTGATTTTAATTGATATTGACAATGAAAAGAATCTCTTGGGATATTACATTTTAAGTCCATTTGATTTTAATTGATGCTATGAACAATGAAAAAGAATCTACAGTTTTTGTTAATGTATTTCTCAATTTTCTACAGCAGCTCTTGTAAGTGATTAACATTGAATGTTCTAACTAAATTGAGGTTGCTATAGATAAGTTTGAAGAGCAGAAAAGTAAGCCGGAATCTTGAGGCTAGGATGATATTAAGGGCTGATCTTATAATGTAAGTGTAATAATGTATTCTGAGACGAATATTATCTTTTGAGCAATCTGTGTTTATCTTGGGAATATTACATTTTAGTCCATTTGATTTTAATTGATATTGACAATGAAAAGAATCTAAGTTTTTTTGTTAATGTATTTCTCATTTTTCTCACAGCAGCTCTGTAAGTGATTAACATTGAATGTTCTAACTAAATTGATATTATACATTTCTATTATAATGCATATTGTTTTAGCAGGTTAACTACAAAACAACCCTTGAGGCTTGTTTCTGTACATTTCCACTTTCAATGTTTTAAATTAGCAATTTTAGTTCCTCAGTTTGTAAATTAATCCTTCCATATTTGTCCATTAAAAAAATGGACTATACACTATAAATGTGGAACATTTGAACTGCAATGTTTGACCGGTTACAGAGTAGTTTGGCAAGCCTATCAGTATTCAGGCATACAACCGCTATGTGAGAGAGTAAACAGATTAATGAAATATTTTATTTTTATTTTTAAGAGATTTTCCAAAAAAACGAGATGCTGAAATGAATAAAATACTGTTACAGCAGGCAACCTCTCGCAATGCCTGAGATCAGAGTTTTTAACAATTTGGTAAGCAGTATTTAACACAATATATTAGCCTCTTTTGTCTCTTCCTGCCTCGAAAGACACAGCATAATAGAACTTGATGCTCTGCCAATTCTATATCACTTTCCCAGGAATTTAGTAACTGGAAAAAAAAAGAAACATTGTAATGACTCTTGTTTAGTTTAATCTCTGATGGAGAGAGATGCTTTCAATCTTCCAACCAGATGTGGTAGTGCCTTGATGTTATCCTGGATTGACTGATCAACACATGACTCCAGAGCATTCACAGCATCAGATCCTATCTCTTGTTGCTTAGCTGCCTCGTACTTGTCTTGGCAGACCATCAGAGATCTATTCAACCTTTCCTGCATTCAATTTAAAACAAAAGAAAAATTGAAACAACCCATACAAGGAAGAAGAAAAGGCTTCCTCCAAAAAAAAAAAATAATAATAAATAAAATAAAAATGGAGCACTAACCCAACAAGGAATTCTGAAACCTATGGAAATAAGATATAAACACACAGTTTATGTTCAATACAAATTTTAGCAGAAAGTAAAACAATACAAGTCCATCCATAAATTTGACAATTCAAAAAACCTGAATTTTATATATGCAACAAACATGAAAGCCCCAGATTTTCAATTTTCTTTTTGTGTCCATGGGTCCAAACACAGCCCTAATGTGAAAGGTCACTAGAGCAACTCATGGTTCAGATTTGCAAACGAAGGAACGCCTATACATGGAATATATGGAACACTTACTAGTTATTCCATCTCAAGAGTAAAAGAAAGCATGGACATTTGAATATTTCACATAATGAATAAGCCTGGCATTCCAATTCAGTGTACTTTCATGAGGATCTGAGTTTATTTTTTGTTTTCTCTTTCCATGGCTGCACCTATGCAACATGAATGATGCTACCAATTCGCTCATTCTCAGGTCTGGATGTTTTGATTCACAAATACAAACTCAAAGTCCATGACAAGAACACAAAATTCTGTCACTCTGCAAGAATGATGCCAAAACCATGAAATGCAGCATTGTGACCTCTAAAACATGGGAGATGGCACCAGGTGAATTTGGAAAAGATTCTCACTACAGGCAATCCACAAAGATAGGAGAAGATCAATAGATACTTCCACTTTTAAATACCTGGCTGAACCCCTACCCACCTCTTACTGCATTACTTTCAGGATAGACGTCTTATGTACACAGAGAATTGGCACATTCAGAACCCATATTACTTGGACTGTGGTAGACTGGTCGAAAGAGATTCATGGGCTTGGAAGAATACAATACTCTCATGAAAGGAGCTAAGAAAATTTGTTCTTCTTCAGTTTCCTCTATTTCCTGGATTGTTCACAGGAAATTGAAATAGATGGACAGAAGAAGATATCTCCCTTTAAATTATATATATTTAAGTATCCTGTACTTTTTATAAGAAAAATTGTAGATTTTTGGAGTTACTATTTTGCACATTGGTTGAGAACCCCTTGCTCTCATCTAATTGTCATTTAAGATATGCTTAAAACTACAGATGATACGGGATATGGCAAGAAAAAGGTGAAAACATCTGCACTTGCCCAGCTTACATGTTTCATAAAATAAAGAATAAGAAAAGAATTAACTGTTAATCCTGAGGCTCTATTTATTTCACTTTTGCAAAGCTCAAGCAAGAATCAGAATTGCTAATTTCATGTCAAATTACCTTTCCTGTGTTACATTAATTTAATGACAAAGAACTCAGTGAAAATAATTTTTTTTAAAAAAAGTTAGAAAAGGAGATGAATTTACTTGAAACTTGGCCATCTCGTTCTCAAACTGTTGTTGAGCGTTAAGAACTGGGACACTGCAATGTTCAACACAATTGCTAATCTCTTCTTGCCTTCTTGTCCTATCAAAGCATTCATGTGCACATTTGAAGTATGCTTTCTGCAACAACTCACAGTTTCAAACAATATCCAACTCTATTAATAAGTATAAGAAATAGGCAAAAACAAAATAACCTTTGTTTGGTTGCAAAAAAACTTGGAAAAAGAAAAACATAAGAAAAATTATGAATATTTTCTCTGTTAAATTTCAATAATGTCAAAAGCAATGTCGACCAAAATCATCCATCAGAAATTAAAGTAAACCCACGTAAGAAAAAAGGCCAATGAACATAAAACCAGCAAGAATAAAATTTGCAGATTGAGTAATTGCTAGAGGAGCCTTTGTTCTTAATTCCCTTCTTTCTTTTTTGAGCTTAAAGGGCCTCTGTCAGGGATCACGCCCCACAATAGAGTTTTTTTATTATTCTGTTTAATGAACAACAGATAAACTACTATGTGCATGTTTTCAGATTACAAAAATATGATAGATGATTCAAGTTGGAACCGAAATAATCGGAAAAGAAAATGATGTAGATTTATTTTTAATTAATTTTTCTCAGAAAAAGTTTAATTGTACATCTTTTAAATTGTAGTCGAGCTTAATCAACGAACAAAAAGAGCTATATTAAATGAGTTAGGATTACCTTTTTCCTTTTTTTTTACAAATCAACACCAACCTCAAAAACGATAATCGGATTAAAGCAGACTAATTGAAGAACAGCAGAAAAAGAAAGTCACAAAAAGCAAATAGACTCATACAGCATAATCAATTACATCTCATAAAATATATTTATCCTTGAACAGAAGTCAAATACCTAATTCTTAGAACTCAATAAACACCCTTTTTTTCTTGTTCAAGGACTTCCCATTCTAGCTAATATTTGACAAAATTCATAGAAAAACAAATTGAGATGCAAAGACATAATGTAAGAATCAGCAACAAATATAAGCTCTTTATCTAAATCACTCTCATAATCATAATTATGATCATGATCTCCATCTTCACCACCAATCTTGAGGTTTTCTTGCTGAACCAGGATCGGAAGTGGGATATTTATATGATTTCCCTCTCGATCACTTGATCATCATCAATACTACTCAATAACTCTTCAATCTCAACAACCTTTTTAGAAAGGAAAATACCAATTCTTGATCACTACTAGAACAACAACTACCTTTTCATAAGAACAATTATCACTACTTCGTAAGTCTTCAATCGCAAGAACCTTTTCATAAAAGGAAAATTCCAATTGTTGAGCATTATTAGAACAATCATCACTACTACTCAGTAGTTTTCAATCTCAACAATCATAAAAGGAAAATTCCAATTGAGTAATTCTTCAATCTCAACAACATTTTCATAAATGAAGATTCCAATTCTTGATCATCATTAAAACAATTATCATCAATCTTTAGCAGTTTGTGGAAGATAGTTTGATCAATAGTATTCTACATGTCTCCTTCACTGCCTAAAGTCTTCAAAAGAAAAGGAGAAAAGCTCCATTACTGGAATATATGTAAACGAAAACTAAAGAACACTAATTAACAAGCAAGACTTGAAGCAGAGCAAAGCAAATTTATAAATGGAGAATTGTCTGTGTTAATACATATATAAGCATATAACAGATTCGAAGCTTTAGAGGGTTTTATGCCTCCTAGAAGGAAGTGGCTCTATTTCCTTGTTTGCTCTTAAGGATTAATAAAATTTTTTGAATACAGAAAGAAATATTAATTTCCAAGAAAAAGGACATCACATTTCTAGTACGATATTAATTATATTACATGGAACTTAATAATGTAAACCAGCAAGAACAGATAAAGAAAGCAAACCTGAAGAGTGAAATTGATGTGGTCTTGGACAGGAGAGAGATGTGTCTGGGCAGCTGTATTGACTTCGCTAAGCTTCTTTCTCAATCTCTCCGACACCATTTGTTGTTCAAGCGCTGCTATGTGATCCATTGTATTGCTCGATGAAAGTCCTGCAACAAATCGGAGAGTTTGGCGTTTGTTTGGGTATGTTTGCCTTATAACAGCTTCAATAGGGTTTTAGGGGTTTTTGGCTGTTTGATATGAAGAGGCGGAAGGAATAATCACCAGGTGGGTCGGGTTGAAAAGTATCTATCCAACACCCGGCCCATTTAGAAGGATGTGATGGGAGATGTGGCGCGCTCTCGTCTCCGATCCCTTTGGAGTTTGGACTATGTAGCCTTCTTTCTTGACAAGTAAAAAACCATCAAAATTTCAAAAATCATCAGAACGCAGACATTGTTTTGAGGTTGGAGAAGCAATGGACAACACAGAAAAAAACCCAATATGCAAAGACATACCAAGTCTCCTTTCTTCTTTTGTTGACACATTTGTCGATTTCTCTGTCAGTGGCGGCCTCTTCTTGCCTCCCGTTGACCCTAATCAACAAACTACTTCTAATGAAGCCTCCAATTTTAGAACTCACTACCCCACTCCCAATCGTCTGGTTGCAATCGGAGATCTACATGGCGATTTGGAGAAGTCTAAACAAGCTTTGAGGCTGGCCGGTTTAATTGATGGATCTGACCGGTGGTCCGGTGGATCTGCTACGGTGGTTCAAATTGGTGATGTGCTTGATCGAGGTGGTGAGGAATTGAAAATTCTGTATTTTTTGGAGAAATTGAAGAGGGAAGCGGTGAAGAGTGGAGGGAATTTGATTACTATGAACGGCAATCATGAGATTATGAATGTGGAAGGTGATTTTCGATACGTAACAAAATTAGGGTTAGAGGAGTTTACGAATTGGGCTTATTGGTATTGTTTAGGTGACAAAATGAAAGCTTTATGCGTGGGATTGGAAAAACCAAAGGATATCTTTGATGGAATTCCTTTGAGTTTTAAAGGAGTTAAACAAGAGTGCTTTCATGGTATCAGAGCTAGAATAGCTGCATTGAGACCTAATGGCCCTATTGCTAATAAATTTCTGTCCAAGAATTTGACTGTATTGGTTGTGGGTGATTCAGTTTTTGTTCATGGCGGGTTATTAGCAGAGCATGTGGATTATGGATTGGAGAGAATGAATAAGGAGGTCAGGGATTGGATTAATGGGTTAATGCAAAGATCTGCACCTAAGTATTGCAGAGGGAGAAATGCAGTGGTTTGGTTGAGGAAGTTTTCTGATGAGGTGCCACAAAACTGTGATTGTTCTGCTTTAGAACATGTTCTTGCTACAATTCCAGGGGTGAAGAGGATGATTATGGGACATACTATTCAGAAGGCCGGTATTAATGGGGTTTGCAACAATAGGGCTATAAGGATTGATGTGGGTATGTCAAAAGGGTGCATTGATGGCTTGCCTGAAGTTTTGGAGATTCATGGGAATTCCGATGTTCGAGTTTTGACATCCAATTCATTGTATCAGAATAAGTACAAGTCTTATGTGGAAGATGATAGGAAGAAGGGGCTTGGATTGCTGATACAGGAAAATGGACCAAAGCAAGTGGAAGTTAAGGCTTAAGAGTTTGTTTATCTGAACTTCATCGATGCTTTGCCCTCTGGGAATTTAATCATAAATGGATCGGATAAACATTGTTAGCAGGATTAGGCATCTTAAAAACCATTGATTGTGATAGATTGTTGACAAAAGTAAATTTGTCAGCACACGTCTTGCTCAAAAAGACTCTAGAAAGCTCGACTGTTCAAAATTTAGATGATAGCAATTCAATGAAAGTTTCAAAAAATTCTTGTTTTCATTCTTGCTGATTAACTATGAGCTTCTTGATCCCTTTACCTTGCAAAGAATGAAAATGCCTAATCTGCACCTGTTTTCTCATATTATATGGAAGTCTAGGCGTTGGCTTGTGTCCTTTTATGCCTGCTTATTCTGCTTACTTTGTTGCTCTGAAGTGCTGAAATATCTCTCTGGTATTCATATTTATTGGTACTTAATTTTTTTTTTTTTTGTTCGGAATTCAGCCAGTACAAAAATTGCTCTAGCATTCTTAGTTCTGCAGCTTATTTTTGTTATTATGATTAGCAGCTGCGTAAAATCTTGTTCTTATTTACTAATGGAGCAAATTTGTCGTGGAAATTAGTTGCTACACACATTATGCTGTTTATTTCTGAATATTTCTAAGTCACACGTTCTTCTGTCGGGTCATTTCCATTCCTGCTTGCCAATAAAAAGAAAAAATCTATAATTTAGAAGAAGGGTTCTTTGCACGACGAACAGCTATGAACTCCTGCATCTTCTTAAACTGCTCCTTTGTCATTCCATTATAGTAATCGTGTGCCCTATCCTGAACACCACCAAACAAACATCATTTACAGTTAATTTAATTTGGCAGCACTGAGACACCAAAAAGCAAAGACATCGATCCCAAGAACAAAATAATCTACCTTTTCTAAAGAAAGAGCATGACTCGAGTCCAGCTTCAACCCATCGTTAATGGCAGCTTTGTATCGCAACACCAATTCTTGATTATTTTTTATAATAGCCTTTGCAATTTCACGACATTTCTTTAACAATTCACTCTCTTCAACAACATGATTAACCAATCCCCATTTCTCAGCCTGTTCCGCGGTTATTGGCATGGCAGTTAGTGATGCCTCTCGCGCCCTTCCAGGTCCTATTATCCGTGGAAGCTTTTGAGAAAATCCCCAATAAGGAAACACCCCAAACCTGCAACCCAACACCCCTATTCAATTTGGATTCAACAACTCAATATTAAAATGTCGTTTGAATGTATTATTATACCTAGAATGAGTATCTATAAACTTGGCTCCCTTAGCAGCTACCAGAATATCGCATGCTACGGCAATTTTAAATCCGGCAGTAACTGCAAACCCGTTAATAGCTCCGATTATGGGCTTTTTGCACCGCTCCATCTGCTCGACGGGGTCGGATTCCATATCCGTCACGTCTCCTTTAAAGACGTCCTCCGCTGCAGTCAGATCGACGCCAGAGCAGAACGCCCTACCAGTTCCGGTTAGAATGATGACCCGCACCGAGTCGTCAATATCCAGAGCCTTGATTTCATGGGCCAAATGGACCATCATGGACCTGGTTAATGAATTGAGGGACTTGGGACGGTTGATTGTGATGATAGCCACGCCCTTTGGATCGTGGGATACGAGGATGAGGCTTTCGGCTCTGGATTGATCCATTTTCGTGTTTATTTTGGAGCAAGAACTGAAGCTTAAGAAGCTCGCCTTATCAATGGCTTTAGTGGAGGTCGTTAAACAACTTTAAGATAAGATAAAGATGGTCTTAGCTACAATTGTGACACCATTTTTGACAGTGAAGGTTGTGTTGTGTACTTACATTAATCACCATTTATGGTTTGAAGTGGTCCATTGGTAATGGACAGCGAGTTCGCTTTTGGATTGATGATGATGATCCCATTGCTTTTTCTCTTTGCTTCCGCTTTCTTCTGAGACAGATTTTTGTAAAGATGAGACTTGGGACCATCCTACTTTCAAACTTATTTCAATGCAGGTCCATTTCATTGAGGTCTACATTTGATTATCAATTTTTGCAGTTGAGTTCGGTTTAAAATCAAATCACCTTTGAAAAAAGAAATTGAACATGGAGGGCTACGTTTTAATGATCCATATAGAGTTTGCACTGCGAAAGATCAAATTTATAATTTAAGCTATGACAATTAATTTGTAAATATTCTTTATCACTAAATTATTCCATTTGGATTATCGAACCGCCTAATTGCACGTCCCTATATAAAATGATATTATTATCTCTTTTAGGAGATGACTAAATAATCATTTTTTTAATCAAGATATGCGAGATTGGATCAAAGTCAATCTTTAAGTCAAAATAACATCAAAGCTTATTTGTTTTGGAAGATCGTTTTTGGAGTAATCGTATGGAAGTTGTGGCAGGCCATGATAGGGTTATGGAACGCACAAGGACAGAAGATGGTCTGGTCTTGGTACTTGGATTTTCATTTTTTTGAACATTATTTTGGTTGCAAAGAGTTTGGCTGAGCTTGAAAGTAGCCATGTTGCTCAAAATAAGGATTTAGGTGGACTTGTTTAAAAAATATTTTTATCATAATATACTTAATTTGGATGACTCAGTGACTTTGGAGAACCAAAATAGTGCTGCTGGTGGCTTTACGTGATAAATATTGTTTCTTTATTGTTGGATTTTGTCTAAGGTAATGTTTGATTGGGGTAAGTTGACTAAAAAAAAAATACAATTTTTCAAAAAGTGTATAAAATGTTTATGTTTTGTTTGCATTATCAATTTAATTTTTCAGGAAATAAACTATCCAACTTTCTTATATCTGGAAAGTATTGTGATAGAAGTAAAATATAAAAAAATTAATTTATTTTCAAAAAATTAGTGACAAATAAGTATTTTTTGACAAAATTAAAGGTAATATAATATTTTTTGTCATTTCTTCTCGAACAAATTTTTATCTTATATACTGATCGCAGACTTTCTTAGTATCTGGAAAGTATTTGTGGATAGAAGTAATATAAAAAGAAGTTATTGTAATTTTCAATAAAATTGAGTTTTGACGAATAGAGTAGTTGTGTTTGACAAAAAATTGAAAGGTAATAGAATATTTTTTGTCATTGGTTCTTCTCGGAACAAAATTTTTATCTCTATATAGTAGGGTAGTATATATGATAGTATATAGGATATAGTAGTAGTATAGTAGTATAGGTATATAGGATGAGTAGTAGTATATAGGTATATAGTATGGATGTGTGACTTATATTATGTTAGGGAATTAATTGTTAAACAATTTTGCTTTAATTATAGATTTTTATTCTTTTAAAAATTTTTTTGATACATTTCATTAATTGTGTTAGTAATTTCTAATATATGATGTTACTATATTATGTTAGGAATTATTTTAAACAATTTTGCTTTAATTATAATTTTTATTCTTTTAAAATTTTTTTGATACATTTCCATTATTTTTATGTAATTTCTAACAATGCAAATGATTTAGAACTATAAACGAGGCAAGCAACTCATCAGCTGCTCGAAATTTGGCTTGATAAAAGCTTTCGAGTTTGTTTAGAAAAAATAAACTAAAAAGTTTTATCATTAATATAATAAAGTTATTGTTGGGATTAATAAATTGAAGGATTTCATCAGTAATTCAATAAAAATAGGGAAAATAATTATTTCTGTCTCCAAGGTTTTGTAAAATTAATCGTCTCATTATTCGTTTGAAATCAATCCATTTTTTCCATTAAAATAGGGTAAAAAGTAAAAGAAATGAGAGAAATATATTTTAAAATGGCAATAGTACATTAATCTATCATCACCAACCACAGAAAGACTAAATAGCGCAATCACCACAACCACCGTCACAACCACTACTGCCAACAAAAGAAAGCAATTGTGGAACCATGAATCCTAAGTATTTAACAACAAATTAATTCTTCATTCATGCTCTTCTTTAGTTTCTTCATGTTTCAATTGGAGAGGTGGACTTGATTTCCATGGCAGCGAAATTGCGGTAATCACACTCTAATTTCCAAGTCCATATTCTTATATGTATGAAACCAATATGATATATTCTTTTGGTGTCCGTGGCCCTTTCTTTACACCTATTTTATCATAGCAAGATGGCGAATTTCTCGTCGAAATCTTTAGCCTTGAGGTAGCGAACGTCGAATTGGTCATATTCGAAGGACTCGCACTATGAAGCACTGGTGATGCTAGTCATTTACAAACAAATTGCTATGAAATCGATGACTCCGACATGGCTTTTGAGTTTGGCTCATAAAGCTGCTACAGGAGTGGGAGATAAGATTGAAGTTTGGATCCTTTAGGGGCGAGAGACAGGAGGAGGAGCTTAAGGTTATTTTTGACTTTTTACTCTCTTTTAAAGGAAAAATGAACTGATTTACGGAACGACCTATTACTGAGACAGAAACAAATGTTGGACACTAAATAATTAATATACACAAATATGATGACGAGATAATTAAATTTATAAAAGCTAATGGATGAAATAATTATTTTCCCATAAAATATTATAGAACACTATTAAACACCTAAAATCTAAAGTATTAAGTCAAAAGGAGAAAAGAAAATAGTTAAGTCAAAATGAGAAAAGAAAATACTAATGATCTAAAATATAAAACCTATTTTTAAAAGTGCAGAAAAACAAATTTAAATAATTTTTTAAGTTAAACAATATTATGGATTATTAATTATTGAAAAATATGAATAAAGAGTTTTATTATTTAAAAATAAATAATTCTAAAAATTTAGATGAATAATGCACTAAATTTATTATATGGTTATTAATTATTGAAAAATGAAAATTTTGCAGAAAAGGGTTATGAAAAATCCAAACGAAGCTACTAGTCGTATTGTATTTGCCAATTATCATTTAGCTAATAAGTCCGTGGATATTGAGGTTACACATGTGATAATGTATTAGCAATTGTTCGAATCCCTTATGATATGCAACTGAAATAAATTCTTGAAGATTTTTATAATATTTGGAAAAAATAAAGGGTTTTAAAATTTTAGAATGAGAATTTCTTTAAATTAGAAGATAATTAAATCAAAAAATAATACAAATAATAGAATGTCACATCAATATATTATGTGGTTATTAACTATTGAAAAAGTGTTTTATTATTAATACAATAAAACATTTATTTATGATTTAAATTATTATACATAGCAAAAAAGAAATCAAAGATTTTTTACACTAATGCAATAACTTTATTAAAGTTATTAATTATTGAAAAAAAGAAAAATTTATAATTTAATTTATTCAAATTAGATAATAAAATAATTAAAAAAAAACATATAAAACAACTAAGTTTATCACGCCCCATAATCAATATCCTTTTAATTACCTACACATTTTTTTTAATTATCCAATTATTTGCTTATAGAAAACACTGATAATTTTGTCCTACTTAGCAACAACAAAATTCTAAAAACTAACGCGCGCCTGAATCAAATCCTCCAAACACACTCCCATTCCAAAACCTAAAACCAATACGGGTCCCATTATTATCCATTCGAACATCAGCGTTATTCTCACGCGCCAAATCAACGACTACCAACATGAACCGATTGTCTAATGCGTAACTCCCTCGCGCAAAAACTACCACAGTTTCCCAAACCCTAACTGAAACGGGCACAACAGACCCCTCACTTCACGTTCTCAGCAAGAACACACCTTTGAGCTATCTGCTAGCTAAAACCCACCAAGAAACCCTAATTTCTCCTACAAATTTACCGTTTTATCCTTATTTATTACCAGTTACTATACTACAATGCTTTAAACGTACTCTTAGCCTTTACTTTCCTCTCAATTTCCAACATTGTGACCTTTAGCATGTCCGGCGATCGCCGGGATGTGCCTCCGGCGACCGGAGACGGAAACGGTGTGGTGCAAGCTGGAGACTCCGAGAAGCAGGCTACTCCTATCGTTGTGGCGTCGGTGACTCCTAGCCAGAGGCTTAGGCTGAACCCTAATAAGGATCATAAGCCAGAGAGCTACGAGGATCTGCAATTGGATTTTAGCCCATCGGTGTTTAGCTCGTTGGAACGGTACTTGCCGCCGAGTATGCTGGGTGTCAGTAGAGACGATAAGGTGAAGTTCATGAGGGAAATTCTGTTGAAGTACTTGCCTCATGGAGAGAGAACAAGGGTATGTTTGAAAATTGTTACTTTTAGTAAATTTGTTTTAGATTTTCGGAGGATTTTGGAGGAAAATAAATTAAAGTCAATTGAATTTCTTTTTTTCTTCCCCTTGAATTTTCGGTTTTTGGTTCATTTCGAATTTTAGCAACCTTCAAAAAGGAGTAATGCGGATTTGGCCTTTTTAGTTTTTGGGTTTTGACATGCGTTTGATTTTCTAAACGGATAGGGTGGTTTTACTGCTATTAGTTAAAGCAGAAATGACAAAAATGTCCTTAGGACTCCTGCTTTGTATTTCAGCTAGCAAGTGTCCTTTCATTGTTAGTTATTTTGCATTAGGAGAGAGAGAGAGAGAGAGAGATAAATTTTATGTTGGTCGCTGGAAAGACTACTACAAGTTTCAATTAAAAGATCTTAATCTGCATTGATATATAAATATATATCACATAATTTTAGAGAAAGTTAGTTGGCATGTATTTTGGACTTTTGAGCAGTAAGCGGGCAAGTTTGGATTGCATGATCACATTGGATTGTTGTGACTTTTTAGGTGGCTTTACTGAGGTATCAGAGGTTATAAATTACGAAGTTTTTGTAAAGATGTTTGTAGCTAATAGTTTATGAACGTTGTTTCTTGTATTTTCTGAAACACATTGATGGATGGATGAATTTGGGTTTTATAGGAGTGATAACAAGGGTTGGAACAAAGTGATTGGAGTTACAAAATAAGACTTGAAAATACTAATGTGGATCCCATCTGAACCCCATAGACGGCTTATATAAATACTGTCCTGCAAATCTAGAAATTATCAAAATATTGTTAGTTACTGAATTGAAGAAGACTTGGGAATTGAAGTTTGCAATATGAGAATTTAAAAAAAAAAACATAATTATAAGACTGTCTGTACTTATTTGGCAAGAATTTGGATGGTCTCAAGTGGCCCTACATTAAATTATGCATTCATAGTAGATCGTAATTTGTACTTAAACTAGCCTTTCCTTTGAGGGTCTTGTGTTCCATATCAACTTTTCATAGTTGGAGAAAACTTGTCTCTGCAAATTGATATACCATAATAGTAAAGAACCTCAATAAAATACTTTTTTGCTGATTTGGCATTAAAAATTTTGCCTTGATTGCATTCTTTCCCTTTTCAATATGACCAGTTAATAGTTGAGAAATAATATCATTTATTAAACAATATGTGCAGAAAAATCAACTTTCCTTTGATTTGCATGATGAGCAATGCAGCTAGATTCTATGACATGCTTCCACTTCATTTTCTTGCAGAGTTCTTAACACCATGATTGCAATAATGATGAAGAATTTTGGCTCTTTTATCTATTTTACTTTTTATAATATGCTGCTTCATTTGACCAAACTCCATGTGGTTGTCCTAACTTCATCTTTTCCAGGACCAATACTCGAAAGCTTGAATGCTTCTAATGATTTAACTAATTTTTTCCCCATAAGCCTTCCCAATGAACAAAGTGTCTTCTCTTATAATTATTCTCATATTCCTAAGGAACAAGCATAATTTGCTATTGTTTCAAACTGGATTCATTTCCCTTTTTGGTATTAAATGAATCTCATAAAATTTTATGGAAGTTCATTTGGAATTTTGTGTTTTCATGTTTGTAAATGAAATGTTCATTTTAATCCTAAAACTAAAATTTAAGGAATTGAATATAATTAAATCAATTTACAATTTTCCAGTGAATTCTATACTTCAAATTCATTTATACCAAATAGAGTGTGAGTTAATTTTATTTTTATTAGATTACGATAACATCTTTTAGTCTGTCACTGACTAAGTTGAACCTGAATTGGCTTTTGCTGCAACAATGAATTGCATCCTTATTTCTTCATTTCACGCTGACGTATCATCGCATGAAGCATGTGAACTTGCGATTCAGATTCCTCCTTTATGGCTTCTTTGGTCAATCTGGATGCAAGGTGGTGCTTTAACTTTATACACTTGCCTGGATGCGAAGCTAATTGTAGGATAATGTTATGGCGCTGCTTGACTTAGGGTAGTTTTACTGCTATTTACGGTGTTTTTATTTAGTTATTCAGTGTTTATCATGTTATTATCAGTTTCTTTGTTAGTGGCTATTAGTGGGGTGGTTAAGGGTAGTTTTTACTGCTTATTTACGGTGTTTTTTATTTAGTTATTCAGTTTTTTATCAATGTTTTTATTTCAAGTTTCTTTGTTTAGTGGTATTAGTGGGAAGTGGTATAAGGAGTAATTTATTGTAATGGGTTAGTTATATAAAGTGGGGTAGTGGTATTTTAGCTTACATTCGTTGCTTTAACAGCTGTTATAATCAGGAAAAATGTAAGCAAAATTTTATGAAAGGTTTTGAGTTCTAAAACTCAAGAGATTGTAGAGTTCTCTCATTATTGAGCTCTGAGATTTGCAGATTCTCTCTAATCTTCACCATATGATAGAAGGAAGAAAACATCTTCTAAGTAACCATCTCAACCGGATCTTCCACTAATTAAAGACCCATATACTAGATCCAAATTTGGACAGCAAATTGTGTTCAAGACAGCTTTACAACTCTTCATTTACTCTTATCTGAGCAGAGGCAATCAGACTATAATGCGAAGGTTGAACAAACTCATGCAAATTGGATGACCAGTTGTCTTTTGACTTGGATCCATAAGGAAGGGGCCTGAATTCCTCAAGTGCTAAAGTCACGACCCGAAAGCAAAGGGTCCAATAGGTTTACAGCAGGATAGAATCTCTGGGAGGCTACAACATGGTTTTTCGAAATTCAGATGGAGTTGGAAGGTTCTTGGACCATCCTATGAGGGTAATAATTATATTAGGAAGTTGGCGAAATTGGGAACATCCTAAACCGCCGACGAGCGAATAGTTTTCGCAATGTTTCAAGTCTCAATAGTTGTTGTGTAATGAAGATAGAGCGGATGGCGCAAAAGAAAAGAGTGAATAAACATCAATTTGGTTACACAATTGGAGGGTCGATTGCTTGTGATTTGGCAGCTTAATGGGAAGGGGTGGGAAGACGCAATTCGGAATGACATAGAGGAAACATTAGAGGAGCATTTGATCCAGGAATATTATTAATTATAGAGAGCACAATTAAACGTCTTATTTGCAGAATAATAGGAGGGTGATAAGGTGATCTGTTGTGATAACATTTTCACAGTTGAAGATGCATGTCATCCATCCATTTTGCGCTTGAGGAGACAAGCCGCTTTTCGAAGGAGGGGTGTAATGGTTATGGCGCTGCTTGACTTAGGGTAGGTTCTTTACTGCTATTTACGGTGTTTTTTTATTTGTTTTTCAGTGTTTATCATGTTATTATAAGTTTCTTTGTTAGTGGCTATTGAGGGGTACGTGGTTTAAGCAAGTAACTTATTGTAATGGGGTAAGTTTTATTTAGTGGGTAGTGGGTATTTTAGTTACATTTAGTTGTTTAAAAGGCTGTTTAAGTAATAGGAATAATGCAGAATTTTATGAAAAGGTTTGGAGTTCTAAAAACCTGCAGAGATTGTAGAGTTCTCTTTAATGAAGCTATAAGGAGATTGCAGATTCTCTCGTAAGTCTGTCACATTGGATAGAGGAAGAAAACTCACTATCTAAGATACCCATCCTGCAAAACCCTAGAAGGAAGAAAACTCCTTCTAAGATACCCATCTCAAACCCGATTCCCCTAATTCAAAGACCCATAACTAGATCCAAATTTGGGACCATAACAGATAACTAGGAGAGATTGATTGTATTAATAAAACTGATGGAGGACTGTTTCAAAAATATGTTGTTTATGTGGATTTTCAGAAGTCGATGGGTTATGAAGTTTGTGTATTTGGGGGAATTATATGAAATTCATTCTAGCAAAGAAAAGTTCATGGCTGGTACGGTTGCTGGCTTGTGCTGTCATAAGTACCTTGGCTTTTTGTTTTCGTTTGAAACTCATTGATGTCTGTACAAATCTGAGTTCTGAGGGAATGAATTTTAGGGTTTGATGAAGGGAATCAGAGTAATTTGCTTGTAAAATTGGTAAGGGCAGAAAGCTTCACATCTAAAATCCCCTCGGAATTACAACCAATTTCACATTGGTATCCCATCAAAGAATTGTCTCAGAACCCCAAAGAGTAGCAGACAGTCTTTAACATTCATGTATCCTTTATTCTACACTGAAAAAGTTGCATGTATATATACAGAATATATCAATCTTATTTCTTGCTTTATTGTAATGGGGCTGTAGTGGCATGCAGTTAGTTTCATATGTTTGCATTGGTACATCTATTCCCAGTTCCTTCTTCCACTAACAAGCAGATTCATGCATTAGATGGGAGAATCCCAACTGTTATTTTCTCAGATGCAAAGTTCTGACATATCAAATATATTTGATGATATATTGTTGCTACGTGGTTTATAGTTTTTCACACTTATTTTTTTCCCCTCTTCCCAGGAGAGAGGGAGAGATGAAGTAAATTACTGCCTATATGGTATTAAATATATGGTCTTTTGAAAATTTTAAATAATGTTCTTCCTTGATGATTCTTATTAGGCTCAAAGACATAGAGAATACAGGCAGAAGATAATATCAAATTATCAGGTACGAGACATGATATAATTTGGCTTTAATAGTTTTGAGGACATGATGTATTTTGATCGGTTTTTCCTATTTTAATTGCATTGAGCACAATGTGATATCTCTTTCCCCTCCATATTGAAGTAGTGCTTGTCTGCTAGATGGCTGCAAACTGAATTATCAATTATGAACTGTTAAGCTGGTCATACTTACTTTCTAATTTCTTCTTTTGTAAAACTTCAGTCTACTATGGGTCTCCCCTTCTCAGGAAAACAAAAGATGAGTTTTTCTTGAAAATGGAACTTCTGCTAGCTTGCATTTTTCATCTAAAATGTTATGAGTTATTGTTCACAGGAATCCTTTTGATTCCTTCAATTGTAAGAAAAGACAAACTGTTTCACAATTTGTGTAACTTTTCTAGACATGTTCATGTTCTTGGATACCTACCTGAAATGAATGGGAAAAAAAGGCTGGACTCGAATATGGGACTTTGTTTTTGGGCATGGCTTGACCAAGTCTACTCCCAAACAGAGCGGGGTTATAATTTTAAATTTTTTGTATTTTGATTCAATTGGCAGGCTTGGACAGTCAAATGGCCTTTAGGTTCCAGTGAAGGCCAGGGCTCAAAAGGCAACAAGCTAATTGGGCCTTGGCCTTTGGACCAAACCTGGTCAATCCCACTTGTTCATCAGGTCTAAATTTATACCTTGGCATTTTAGATAATGCCTACTATTAAGATGCTTACAAATATATGGATTTGGTTGAAAATTGATTGTGACTATCTCTTCATTGTGTACTATTATCCCTTGGTATTTTGGATAATGCCTACTATTAAGATGCTTACAAATATATGGATTTGGTTGAAAATTGATTGTGACTATCTCTTCATTGTGTACTATTATCCCTTGGTATTTTGGATAATGCCTACTATTAAGATGCTTACAAATATATGGATTTGGTTGAAAATTGATTGTGACTATCTCTTCATTGTGTACTATTATCCCTTGGTATTTTGGATAATGCCTACTATTAAGATGCTTACAAATATATGGATTTGGTTGAAAATTGATTGTGACTATCTCTTCATTGTGTACTATTATCCCTTGGTATTTTGGATAATGCCTACTATTAAGATGCTTACAAATATATGGATTTGGTTGAAAATTGATTGTGACTATCTCTTCATTGTGTACTATTATCCCTTGGTATTTTGGATAATGCCTACTATTAAGATGCTTACAAATATATGGTCCCTTCCTTTATAAAGGCAATCAGTGATAACACCGAGGAGAGTTTTAGAAGTATAATGTCTGAACCCTCTCCTGGTGTGTTTACATTTGAAATGCTTCAGCCACAATTTTGTAACTTAGTATTGTCAGAGGTACCATCTATTTCTACTTTTCTAGCTGTGATATGCCATCAGAATCAGATAGCTGTATATATAAATTTCATACATGTTGATCTAAGACACTTTTTCTTGGCTTCATATTCTCTTTTGTTAATTTGATTTTCTAGGTTGAAAATTTTGAAAAATGGGTCAATGATGCAAAATTCCGTATCATGCGTCCAAATACAATGAACAAATATGGTGCTGTCCTTGATGACTTTGGTCTCGAAACCATGCTTGAAAAGCTTATGGATGGTTTTGTTCGCCCTATATCCAAAGGTGATATATTTTCTTGTATTAGATTATTTAGTTTTATTAGTATATAAGAAGATATCAGTATATATGTGTACTTGACTGACTAAACCTTAATTCCAAACTCATTGGAGTTGACTACGTGGATCCATTTCCTCCATTCCAATTGGCTATATGTATGTAAATAATGTATATATGTTATAATTTATTAACTGCACTTGGAAGAAGTAGAAAAGGTATAAATATATTAATAATTTGATGCTTTGTTGCAATAGCTAACAAGAGAGAAAAATATAATTTGTTTCATCATTCTTGCAAAACAAAAAGGAGATATTTAGCGCTACGTTTCATAAAAAAAATTTTTTTGTAACAAATCATTGCAGAAAAAAGAAAGCTTAATGCAAAATCATTCTCTCTGGTGCAGTTTTTTTTCCTGAAGTTGGTGGATCAACTCTGGATTCTCACCATGGTTTTGTTGTTGAATATGGTAAAGATAGGGATGTTGACTTGGGTAAGTTCTTGTTGTAACATTCTTTTGCTAAAAAAGTATATTATGTTTTCATGTGGTTTGTAGCTTGTGGTTGTGTAGAACAGTACTGCTATGACATTTGAGACCCTAAATATGGCTTGATACTAGGTCATATCATGGTAGTCATTGCAGTAAATATGTCCAATTGTTTGTATGGGCCTTAGTTTTGTTTGTGGATGATTAGGTCAAATAACACATGGAGCAATAGTATTCTTGTGGTGTGTAGCTAGTAGTTGTGTGGAACAGTCTTATGACATTGAGACCTTAAACATACCTTGAACATTGTGGTGTGCTAGTCATGGCAGTAAAATGTACTCCAATTGTTTACATGCACATTAACTTTGTTTATGGATGGTTTCTTGACAGGTCAGCATAACACATGCATCGATAGTATTCTTCTTTTCTCTCTGGTCTAACCCAAGTAATATCTGGAAAATGCATATGCAATTTTTGGTTTCTTCTTTAGTCTTTCCTCCATAAGCTTGAACTTGCTAAGATCTTGTGTGTTGGAGCTTCTAGTGGCCAGCAACATTTAAAGATTCAAAGATTGTTTACATGTTGGGAGTCTTGATAAAAAGTGTAAAAAATGAAGGATACTTTGAAATAAATGCAAGCAAAAAATTTTGAGTCTATGGCTGAAGTGTTTCAGTGATGATAAGATTTGTAAAGACTGAGAATTTGCTCAGGCGTTGGGAATAGCATTTTCTGCTTCAGAGTGGAGGAGATATTCAAAAACAAAAGTTCTCTCGATTACCTTGGATCAAGGTGTTGAGTTATATGATCGAACTTGGGGAAATAATGATAAGATAATGATTATGACATGACAAAAGGTGATTCAATGTTGGCTTAGAAAATTAAATGAGAGGAGATTGCATGCATCTTGGAAGTTGGGAGAGATTTGGGTGTAACACAATGAAATTTTTACTTAGCCCAGAATTATACCTTTAATCTTAATTAGAAAATTGCAAATTTAAAAGAGAAGAGGGGGGGGCGCAAAAAAAAGAGTTTGGTAATAGAGTAGAAAGAGAAAACATGGAAACATTTTACTTCATTAATTGCAAAATTAATTTCTTCAGATCACAGATAGAAGAGAGAGAGTAATAAAATTAAAAAAGGGCAATATTTCTTTCTTAGTAGCAGAAAGACCTTTAAATAAAAATAGTAGGAATTTCAAATTTGAACTTGAAATTGAACATCGATAGCTGAGGAAGACTTTGCCAATTGCAAAGGTAAATATTGAAAAGGAGAAAAAGCAACTTTTTGTTGCCTTTACCATATTGAGTTTGCATTAAGCAGTCTGGATGTAAGAGGATGCATAGCTGTGAATCCCAAGAATATATTAGCAAGATCCACAATTACATTCTCCTTTCTGATCAATATGTAAACCACTAACTCTGCCAACAGCACTATATGTGGCACTCTCAAAAATTTACCTACTTCTGTTATGTAGTTCTCTCTTGGAAGGAAAGACATCAGGAAAGAGAAATGCTTGCTTGTGTTTTTAATATAATGCCTCTCCCCCTGCCCCTTTTAGTTTTTGATTTAGAGAAATTAGGGAAGTGAGAGAGACGAAAAGGATTAATTTTGTGACATGTCCTAGGATTTTATTTCAAGGAACACTTAAATAGCTTTTATGCACACTTAGCCCATTTCATCCCAGTCAACGTGCCGTATCCAAATGATAAAACTGAAAGGGGTTCTTGGATGTAACTGCACTTACGACTTGGAACTCGAAGTACAGGTTGATTTGGTGATTTCCAGAGAAGTGTCCATAACTGCACTCTGACAACAATTTGAGATTGTTTTGGTGATTAACCCTTTGAATAACTAAAATGTATACTCAGAGAATCGGTTTAGAAGATCTGCACCTGCACTGCATAGATCATAGAGGACAAGTACTTGGGTGGTAATAGTAAACAAGAATTAGTTCAATATTATTGGCTTCAATTTCACAATTACACTTGTCATTCTTGTCAAATTTTTTTTTTTTTTCTTTTTCTTTTTGTTTTTTTTAATGTTGATATACCACCTGAAATATGATTTTTACAGAATAGACATACCTTTATCGAGTTTCTTTTTCTTTTAGAACATTGGTGTCTAAATATAAACAATGTTACATTTGTAGGCTTTCATGTGGATGACTCAGAAGTAACTTTGAACGTTTGCTTGGGTAAGCAATTTTCTGGTGGAGAATTGTTTTTCCGGGGCACACGATGTGATAAACATGTAAATACTGGAAGTCAGTCAGAGGTATGTTAGTCTATAAGGTGGAGCATTTCTCAATCAATAGATGTAGTTTTCTTGAGTATGTCACTGTCAATTTCAAAGAATTCTTTTTTTTCTTTTGGTCTACACTTCTGGTTGCACTGTCAATGGATTGTAATTTAATTGTCAATTTTAGTACGAGGTAATCATCTAGTCAACTAGAGTGAAGATATGCACTTGTGGTGTGTCTAATTGCCTTATTGCAGATGTTGGCTGTCTAACTGCGGATTAGCTTTTTTTTTTTTTTTTTTTTTTTTGTGTCTAAGTTGCACTCGTTATTGCAAGATGTTGGCTGGTCTACTGGGATTAGCTTTTTTTTTTTTTTTTTTTTTTTTAATAATGTCTCTCTCTGATGCTCTATGGCTTGTTTGGTTCATGTAATAGATTAGGGTAAGAATGGATGGACTAGTTATTCCATGCCTGTGTATTACTATCCTTCACTAATGCAGAATTTTTGTTTCACAAATTTGTGCAAGTGTACCATGTAACAACATCCTGCATTTTAAAATTTCAACCATATTGTGTTTGTGGAATAGCTTTGTTCCTACATTACTCCATGAACCAACTAAAGCATTTAAGTTTCCACACAAAATGATACTTGAGTAACATCAATAATCAGATGGCAAATTGGAAATGTCTAAATTTGTGGAAACTGTTTCAACCACTTAATATGAGGACGTATAGTGGTTATTTTTTTTAAAATTAGCGTCTTATTGGAATGTTTAATTTTGTATGGCTATGATTTTTAAAACAGCATTCGTAGGCTCTCTACCATTGATTACGAGACAACATTTTTAAAATTAGCGTCTTATTGGAATGTTTAATTTTGTATGGCTATGATTTTTAAAACAGCATTCGTAGGCTCTCTACCATTGATTACGAGACAACATGGTTCTTGTAAGGGGTAGTTCATGCCATTTATCTTATTTATATAGCTTTTTCTTTTGTCATTTACCTTTTTTTTACAAGGTATTTATGTGCCAATAGGAGATCTTTGACTACTCTCATGTCCCTGGTCGAGCCGTGCTTCATCGTGGCCGTCACAGGCATGGTGCTAGGGCCACAACATCTGGTCATAGGATCAATCTACTCCTTTGGTGTAGAAGGTACTTATTTTTTCATATTTTTTCCTTGACCACTTGCTTTATCTGTAGTACTTTACAGTGTCTTTGATTCCAGGGAAAAAAAAAAATGTTGGTCCATTTTCTATTCAAGTTTTTATTGATCAATCATAACACTAATTTCCTTATGTCAATTTTCTCTTAAGATTTATTGTTACTTGACCATTTGATGTCAAACTTGTACTTACTCTACTTTCGCCTGCAAATCCTGTGAGCATTTTTTTCCCTTATCATCTTTAAAGATTCTCTACTATAAATTTCAAGTCATCTTAAAGAATTGTATTGACAATCTATTAATACCTAGCTCTTCTACTGTATCCTCAATTTTTTGCATGTTTCTTTTATTATGAGAGTTTTTTCCTGGAGTTTCCAATTCAGATGTTCCAGAAAATTTATCATGATCATATGAGGAGTGGTTCTTAAATTGCTCTGAAGTTCTCATTTTGAATTTACACTCTTGGAGCATGATTTCATTGTGTGGCTTCATTTTTGTGAAATATGATTTTAACCTAGTGTGATGGAACTGTCAGCAATATAGTGAACTTTTTTCTTGAATTTCAACCACACAAATCAATTGGCCGTATAAATGCATTCATTGTCTGTATACAGTTCAGTATTTAGAGAGATGAAGAAATATCAGAAAGATTTCTCTAGTTGGTGTGGGGAGTGCTTACGCGAGAAAAAAGGAAGACAAAGGGCGTCTATTGTTGCTACAAAATCGGTAATTTTCTTAACTCCTTTTCTTTTTTTGATTTTTTTTGTAAAAAACCTTGTGTGGAAGTTCAGCATATTTTTAGATGCTTCTATAGGCAAGATGTGGCTACGATTAATCCAACGATATGTTGCTTAATTTGAGCGATCGTAGCCCACATCTCCATTATTACCTTTGGATGGCATGGCCCTCTCCATATTATTTTGATGACCCAGTTGGTTGGGAGCTACCGCTCGGCAACTGAAACTGACTCTTATTAAAGTTGATGGTCTGCAGGAATTGCTTAGGAGAGACGGCGAATAACATGACTTGCTACAGCTTGTAACGTGCCCAGATGATTGTAAAATTATGTAGCTCCAGATTTCACTCTGATGGTGCGACAGCTGTTAATCTCAATCTTTTGAAGTTCACTTTTACGCTCCGTCAATGCTTGTATAAATTGTCTGCTAAATGGGATAGTTCTGTTTGTAGCAACATGTCTGGAATTTCTGTAAAAAGGTTAGTAATACTCTAGTTAGCACTGTAACTGGGGAAAATTTGGCTACTGCAAACCACATTTCCATTGTCAATAAATTCTGTAACTTGTAATTCATCATGATCTTCAATGAAGCCTTTTGTTTTTCGAGCCGGTTTTGGCCCCCCCCCCCCCCCCCCCCTCAATGATCTATCAATGAAGCCTTTTGTTTTTCGAGACGGTTTGCCCCCCCCCCCCCCACACCCAAAAAAAAAAAAAAAAAAAAAAAAAAAAAACAGAAAAAAGGTTTTAATTTAAGTTCATTGCCCATTGCATGATATGGTTTCATTCAAATTGTGCTATACATTTTTATGGACTTATGTGTGAATTTCATTTGAAATTTCATGTTTGATGTGAATGGAAATATTATTTTCAATCAATTTAATTTTCTGAACAATTCAATAAATAGCTAAATCAAATGTATGATTTTTTTATCTTCTAATTCATACATATCAAGCAGTGGATTACTTGTTCTACTTTCACTTTTTGGTTAATAACCTTTTTACTTCATTACTGATCGACACTATTTCTCCTCATTCATTTACGAGGTTTTGATCGATGGAATTCATGAAAAAACATTTGGTTCGGCATCATTTCAGAATGAATAGTTTGTAGTTTTTTTTATATTTAATTATATAATATTTTATTCAATTGTATATTTTCAATTATAAAAATATAATATATAAAAAAATATATATATATATGATTGAAAAATAAAAATGTTAAACCATAAGAGATGGAACTGAAGACCTTTTTAAAGAGTACAAATAAAAAAACTGTTATTTCAAAATGGGAAAAAATAAATTAGTTCCATAAACTTATAATCAAATTAATACATGAGAATTTTTACTTTAAAATATAATTATGAAAGTTCTTAATTTATGTTTTTATAATAAATTATGAAGTTCTTAATTTATGTTTTTAATAATATGTTTGTCCTTCTCTTTTACTAGGCAATTGATTATGAAATTGATTTCTCTTCCGATAAGGCTTTGATGATCTGTTTTGGACGAAATAATTGAAGTATTAATAAAATCATAATTTAAAAAATTTATGGTAATTTTTGAAAAATTATTGATTTAAATTATGCGTGGAGAAAAGAAGGATTAACAGAAATTTTCAGCGTTTTAAAATAAAAACCAAAAGTTCTCGTACGTCAATTTGATTATAATTCAAGCATGAATTTGTCAGTTGGCTTTTTTTTAAATATCAATGGTCTTATTTGTCATTTTATAATCTGTAACGGTTCAAGTAACACTAACCAACCAGTAACTGCTGTCCCGGCGCTGGCCTTAACCGCCAAGTACCAACTCGAAACACGTAAGGATCCAACCCTATACGGCGTCGTAAACAACCGTTAACCCTAAAATTATACAATATATATAATTTGTTTAATATAATATATCGCTAAATGATTCCACTTTCCAGCCTTTCCTGTTAGCTTGCAATTGGTCATGAAGTATGGTTCTCTTGCCACCCGCTTTGAAAGAGTAGAAACAGAGAGTAATTAACCTTAACCCCTCTCTCTCTCATTATCTCTTTTGCTTCATCGGGTAAGGGTTCTTTCTTTGTCTATATGTATATATACCCTAACTAATCCTATACATATATGATCCTAAATTTGATCAATTGATTTTCAGCTTCTTGCCCAAAATTGTTCTCATCCTCGACGAAATTCCACTGAAACAGAATCAGATTTCGCTTCAATGAAGAGGGGCTCGATTCGCTAATCGCCACCGTATTTATATTTGAGCTCTGTTTTCTCATTCAGTTAGGGTTAGGGTTTTTCCCTTTTTGGAGGCTCTAAGTTCTATTGTACTTTGTCATCGCAGTATCATATCATATTATATATACATATATAATATATAATACAGCAATTGAATTTAGGGTTTAGCTTTCTCTGATTTTTGGATTTTCGTTTCTGTGTTTTGGGGTTGTTTGTGTAATGGTCTCAATTAATTGTATCTATCTTCGCCCTGTACTGTACAATCAACGATTATTTTTTTATTCTTTCGTTTTTTTTTTCGATTTATTTTTTATTCTTTTCGTTTTTTTTTTTTTTATGTTTTATTTTTATTCCGTTGTTTTTTTTTTTTTTTTTGTTTATTTATTCCGTTGTTTTTTTCAATGTTTATTGAAGATGTTATGATGAATAAATTTTGTGCTTGACATCCCCATATACAAAGACTGAACAGAAGAAAAATATTTGAAAAAAAAAAAGATAAAAAAAAGAAGAGAGAAAAAAAAACATTAAGGAAAGAGAGAACAACAGAAATAGAATAATAAAATTTTGTAATATCTATTGCAAATGGGGAGTCCTGGATTAAGCACTCAAAGTAATGGGCAGCAGCAACGGCGATTAGGGATTACAGAACCCATTTCCTTGGGTGGACCAACAGAGTATGATGTAATAAAGACTCGCGAACTTGAAAAGGTTTATTTGTGGTTTTGTTTACTCTTTGTTTTTTCCCTTATTCTAATCTCGTTGAAATAGTTGCTCTGTAAATGATGGATTTGATTATTATTTGAAAATGTGCAGTATTTGCAAAATGTGGGGCTGTATGAGAGTCAAGAGGAGGCTGTGAGTAGAGAGGAAGTGCTTGGGAGACTAGACCAGGTTGAAATTTATCTTCTTGTCACTGTTTATGTCATTTCTATCTAGGCTTTTGTTCTTCACCTCTGAACATTTGTTGACTTGCATTTATATTTTTGCCTTTTATCTTCTGGCTAAAGTATGTGTCATGTTAGTGATATAAAATGTAACAGATTGTGAAGAATTGGGTGAAAGTGATTAGCCGTGCAAAAGGGTTGAATGAGCAACTAGTGCAGGAAGCAAATGCTAAGATTTTCACCTTTGGTTCTTATCGGCTAGGGGTATGCTTCTAATCTTATCTTTTCCTTCTGAAGAATAGAGGTTTTCTTGCTGCGTACACCTTTTCCATGTATATGCTTTTGTAGCTTGGGAATTGGAGGAAGAGGAAGAAATAAACTGTCATTCAACTTTCCACTATGAGCTTGTTGATTTATTACTTTTGTTCATGTATGTGCATGGGTTCAACTTTTTGTTAGTAAGTTTTTGTTGTATTTTATTGTTAATTTGTATGCTTTTCATCGTTTATCTCATGTGAAGGTGAAGTTCCTTTTGGCATATGTTAGAAAACCCGCATTCATCAAAGGCAACTATTATGCAGAATATTTGAGAGATTGATTTAGTAGGGATGCATTGTGGGTTATTAGTTGGATTGGATATTGATGATCATTCTCTAATATATGTACCATTTAAACTACTATATGCTATTCATGTACTGTTCACATTTTGCGATGGAGCATTTGATATGTGAATGACTATAACTGCAACTGAATTTAGTGGCAGAAAGAATTTTAAGAGTTATGAGTTAGCCTCTAGTTGTTTACTCTAGGTTTGTTTTTGCTTTGCCTCTATGGAATCTCTTTGATGACCAGTAGATCATGACCTTTAGTTACTTTGCCTTTTTCACTTATTTTTTCATCTAGTATGTGTGCTAAATTGACTGCCATAACTTCCTACTTTAGCATTTTCTGTAGCTTTAGTTGACCTTTAGTTGCTTTGCCTCTGTGGAATCTCTGTTCATTTTCTGTAGCTAATTTAGCATTTATGATCTTACCAAATGTATAATATAAAACTCTAATTACTCACTTTTCAATATTATATGGTAATTGTGAGTAGTAGTGGTGGGCGAGTGGTCATCACCATGCATATGAACATCCATAAGGGAGCAAGAATGGGACAACTGTTTGTTTGAGTTATATTTTTAGTTAAATTATATAATTTTTGTTATAACCCAGGAAATGCTGTCTATCTATGTATCCATTCAAAACTCTTATGAAAGAAATGGATTTAATGCCTAATCGCTTCTGTTGGAAACTTAGGCTAATGTTTTCATATATTTTGCTGCCACAGTTGGTGTTCTTATTGAGTTCCTGTGTTAAATATTTGTCTTCTGGTTTTTCAGGTGCATGGCCCTGGTGCAGATATTGACACTCTTTGTGTGGGACCTAGACATGCAACACGAGAAGTGCGATCAGCTTTTTTGTGTTAATGATATAGAATTCAGTTGTGGCAATACTTAGTGAGTTTAACAATGCCTCTAATATTGGTTGCAGGAAGACTTTTTCGGTGAGCTACATAGAATGCTATCAGAGATGCCAGGAGACTTTTTCGGTGAAGCTAACATAGAATGGCTTATCAGAGATGACCTGAAGTTACAACAGAGTTGCTCCTGTGGCCTGATTGCCACATGTTCCCAGTAATGAGATTCAAGTTTAAAGGGTGTTTTCAATTAGATCTTCTTTAATGCAAAAGTGTCCCTTTGGGGTGATTCCTGAAGGTAAGTTTTGGATTAATTAGTTTTGGTTAATCTAACATCCCTGGATTTTGCATTTTTTATGTTGAAAATGGTCCCTGGTTTTTTGCATTTGACGTTGAAATGTTCCTCTTTATCTTATTCAATATGCTTAATTTTCTTTCATTCTTTCATTCTTTAGTTCTACCGTTTTATGTGGACTGATGGCGTGCTTGATTCATTGTTTTGTTCTTCCACAATACATGCATGCATGGGTCTATGAAGAACAAGTGTTTGTATTACTATATAATTTGTTTTTATCTTTATCTTGTTTCCTTTTTGAAAGCTTTCTTTGCTTCTCAGAGAGTGGGTGAGGGTGGAAGAGAGACAAATCAGGGTAGTCATGAATTTTAAAAGATTATAGACAGAGCTAAACAAACTAATCTATTCAAAAATGATTTAAGAACTCGGGAAAAAAATGGCAGTTGAGTGATTTCAAATGCTCCTTTTTTTCTGGATGGGAAAGGGAGAAATGCATTCTGCCTTCATTTGTATGAAAAAGATGGGGGCCCTTTGTCCTTGATTGTGGCAAGATAGGGATGACACCTTCATAGTTTTTTATCCTTCATAGTTTTTTATCAATCTATCAGAGAATAGAAAGAGAGGATATAAGATTGGTAGATTGGTTTGTGCTTTATGAGATACCGCTTCACCTTTGAGCTTTGCTTGGCTATTGACGAGAATGCTTAATGAGATATTTCAGTTCAAGCGCAAGGGCTTTATATTACCACTTACAATAGGCTTATCATAAGCTTCTTCATGAATATGAATTCATTTTCTCTATTTAATTGTTTGATTTCATGCAGGATTTAGATATTTCACAAGACTCGATACTACAAAATGCAGATGAACAAACCGTCACAAGACTCGATACTACAAAATGCAGATGAACAAACCGTCCGTAGTCTTAATGGTTGCAGAGTTACTGACCAGATTTTGCGTTTGGTGCCAAACATTCAGGTTTTGAGATTGCTTTGAAGTTGCTTTTTTTGCTTTTCAGTTTGACTGATTATGTTACTCTTTCTGAGGGAGAGAGATAGACTGATTGTCACCTTTATTATCTCTTAATAGTGTTTTCACTTCTTCTAGAGCAGAATTTCCGCACAACATTGCGATGCATGAGGTTTTGGGCAAAGCGACGTGGTGTTTATTCAAATGTATGATACTACTTTCTGATGCTGATCGTCATGCTATAGTACCATTTCCTTTCATATTTGTTAAATTGGTCACCTGTTTCTCATGTTCAGGTTTCAGGTTTTCTTGGTGGCATAAATTGGGCATTACTTGTTGCCCGCATATGCCAGCTATATCCCAATGCACTCCAAATATGTTAGTGTCTAGGTTCTTCGGTAATATACCTCAGTGGCGCTGGCCAAATCCAGTAATGCCTGTGCCAATTGGGAGAGAAGGAAACCCTTGGTCCTTCAGGTTATGGGCAATTCACGCGATAAAGAAAATCCAAAGGATAGGTTTCACTTGATGCCTATAATTACTCCAGCCTTATCCTGCATGAATCTAAGCTACAATGTGTTCCCTCAAGCACTTTGCGCAATAATGTTAATGTGTCCTCAAGCACTTTGCGCATAATGTTAGAAGAGTTTGGGAGGGGGAATGAAATTTGTGAGGTATGATTTTGCGATTCATGGCTAACTTGCTTCTCCCACTCAAAGTACGTGAGTTTGTAGGTACAGTTTCAAGAAATATATTGCCATCTTTTTTCGTACTGTCCCATTTCCTTTCCCTTTCCCATTTTATTTTAATTTTTATCTTGAAATAATTTTTTTCTACAATAGATGTACCGTTTACTTTTGGGGGCTTGATTTCCAGTCTCTGTAATTTTTTATTCATTATCTATAGCAACTAGGTAGTTATTTGCATCTTCACCAATTGATCCAATTAGAAAATTTTTTGTTTCTTTTTTTATTTCTTTTTGTTCTCCTTTACTGGTAGAAAAAGAGAGTAGATGAGCTAACCTCTTATTACTATTAGTTCTTATTTTAAATTTGTGAAAGTTGAAAAGGGTTTTATTCTAATTGTTCTCTTGGGTTTATCTTCTTTGTGATTTGTATCTCTTTGGGCTTATCACATCAGCTTGTTCGCCGTTGCCATGATCATTTTCATGAGTTTATGGTTTCTAATCCTTACAGGCAATGGAGGCAAGGCTGGCTGATTGGGATAACCTTTTTGAGCCTTTTTCCTTCTTTGAAGCATACAGGAATTACCTACAGATAGACATCAAAGCAGACAATGAAGATGATTTAAGACAGTGGAAAGGGCGTGGAGGTGGGTGTATGATTCGCAGCTTACATTGGGGCTGAAGTACTCCCACCCACAAGCTGGGCGTATTCGCCTTCGTTTTTTATTCTTATGTTATTATGTTTTCTCGGTTACTTGGTATTTTGAGTCGGCTCCGTCAGGGCTTTTGCTACGGCCTGCTATGAATTGAGAGGCATACACACAATATGCTTCAAAATGGCCATCGCACCCAGGTGAATTTGTATGGACAAATCTAAGAACCAATCTAGACCTCTACATTGTTCTTATTTTATGGGTTTGCAACGCAAACAAGGGGTTCCCATAAATGAAGGGGAACATTTTGATATAAGGTTAGCAGTTGAGGAATTTAAACACTCTGTGAACATATATGCTTCATGGAAGCCTGGAATGGAGATCCAAGTAATCCATGTGAAACGGAAGAACATGCCTTCCTTTGTTTTTCCTGGTGGTGTTCGTCCTTCTCGTCCATCAAAAGCAACTTGGGATAGTAGGCGCAGCTCAGCTGAAAAGTCATCTGAAGGTAGAGTTTCAGATGGATCAGATGATGGAAGGAAGAAAAGACGAATTGATGATAATGTTGCAAATACCATGAAAAACATGAAGTCCTTTACTGCTGCTCCTTTAGATGATGGAAGCCTTTCTGTTGGCAATGTTGCTGTAGGTGTTATTTTTAGTGCAAATGAGATGCAGGAAAATAGGGAAGAAAAAACAGATGGCCTTAAAGATTTGGAAAATTTAGCAGGGATTCCTGCTCAAAATGCTGATCTTAATCTGCAGAGTAAAGATTTGTCTGCCACCAGGGATACCCCATGCTCTAAGGAGGCTGAGAAGCTGGCAATTGAGACAATAATGTCTGGTCCTTATGTTACTAACCAAGCTTTATCAGAAGCTTGAAGAATGATCGTGATGCGGAATCAGGTAAAGATTCGTGGGATAAAGAAGGCTTGTGGATCTTCGTCTGACTGCAGCAAAATTAGCTAATGCACCTATAGCTGTACCAATAATTTCTGGCAATAGGAGTGGTTCATCCATTTCTTTCTCTACCAATGGTGGTTTGGAGGAGCTCGAGGTCTTTTCTGCTCTTTTCATAAGTTTAAAATTGCTGCTTTACTAGACTCCTTTATCAGATTTTGCTTTTATTAATATTTTTTTGGTTTACTGCATAATTTGAAATTACTTTTGTGCTGTATCTCCTTCACTATGCTACACGTTCCATGTTTGTGTTTTAAGAAAAGGTAGGAATTTAAGATTCTACCTTTGAGATTTGTGAATGTTTTGTTTCTGGTTGACAAAAGAATTGGGTGTTGCAAGTATAGTTCTATATTTGCATGTACTGTTTATTTCAGTAATGCATTAATGTGCTTTATAGTTGACAGCATTGTTTTGCCTAATTGACAGCATTGTTTTGCTCTGTTGTGTTTTGAAGCTTGCGGAGCTTGAGACGCTATTGGCCAATGGGGTCTCTTCTGCTGCATCTGTGCCACAAAAGAAACCTCTTATTAGGTAATTTGAATTGCAATAGTCATGAAAAGGAGCAATCAAAACTGTGTTACAAAATAAAAACCAAACCAAACGGTTGCTTTAATTTAAGTTTTTGAGAAGAAACTACTGCAGGTATCCATTTGGATTGGAAAAGTATACCCTTCTTTTTGTTTATCAATGTTTTTTATAATGCATATAGCCACATACTTGTTTTCCATGTGAATTGCAGGTTGAGCTTCAATTTTTTAGGAAAAGCCAGCGGCAAAAGCACATGAAAGGATTTCAAATATCATATGGAGCAAAGCCAGTGGGAGCCTGCTAGGCTTTTTTAGGGTTCTTCCTATGTATGAGATTTCTTTTTTCTTTTTTTTTTTTTTTTTTTTTTTTTTTTTTTTTTTTTTTTGAAAATAAGAAAAAAGAAAAAAAAAAGAAAAAGAAAAAAAGAGAGAATCTTCTCTCCCTTTGTAACATATTGACATCCAACGTTGATAAATCTTACAGCTCTTTGAATTGTATCCTCGGATTCATTTTTCTATTCTTCATGTTATTAAATATTAATAGTATGAACGTGTCAGTCTCAGTTGAATGAAGTTTCCGTTTCACATGGTTGGTTCTGATATTTTGTTGACTTTTACGTTGACTTTCTTTGCACTTCACTATTCGCAATTATATTAAATTAACTGTAATCAGAATTGCTATTAGAAAATTAAACATTTTAGATGGTGGTGGCTATGACAACCTAATTTTTATTAATTTAAATCATTTATTAATATTCATTTTGGGCAATTTCCTAAATTTTTATTAATTAAATCACTTGTTAATTTTCTTTCCGATCAATCCATCAATTTTCAATTAATATTTCGATCCAAATTGTAAATATTGCTGATCCCACAGTTGAATGAATTAAACCATTAAAACAAAATATTTCTATCTGTTTTAGCTTTTAATAGTCACTTCTGAGAATATTATTATTATTATTATTATTCTTTTTTCATTATTCTTTTCTTCAATAGATGTGCTGGGTAAGCTTTTTATCAGTTTCTGATGCTTTTTTTTTTTTTTTTTTTTTTTTTTTTTTTTTTTGCTACAACAAGCGATGTCAGTGTAAACTCAGTGGCCTAAGCAACACCAGAAAAGTGGGATTTCCAGTAAATAATACCAGCTCCTTTTACTTCAACGGTACACGTGTCTCAAAATTGTTCAATTGAAAATGAAAGCAAATGGGAATGGGATTAGATGGAACAAACTGATTGGCAATTCCATTTGATTTTGACATGTTTCCCTATTTTCATTTCATTTTCACTTCCGTTAGGGATTAGCTTACTCGGCTCTTATCATAAAGATTCAATTTATATAAAACTAACCAACACTTATTGAGAATTAACTTATTTTGACAATAATTTTAAATGAAACAATTTCTTGAAACAGACAAATATCTAACAACTAAATAATAATAACATAAACATAACAGAGCACCGTGCAAAAGCTGTTCGCCCCTACATTCTTACAAAGTCAATAACGGATCAACATTAAACAGATGTGATGCACCTGTCTGTTTTCCCCTGCTGTTTTTCTGGCTAGATTAAATACGCAAAGAAAAGAAAAGAAACAGAGTAGAAGAAGATGGAGGAGGAGGATTTAGATTATGTTTTAGTGCCAGTTGGTCTGTTGGTGATGGGTATATACCACATATGGCTTCTCTTTACTATTATTAAATCTCCAAGCCGAACTGTTATTGGGATCAATGCTGAGTCTCGCCATCAGTGGGTCCTTGCTATTTATGTTGATAAGTTCAGGGTTCCTATTTTTATTTATCTCCATGTTTTTGTTTTTTTTTGTTGAGTCTTGAAAATTGTTTTATATTTATATACTATACGTTGCACATAAATAAGTATTTTTGATACGGAACATATGGCTTTTTTAGGACTCCCTGAGAAGCGTTTATGCATTTATTGCAAATTCTAACTTGTTCGTAGAATTAACGTTGAGTGGAATGAAAATGAATACCTTTGTGTTTATTGTTCTGATTAGTATTATGACTGGGTTGAAGTAAGATGGTTTGTTGAATCTGTGTACTATTCGTTATTATTTCGTTTTAGGGAAAAGCGGTGTGCTGTGTTAAGTTTTTCCTCAGAATCTAGTAAACTTTTGGAAAGTTTTTTAAGTTTTTCTCAGATCTAGTGAAAAAACTTTGGAAAGTTTATACCTTGTTTCCTTATAGTGATGATACTCGCTTGTGGGTTTTAAGAATTATACTTCAAGTCTGGCTTGCGTTTCAGCTTAAGGAGTTGGGTCAAGTAGTGAAGACTAGTTACATGTTTTGAACATAGGAAAGTCTTGATGATATAAAAGATTCTGAAGTCTGGTATGAGGAATCTTGTATGAGGAATTTTGACGATTTCTGCATTTTGGTTCAAATCCCTTTTCTAGCATAATAAAAAGAAGGTAAAATGCATAGCTTGTTTAAAATCTTTCATGGATCACAATAACTCATTTTGAGGGTTTCTAAAATCCCACATGAGATGTGAGATTTTGCCATAACACTCATTTTAATGGATGTGGATTTCTTAAAAGTTTCATTTGTTTTTTTTTTTTTAAAAAATGGAAATTACCATTGGAATTCATAGATTTAATATTTATACCAAACAAGATTAATTTTACAAATCTATGGTTTTTAGTTCCATGGATTTGACAAATTCCATAGACTTTAAAATCTTCAATCCAAATGTTTTTTTTTTTTTTTGACATTTCTTCAATCCAAATGTTGCCTGGGAACTTCTTTTATCATTTAGCTTTCCCAGTCTGCTTCCCACTGTTTGTCCCATAGCATGAAATTTCTTTTTTATTTTTCCAATTTTATCTTCTATATGTATTTTAATTATCATGTAAGTCTGTTTCAGCCAACAAGAACGCATATTTTTTGTGATTGTGTCCTTGTGGTTGTTTATTTTTCAATCTTTTATGAGGTTTGGGGGTTGAGGTGGGAGGGCAGGATCTTGTCAACCTGTGAATTAAGAATTCTATATGATGAAGCAATATGAAATGATTTTTCTGATACTAAACCTCTTTATTAACAAATTAAGATTTATTTGTTCATTTTCTTTTAAAGTTTTCTAGAAATTTGATGATGCAGGGTCAATTTATTTGCTGAAAGGTGTTGGCAAATTAGATGCTTTTAAACTGGCTTTGTACAAACATTATTTTCATGGTCCAGAATATATGACTGGTCAAAAGATTTTAGAACTTTGTACTTGGGTTTAACTCTGTCCTAGACATTGTTAGAATCTGCTTTTCATTAAAAGTAATATTAACTCCAGCATAATACTCATGTTTAAGGTTAATATTGCCAGAAATTTCAGAAAATGACAATGTCATCTACATATGCTTATGATCTCAATTTGAGAAATTTATGTAAGAACTTTAGCATCAATACAAATATCAATGTTGACATTTTGACTTCTGTAATTTTCAGGATCCCTTAAAGAATGGTGTATTAGCTGTTCAAACAATTCGAAACAATATAATGGCATCTACACTTTTGGCAACAACAGCAATAACTCTTACTTCATTGATCAGCGTATTTGTAAGCAGCACATCGAGTTCCGGCAATACAGCTTCAAAACTAGTGTATGGAAATAAGACTTCCATTGTTTCTTCAATAAAGTACTTCTCTATTCTGTTGTGTTTTCTCGTTGCCTTTCTTTGCAATGTGCAGTCCATTAGATACTATGCTCATGTTAGCTTCCTAGCTACTGTACCTACATCAGTAGGCAAAAAAGAAGCCATTGAATATGCTGCTCGAAACTTGAATCGAGGAAGTTTATTTTGGTCACTCGGATTACGAGCTTTCTACGTATCATTCCCTCTGTTTCTATGGACCTTCGGGCCTATACCGATGTTTGTGTGTTGCTGCATAATGTCATTTGTTCTTTATTTCTTGGATACAACTAGTAGTTTTACACGGAAACTTCACACTCGCTCCTTCAAAGATGAAATGAAAGTTGATGATTCTGACTCGACAATTTAATCGTTGGAAGTGTGATTGAGAATAGAATGGTTATTACAAGTGTTGTTGTCAGTGAACTTGTAATTTAGCCAACTTGTGTATAATTCTGTAGGTATATATTTATATTCAATACACATGCAATGCATCGGTATATGCATGCTACTAACGATTCTTATGTTCTTACTAGTGAAGTAGTATGTTGGAGATGCTATGAGTGATTCTTATAGGCATTCTTTTTTTTCTTTCTCCAATACTAAGAATGCCATTATTATTATTATTATTATTATTATTATTATTATTATTTTTTGTGTGCCGGGAGTTCGAATTTAACGATCTTATAAATTATGCTTATAAATTTGCAGAAAATTTCAAAATACCAAATCAAAACTCCTGGATCAATTCCTGAACTCTTTCCTTTGATTAATTAACAAAGAATGTCTTAAGTGCTTGATTTCTATTTCATTCCTTACATGCAATTGTCATAAAATGGAGCCAACTCCTTTCCTTCTCTTCTGGTACATAGGAAATTTTTCAAGAAGCGAGGATGCTAGGATTCAAACTGCTTATCTTTTGTACTAAGCATTTAGCTATTAAGCTAACCAATAAATTTTTTTTTTTTTTTTTGAAAGAAAAGTGATTTTCATGGACATGATTTGAAATTCATAAAAAAAGACCTAAATTTTAAAGAAAAGATCAGAGAATACTCAAGTTTTAGTACCAGATCAAATAAAATTTAGGCTAATACAATTTTAATCGGAGAATCAGTCTTATACCAAAATTAATTTCGGAACAGAACTATTTTATTAATATTGGATATTTTTTCGGGATGATTTTCGGGAATGAATCCAGATTTCTGCAATTCTGTGCACACCTCTGGTGCTGAGTATATCTCAATTAAACTGACTGTCAATTAAATTGAATTTATTTGGTTGAGTTTGATTTTTAATAAATACGGTTGAATTTTGATTTTCATGGAAATAAATTTTTCAGTTTAATTTTTTATGAAGGGATATAAAAAATTAAAGTTTCAAACTTTAGATAAGTATTACAACAGCTGTACATATTTTATTCATTTAAAAATTTCGATTTTATTTAGTTTTTGTGTTTAGTTGAATTTGATTTCAGTCGTAATCATGTGGGTTGATGTGAGAGGCAATATGTGGAGTGGACCATTGTGCAGAAACGATAATTTGGGGGTTCGGCTGGTGGAGGCCCACAAAAACACATGGTAAGCCCACTAAGCATTAAGGAGTATTCCTATGAAGTCTTTCGTCAACCGTCCATTTCTGGCTACCACGCAAAATGTACAATATTGTCCTCATTCTTCATAATTGTACATTTTTAAGAGGGAAAAGATCGTTATGATGGCTGTGATCTGCGAAATGATAAATATAACGAGTCTATTTTTGTCTTTTTCAAAATATATCAATTTATTTTTATATTTTGTTTCCATTATACTATTAGGTTTTTTTTTATCATTTTTTGCATATGTTTTTGTTAAGTCAATAAGAAAATATAGAAGTCAAACGAGAGATACTAAAATATTATATTAAAAAAATTACAGTACAGCCTGTATGGTTTGAAAAATATAATTAGTCTATCCATCTGCTTTTAAAAATAAAAAAAGTATTTTCATCATTTCATAATGTACATAATGGAAAAAAAATGTAAAAATTAGATAAAATGACTTTATAGTACGACGGAAGTAAACTATAAGAATGTTTTAATCTATTTTAAAAAAAGACAAGAACAGACTAATTGTATTTCGCAATCCAGAAAAATCCTTTTATACTTTTTCCTTTTTAAGATCACCACTCAATAGTTATAACTTATAGCACTTTGGACCTATAATCAACTTTTATATATATATATTTATATTCAACTCTTACGTGCACTTACATTTAAGTTATATATATACACGTCTGCGAATGCAAAGTTAAATTAGCTAATTTTGAAGCAGTAAACAATAATGTGCTAATTGCGACAAAAGAATAATTTTTTTTTTGAAAAAATATTTTTAAAGTGCTAATGTGATATTAGGAAAAATAAATAAATTATTGAGCTTAGAAAAACAACATTATCAGTGTTGGTTAGTGGTTTCAACTTGTTTAAAATTTATAGTCAAAACAAAAATTACAGCCTTGAATCCAATTTGAATGTAATTTTTTTTATTAAAAAGCTCAATATAAAATTATGAATCCACCAACATTTCAGTGAATCACATAAAAATTTAATCTATAATGCATGCCCTGATAATATATTGAGATTCGGATCTCCTAGTGCTAAAAACAAATTCAGACAAAGCCAAATAAAACAGTAGCAGATATTTGATGAATGAAATTTGCCCTAGGCAGTAGGCCCTAGCAAGCTACAGGAACTTCACTTTCATTCGTTATTTCATTTTCACATAAGAAGAGTGAAGCGTGATGAATGGTGAATGATGATCCCACCTTTATATCATTCGGCTTTTCCACCGTTGGATTAAGCTTCAGAATTTGGAAAGTTTGAATTCTTTCACATTCATTCATGAACCAATAAGGCAATAACCATTGAAATGGAATTCTGCTCTCCAACTCCAACCTTTCCCCTTTGGTATGTACTCTCATGTCTTTTCTTACATAAAAGAGATAAGGACTTGATCTTTTTCTAATTTTTTAATTATCCCATTTGGAACAAGCTTGACAAATAGAAAATCAAAAGAGTATAATCTCACTTGCTCTACAATTTTATATTATTTAAAACAACATCAGTTAATATATTGACCGGTAATTGAATCAATAATAGTAAACTGCACTTTCAAGTGAACTTTATATGTAGAATTAAAGTTTGAAAAAAATAGACTAATAACATCTTTCTTTTATTTTGAATCTACCTATTTGAATATATGCACTAATATTTAATTAAATGCAAGAAAAGAGAAATTAATGTTAATGTTTCCTTACTACATATTGTATTAATTTATTTAAAATTTAGACTAGTTATATACAATTTGCTTAATGAGATGTAAAAATATCAGAAAAAAGAAGAGTGATTAACGAAATACAATTTTAAGGTTTATATCCTAAAAAATATCATGGGCTACTTAAAGGATATTCACCTCCTTTAAATATTACTCAGACTCAAGACTTCTCGCTTCTTATATTCTTTATAAAATATGAAAAGATTAATCAAGCTACATTTGATCGGCTAATAAATATATATTCTTATAATAATTTACTCACACCATTATTGACTCAAAAACAATTTTTTTTCCTATTATTAACATATTTTGCAAATTCTGTATTGTTTTTCTTCCATAATATGCAATGGAAGAGAAAGCCAATTTTTTCCATGGATTTTTTTAAAAATTTTTCCATTGAAAAGTTATTTTTATTTATTTGGCCCCTCTAAATTTTTAAAAATTTTTATTTTGCCCTTGTAATTAAGTAAAGCTTTTTAGTTCTAGTATAATATATATATTTTTTTAAAAATATAGTCTTTAATTTCTAGGAACACAATCTAATTTGATGAAAATATATTTTTAACGCTTCATTTGTTAAGCCATAAAGGAATGTAGTGCATGTAAATAAAATGCATTTCTCGTGAAATTTTTATATGAGAAATATTTTGATTATACTTCTTTTCATTTTATTGCTACTTGTCCAAGAACCTTAATTAGAATTCTAATTTTTTCTATATATAAATTCTGCTTTGTACTTCTTAATCAATATATTTTTTTATAAATTCTTTATTTCACTTAAAAATTATAACATAAAAAATTATTTAAATAGCTTTAAATATTCTTGCTCTTATCTCTTTTATCTACTTTAAAAACACAAAATAAAAAAAAAAAAAACAAAAGCATTGTAATTAATGAAAGGGAGCATTAGTCATTATTATGAGATTGTAAGTAATATGCTTCCATTTATTTTTTTAAATAAAAAAAATTAATTAAATGGACTAAAATAATTTCATGAAGGCATAAAATGTTAAACTTGATCCTCATTTTTATAAACAAAAGAACTTAGTTTGAAACATTTCAAAGGGGAAAACAAAAAATGTACATCTCCATCATAAAATGTTCAACTTGCATCCTCATTGTTGCTTCTTTTTATCCATTAAATGACTTTGATGATGTGTGGAATCACATGCAGCATCTGAAGTTGCCATGTCTCCATCTTCATGAAGCTTTCCTTCAAAGAAAATCTAATATACATAAACACATATATTTACTTCTTTTTTTTCTGAAGAAATTTAGTTAAGTGAAAAGAAAAATATGTCAAAATCCAAATTCTACATTTCTTATTCTATAAATGCAATTGATTACACATGAATCAGGTTCTACCAAAATTGATAAGAATATTATAAATGAATTTCAAGACTAACTGACAATAGCAAGATAAGAACATCAAAATAAATTTTTTTTTAAATAATATATACTAAACAACACAATAACTCATTATAGAGATTAATTAATAGTTAGAATGAACATATCACCTTAATTTCTTGAATCTACCTTATAAGATGCAGCTATTTCCGGATCCATATAATCAGCATCATAAGGAATTTAGAGAAGCATGATTTGTTTTTATGCTTTTGTCCAGCTTTATTTACACAAATTGCTTTAATGAAAAAAATAAATAAATAAATAAATAAAAGCAATAATTTAGACATGGCCCTTCTCTCCCACAAAGCATGTGGTACCTATTGCTTTTAAGAATCACTTTAATCCTAATATCTTAGCATGTAGCATCAGAATGTTGTCAGATTCAACATCTTGGGGAAGAAAAGAGAAAAAAAAAAAAAAAGAAAAGAAATTATACATATTAATCCAATTAATCAAGCAAGATTTATAGCTTGGATAGTTGCATATATGTAGGATAAATACAAAACAAATAAATAAATAAATACGTATATATGTTCTAGTTCTATTTATAAGACAATCTTTGAAAAATTAAATTGAATCAAATTAAAATACTTTGATTTTATTTTGGAGAGCTATATTTTATACCAAGATCGAATGTAATTTGATAAAGAAATATTAAAAAACAAATGAATTATATATATTCCTACACATTAAATAAAAAGAAAAATAAAAAAGATAAGATAATATGATCTACCAGCTAATCACAATACTTTGCTTGGCTTTTTATTTTATCATCATCATCATCAAGAATCACTCCCACAAGCTGAAACATTATCTTGCTGAACAAATAAAGATAAATACAATAATTAAATAGAAGCTTGCAGAACAAAACCAGCTATCTGCAAAACCCTGAAATTGTTAGTTGGAAACCTAACCAAATAAACAAATAAATACATGATGAAAATAACAAGAAATAATAATCACAGTAGCAAATTGAAGGCAGGTATAAAAGCAAGAAAGAAAGAAAGAAAGAAAGAAAGAAAGAAAGAAGAAGAAAGGATGAGAGAGAGAGTTGAAGGTGATGACAGAAGCATAGAGAGCACAGAAGAGTGAAATGCAGAGAAAGAGAGAGAGCCCATTAATTGATTAATTTTGCATATCATCATCAGTGCTCTCTATCTTCTGTCAACAAAATCACCAAACCATTGCCTACTCTCTCACCCTATAGTAGCCATGGTTACTACCTATATATTTATATCATAAACATAAATAGAGAAAGTCTAAGAAGCTTCCTTAAAAGGAAAGATAATAATTTAGAGAGGGATAGGGGGAGAATTGAGGGGATGACCTATAAAAGACTACCAGTAGAGGTCTATTTATAGCAATAAAAGGACCCTCTGCCCTAAATAAACGACGGTGGGAGATGGTAGATACTGGTTTTTAGGGGTACTATATATTACAATACTGCCTGTCCTTATTATGTACTCAGTACACTTTCCTTTTTTAATTTTTTGTAACCGCTTCTCACGAGATGAATGAAACTTTAATAGGACAGTGTACCCCTTTCCACCTCCTAACAACCCTAAAAACTACTTCCCTTTTTCTGTTCACTAAAACCCTAAAATTATTATTTTATCTCTGAAATTTAGCAAAATATATATTAATCTATCTCTACATGTTTAAAAATACATTTTTTCTTAATGTTTGATTCCATTGAACTTCTAAGTATTTCCGTCAATTTTTATATTTTTTTCATTTAGTGTTATGTGAAAAGACGAAAATGCATTTTACTTAAATCAATATAAACAAATTTTTATTGCAAAAATTATTATTTTGTCCTTGTATTTTATAAAAATTGACCAATTTGTCCTTGCTTTTAATGGAAAAAGTAAAAAAAAAAAAAAAAACAAAAATTATTATTTTGTCTGTATTTATAAAATTGACCATTGTCTCTGTTTTAATGGAAAAGTAAAAAAAAAAAAAAAGGATGAAAGAAAGAATGTAAAGTGAAAAAAAAAAAAAAAAAAAAAAGTGATGAAAGAAGAATGTAGTTGTGTAATAGATGCAAAATATAGGAAAAACAATTATATACTTAGAAAATATAAAAACAGGATTAATTTATTCTGGCAAAATTAATTTTCCCCAAAAGAGTAACCGATTCTTATAGTTTAGATTGAGGTTATGTTCGGCAACCGCTTAGTAGGAATGCTAACCCTATTTTTTTTTTAGTGTTTAGTAAAATAATGTTTAAACTCACTTTTAGATATTAAAATACCGTTTTATAAAACATTAATGCATGTAATATTAGCTTTTAGCGTTTTATAAAAAGTTATTAAAACAGCTAACAGTTAAATGTTATTAGAACCGCTAACAGCTACCAAAATAATTAGGTTTGCCCAACACACTCTAAGTATGTATTGGAATTAAGTTGAAGCAACAAAAGACAAGTTTTTGCCTCTTTATTTTTTTTTTCTTCCATATATGGAACAAAAATAAAAAAACAGTCTAATTTCAAATGGAAGAATATAATCAAAATAATTGTGTGCCATTCTCAAAAGTTAGTAGAAGCGTTGAAAATTTCAGGAAATGTACTTTGATATCTACCTCCTAAGAGTATAAAATCATATCAGCTTTGATTGGATAAGCCATGTGCAATATGATTTCTATAATCTTTAAAAGAATCATTTTACGGTAACAATCTTGATCATTCTGCCAATCAGTTAAGATTCATATCTTATATATATATATATATATATTTATATATTCTCAGAGTGGACTTATCTGGATAACTCAAACATAATAATACATGTGGAAAATAATACTAGGGAAAAAAATAAATTGGTTGCAGAATTATGTTAAATTAACACATGAGGACCTGTATGTATTTTTAAAAACTAACTATGAGGTCCTTAACTTATTATTCCGTTAACACATTGGTAATTCCGATCAATTGACTGAGAAATTGGTTTCTAAATTATAGTCAAATTACTTATGAGATCTCTAATTTATAATTTTTGTTAACACTTTGGTCATTTCTTTATTATTTCGGTTAATATTTGGTCTCTTTATTTTGAATGGGAGGACCAAAGTGTTAATAAATTATAATTTAAGAACCTCATTAATTAATTTTTGGAAATAAAATCTTCATATATTACTTTGACTATATTTCAAGGACCAATTAGTGACTATGTACATTTTGATATATAGCAGTTGGTGTTAAATCGTAAAATGGTCATTAAAAATGTACTTGTTTTATATATTAATGTCGTTTATAACTGACCTAGCTAGTGCGACCTTTCTGGTTCTGGATATCTATCTTCTATGTAATTTCCTCTTAGTATTTTTCACTATCAAGAGTTTGTTTATTCATATCATCCAGTAGCAGATAGCTATTACTTAGTTGTTAGTTATGGATGTTGATGTTTGCTTGTTAAAGTATAAAATGTCCATTAAACAAACTCTTAAAGGAAAATGTCCATTAATATTTTATAAAATGTCCATTAAAGCTATAGTTATTTTATATATTAATATTGTATAATGTCTATTTTTTAAACTTTTAATGTGAACATGTAAATTTTATTTTAATGTGTTATATAAATGAAAAATATTAATTAAAATTTTTAAAATAATTTAAAATGAATATTAATTAAAATTTTTAAAAATAATTTTTAATAGAAATTTATTAATAATTAAAATTTTTAAAATAATTTTAATAGAAATTTATTAATTTTAAATAATTATAAACGAAAGGATAAAATAAAATATTAAATTAAAAAGTTCAAATTAGTAATTATTTTTATTAAATTAATAAAGTTCAAATATAATATAAATATAAATCAGATACTAACTCGTAAGAAAAAAAAAAATCCAGAATACCTGGTTTATATCTCAAACTGTTAAATTTGAACCTAAACATTTTATTTATTAATTTAGACTTATAATGAATTAGGTTTACAATTAACGAGTTGGTTTACCTTCCTTATTACATGCTGTTTATTCTTCTTATATATTTTAAATCTGATATTAACCCATACACTTCTACTCAAACTATGTTTGTAATATTCTAAACTCTGCTTTTCTCTTTTAGCATCCAGACAAGGTCACAATTCGGTTTAAATTGATTTTGAAATTCAATTGAATCCAAATCGGTCAAAACTGATATTTTATTTTATAATAATTTTTCAATAATAATATTTATTATTATTATTATTATCATTTGTTCAAACTACAAATCTAAAAATAAAATTTTAAAAAGTTTAAAATAAAATTATCTAAATTTAGATTTTAAACTGAAACAAAATTGAAATCGATAACTACAGAACCGAGAATTTTAAAACTGAAGTTGACAGTTCTAGATCCACAGTCATGCATGCCTATTAGCAACACTTATAATTACAGAACCGAGATTAGTTTCAATTTATATATAAAGTAATCATAGCTCTCAATTTATATAGAGGTTGGACCACAGTGGTCCATCAATTCACATTAAATGATGTTTGTGATATTATATATATGTAACTTAAATAAAGAAAATACAAAATACATTATTGGTGGTCCTTCTTCAACCCTGGAACCGGAAAATTGGTCATAATTTCAAATTTCCCATTTGAATCTATTATTCCAATTCAAAGAGCAGATTGTTGATTTAACATAATTAAATTAGTTATTTATTTATATAATATTTAATTTATTTATCTATAAAGATTAAAATACAAAAGCACAAATTAAATAAAGTAAAATACAAGAGCTTTCACCAATTTGGTGAGTCAGGGGAAGAATTATCTCGATCTTCATAATAATAATCATATAATAATAACAATATTTGATTTGAACAATAAAATAGTTTTTCCATAATTTTTATATCTAGCTATTGCATATAATATAGTTTTTATAATTATTTAGTAATAAGTGTAAAAAGAAATCAAAAATTAAATTCTATGTTCTTAAATGGCTCCATTAATGTCTTGTTGAATCTTATAATATTTTTTATACCATATTCAAAATAAACATACAAAAATTAACTTAAAAACTTTCAATAATTGCTTCAAATCATGTGTATTCTATGAAATATTTTATATTAATTTATTGTCCATATTTAATATCATGTTAATCTTTTTTTTCTTGTTAACTAAATGAATAAGAAAGTTTAATTATTTCTATCCATTCAAACCGTCTAAACCACCAAACTGAACCAAATTAAACCAAAGCGCCACTAATAGTTTGGTTTTAATTTTTTCAAACCGTCACTTTAGGTATGATTCAATTACTATGTTCAAACTAAAGAAAGCCGATCCATGAATAGTCCTACAAGCTCTGTCTATTGATAGCATATCTATACCTATGAATCACGATTTAAATTCTCTAACTAAATAAAGTCTATCACATGCTTTTGTTTAGGGATAATCTGAAGGGACATACTCTTACAAAAGAAAGATAAAGAATACTAAATATGGTGACAAAATAAACAAACAAAAACATATTGGTTATGAAAAACAAATGGAAGATAAAAAATAAACACCAAATATGAAAATAAAATAAACAATAATGAACAAATATAGAAAAACAAATTTATTATAAAAAAAATATATTTGAGTTTATTAAAAACGAATAAAAGAATATAAGTTAGAGAATTCCGTTGGCAATGTCAGTTTCAAACTAAATTGAAGATTAGATGATTTTAGAAAAACAAGGTAGAAAGAATTATTTTTTCCTTTTTAGTTTTTTCATTTTTTATGATATGATGTTATCCTAATCGGGTTGCATTTGACATCTACTCAGAATTAAATATAAGTACATGATAGGGGATAAGAATATACCAACTCCTTTATACTAGCTGTAATTGTAATGTCATATGGTTCGATTTTGGTAGGATTCGATCCTTTTATTTGGACGCTAGTTCATCTATTCTATTCCTTGCTAATATCAATTCCATTTACTATTAAGGATTTAGTTCCTTATAGCATTAGTCCATATTAATATGGCACTTGCATTTCAAATTTTTAATTGTCACACAATAACATTAAAATGACAGCTACATTAATTCTTTTAGGGTCTGTTTAACGAAACTAACTGTTTTGATAGCTGTCAGCTGTTTTAATAGTATTTATCTGTTAGTTTTTCATAAAACGCTATAAGCTAAATGTTAAATGAATTAATTTTTTATAAAATGTTACTTTAACTTTTAAAAGTTAATTCAAACCATATGTTACCGAATATTACAAAAAATAATGTTTAGTATTTTAACAAATGAAAATACTAAAAATTATTTAAAAATTTTTTGTCGAATACCATCTCAGTTGTTAAGGAAACAAAAAAAAGGAGATCTCTTTTTAAATTTCATAGACCCAAATTGTACAAGTATGGAATTATAGAATTT